CAGTTGCAGACAATTTTAAACTATAATGTTGCAACCACTTCACGTGATGTGATCCATATTATCAGGAATTCCAATATAGCAAGTGATTTGGTTTGAAGTTGTTATGATAATCTAGCTTTGAACCTAAATTTATTTTATCTCTACAGTCTTACTTTGAGACTACAACTCAAACTAATACATGGACACCCATTAAGTTAGTGAAGATGGAGTTTTGAACTTAGTTAAGAAGGTGCTTTCACTCTCATCAATGCTTGAGGTGCATTTTGTTAGAGAAAATTAAAAGTTGCTTCAATTTGTTTGGATGATTAACTTATTATCCTTATATGTGTTTATGGAAAAGCATGTCACTGTGTGAGTCACTTACTAAAATTCTATCATAATGCACTCAACTTATCCTTTATTTAAACATTATCCACATATTTATCTAATAATTATTTTCATCTCTCCACTATAATTCTATAAAATGAAAAAAAATGTAAAACGCATAATTTAAAGTAAATTAAGTTATTAAATGTTTTTATTTATATTAATAACAAACATATTTATAAATGTTATAATATGTTCACGAGTCTTATCTCGCTTAGAGTCGAGATCAATGGTAATAATTTATATATGCATCTTCCTCTCTCAATCTATTAAGACGTTTCTTAAGGACAAAACCGTGAAGAATGAGAGCTCAAAAACAGATAATACCTCGGTATAAAAATTGACCTCAACGATATTATCATAACTGGACATAAGATCGGACACTATCATTCTTAGATAGAACATTGGTGTCCATCGTGGGGTTAGGAGTAGACTTCACTCGTACATACCCCTTAGTCCTCGATCGGTACATTCATGAGTCGTATGTCACTTAGGAGTCAAGACTATGGTAATTTATATACTCCCTTCTCTTTTAAGTCATCGAAACATTTTTTTAGGATAAAATCGTGACGAACAAAAACTTTAAAACGGACAATACCTCGGATATGAAAATTAACCCTAACAATATTATCATAATAAATATGTAATCGATACCCTCTTGTTTCTGGAAGTAATAATATATAAAACAAAAGTTAAATTTTTATTTTTTATTTCTATCCATTGAGACGAGGGAAGATAGAGAAGAAGATAGGCTTGTGGCAAGAAAACAAAAATGCTTCCACTTTCAATAACTATCCAATCACAATCCGTCACATATAGTAACTTCTTGTGGCATGACTCATCCCAAACTCCCAACATTACAAGCCATTCATGGTGCATCATGCCGTAAGCCATCAAATGTCATGATTTGATGCATTCAAAATTTTATTATAAAATGTTTTTATTGGGTGATAGTGCAATGTTTTTAAAATATAAAAGAAAAAGTTTGTAGATGATTTTGAAAATGTAATTCAAGAAAATCCAATTATTTCTTAAAAAAAAAATTAAAATTAACCCTACACCTTGAGTTGAACCCCTTTGAATTTCCAAAGTTTAAGAGTTAGGTTTAGATAAGAGTGTGAAAGGCAGTGGTTGAATATCTTTTATTCTAAGAGTAGTGATGTTGTTGTTATCGACTGAATGCCACTGCCTTGCTTTCCTTCGTCCACAAACCAACTAACCATTTTTGTACCTTCCTTCAAGAAAGCAAACTCTTACCAACACACATCATGTAAAGAGGGAAAAAAAAGTTTATTAAAAATGTTTAGAGAGGACTTTCATGGCTTTAGAGAAGGACCACTCATTTCGAAAATATTTATGGATGGCCTTTCATATCCTATTGTTTCGTCACTAAAGATTTTAATTATTTTCATAACAACACTCAATATTAAATAGTAACTAATGATAATAAAACTCAATTATAGTTATAAACATTAAAAAATTAAAAGCTATTTTAAGTGGATGACATCTTGATAAAATTATAATTCTACCTAATAATTTAAGAAATCATACTTAATGTCAAATCTTTTATGTTTGAACTATTTATTTGGTTTGAATTTTGATTACTTTTTTTTTTCATCTCTCCTTATCCAAATTTGTATATTATTATATATTTTTAATGTAATTTTTTTTAAAATTTACAAATTATATATGTTAATAGATCTACTTATATAGATCTTTACGTATATTCCTAAAAGAAAGATGGATGTTGTAAGTAATATTTTTATAATTATTAATATGATATGAAATAGTAATTTATCTTTAATTTTGTACATAAGGATAAAAGTAATTTTTTTTCAAAACGGAAGATCATGGGTTTATAAAAATATATAAAAATGAATAAAATAAAGAGAGAGATATAAAATATTTTTTTTAACCTTTTAAAAAATAGAGATAATAAAAAAATTATTTAATTTTTTTAAAATTTCTATTATAATAAATAATAAATGAGTTAGTTTAGTTTATATGACATATAATATATTTGTATTTTCTTAAACTAAAAAATAATTCTAATATTAAAAATCAATCTCGGAAAGAACAAAATGATATATTTTTTCAATATAATATTTTATATAACTATAAAAAAATTATGATACAGCATATTCGTTAAAAAATCTATCTAATAACTAAATTATTATTTATACACTTAAAAATAACCTTTTTTTAAAAGAAACACAATCATATTGTTAAAGATTTTAAAATAAACAGAAAAATAACCTTTTTTAATTTTTTTAAAGAAACACAATCATGTTGTTAAAGATTTTAAAATAAACAAATTATGTTTGAAAAAAACAATTGAAATAGATTTAAACTAATTGTTTTATATTATTTTTAAATTTTGTAAAACTAAAAAAATAAAAGAGTAATAATTATTTTTATATTAAATATAATTTTAGTATATACAAATTATTAACTTTAAAAACAAAAAAAACATATTTAATTTTTTTTATTTAGTGATAAATCCTCTGTTTATGATATAAAAAAGTTATATAGAAAATTAATGACCAGGTTTAAGTAAAATACAATTGTTTTAAATAAAAATAAAATATTGAATGAAAATAGTAAAAATAATGTATATAATTTCGTTATTTATATTAAGTAATAAATATATTACTCAATTATTTTATTTACTTAAAAACATAACTATCTTAATTTAAAATATTTTTATTTATCGGAATTATATTAATCAATATTTATATAACATTAACCTAACTATAAATGATTATACAAATTTTTTCAAAAGGACAATTAAAAATTTAAAACTGATAAATCTTTCCCTTTTAAAAAAACTAATAAAACATGAAAAATCGTATTTACATGGAACATAGATACATATTTAAAACTATATTACATCACTTTCAATAACAATAATTTAATTATCCTTAATAAATGTTTGAAAGATTTTTTAAATTCATTATTTTTTTCATCAATCCATCATATAAGACAAAGGTCACCCACTAATCCAGATTATTTTAATGTTAATTATTCATTAAAATCATATGATTGAGATTTACTCATATATATAATTTTCTTTTCAAATTATATATAAAAATGAGAGGATTGTCATGTGATTTTGGTATGCACCATGTGAGAGGTGAGAATGACATAGACATGTTATCTTAAAATGTTCAATTGTCTAATTGTTTAGTGAATCTTTTCATTCAGATGCTTTACAGTGATAACTTTTTAATAAATTAAAAATAGGTCAAATCTTAACCTCACAACGCTTAACTATTCAAATGATCTTAAATCACAACTAAAATTACACATACATAAAAATTTATATCATATATACTATTAATATTAACAATGTTATTATAATATTAATATATTATACAAAAATAAAACCATAGTCAAATAATATCTGAAATTATATGATTTTTTTTATAATCATAATACTGGTACGAATAATATCATTAAAAATATTATAAGTTTAATGAATCAATGTAACTAAATAATTATAATCAATATAATAATATCTTCTTCTATTACATGCTTTAAAATTTTATAATTATTGAATTATTTTAGTTACATATATTATAGTTTTCATTCATTATTGAATAAGATATATTCACTACTAATATATATATATATATATATATATATATATATATATATTAGTATTTTTAATACTATTGGTAAATTAATATTGATAATACAATAGTGATATTAGTATAAATTAATATATTTTAAAATTATAAATATATTAGAAGAAGGTTTATTAAAAGTGTTTATATAAATATAAATTTTAGTGACTAAAATATATAAATTATATGTTCAACATCTATATTTTAAAATAAAGCTTTTCTAGTACATTTATATTTACATTCAAATATTTAGATTTATTAGATTAATAATATATATATATATATATATATATTGATAAAATAATAATATTAATTTATCAATAATAATAATAATAACATAATATAATACAATATATTTTTATTTTTTTCATAATAAATAATGCAATTTTGGTTTCTTTTATAATATATATATATATATATATATATATATATATATATATATATTCTTAAAAATTTGCATTAATCAAAGTTGTGATTGAAATTTAAGAAAAAGAAATTCTAATTCTCTTTTTAATATTTTAATAATTTGTTCTCCTGTTTTCACATCTTACCTAAAGACCACATTTAATCTTATATTTTCTTTCTCATTGGTTCTTCATGTTACATCACTCATTCATACCTTTGGAGGTATTAAAAGAAATTAATAGCGGCAGATTTTCATTACTTTAAATACCATATTAAATTTCCAAGTGATGTAATTGTTTTTAATGCAAGGTTTGCGAAATTCTCTCCAACATGTTTTCTAAACTGATACTTTGAGGCGGCCATGGTATATATAAGAGCCAATCTTTGAGTTTGCAACGTACAAATACATTAATTGTCTTTGAACAATGGCTTTTTAAAGACAAGCGTTTGCAGCAAAGATAATTGGTGCCACTACATTACGAATCTCCGGTGTCAGAGTAGCACGTGACTTATGCGGTGAAATCTTCACTTTTTCACTCCCTTGCCCATTGCCCTTTGATGCATGAACTCAGATAAAGATCTTTACTTTGATTGATTCTGGAAATGGGTTCTCGGATTCAGCTTCTGGGTCTCTGCTTATGGTTTCACTTCGCATGCTTCAGCTTCATTTTTGGCTACACAGTGGCTGTAGGAGGAGATGCCACTGTGCAAGGGACTGTTGCCATTGATGACAAATCTGTGATTGGAACTATAGATGGTGATTTTGTGTGTGCAACTTTGGATTGGTGGCCTCCTGAGAAATGTGACTATGGGAAATGCAGTTGGGGTCTTGCTTCTCTTCTCAATCTGGTATTTTTGCTTCTTTTTCCAAATGGCTGATGAGTGTTGCTTATTGTTCCAACACATAAACCATTTTTTTTTTCTTTTTTTGTTTTAATTTGGCTACTTTCCTTTGATGATCTGTTGTCATTCTCTGTTCAATGATGTTTCTTTATTTTGATGATGTTGGAATCTATAATGCATGTCTGGGATCTGCAAAATAATTCCAGAAAAAGAAGAGAAATAGTTATGTTTACTTTTAAATAAATATTATGTCATTATCTGCTTATTGTTTGTGGTGGTGAACAAGGTGATAAGATTCTCATCCCATCATGATGAGATAATAGAACACATCTTTCTTTAATTTTTCTTTATGATGTTTATTATTGATAATGTCTCCCTGAAGGTTTAATGAAATTCACATCTGGGTTGAGTTCTTAGTTTTCAATTTTTCTAAAACGTGTTGATTTATAATCAATTGTTCTAAAGAATTCACAAACGTCCGTTTATACTACCTTCAAAACCTTATACATATTTTAATTATCATCTTGTTCAGGACCTCAACAACAAGATTTTTCTAAATGCAGTGAAAGGTAAGAGATTATTTACATGTCTATTGGATTAGAAGTTGCCAGGATCAAATTCTTTCATTGCTTTTTAAATTATTAGATGAATTCTTTGAGTTTTGATAGCTTATCAAGGAACTGTTGTGTTGCCTCCAAATGTTGTGCAGCCTTTTCACCTTTGAAACTCAGATTAGGTGGAAGTTTGCAAGACAAGGTAGTATATGGCACTGAAGATTACCACCAACCTTGTACTCCTTTTGTTAAGAACGAATCTGAGATGTTTGGTTTCACACAAGGGTGCCTCCCAATGAAAAGATGGGATGAACTTAGCTACTTTTTTGAAAAAGCAGGGTAAAATTCAACTCTCCCTGTTGTGTGTATGTATGTTTTGAGCTAACAAGTTCACCTTGTTGACTTGAAAAGCATATTTCGAATAACATTTTTAAACTGTTTATTTCAGGGCTAAGATAATTTTTGGATTAAATGCTCTTGCTGGAAAATCAATACAAGGTGGTTCTGCAAAAGGACCTTGGAATTCCACCAATGCTGAGTCCTTTATTAGATACAATGTTAGAAATGGCTACACCATTTATGGATGGGAACTTGGTAAGCATATGCTTCTCTTATTACAAATGCCAAACCATAGTTACATAATTCTTCTGTAATTGTGTTTAATGTGTACCGAGTTCACTGTACCACAATCTGCATACCAGTTTTCTTTAAAGAAAGTCTTATAGGGACAATGTAAAAGGTGACTAATCACGTACTTGGTATGTTCTTTATCAAAGTATTATGCGCCACTGCATAATAAGACCAAGACTATAATTGGAAATCATTATCTTTATCAAAATGCTCACAATGATGGTATGTTCTTCAATATGTTTTTGTTGAAGGAAATAAAATGGACACTTGTCATTGGCAGGCAATGAATTGAGTGGGAGTGGAGTTGGAACAAGCATTACAGCAGACCAATATGCTTCTGATTTTGCTGCTTTAAGAGACATAGTTGACAAAGCATATAAAGAGATTGATTCTAAGCCACTAGTCATTGCACCTGGAGGGTTCTTTGATGCAACCTGGTTCAAGGAATTTATTAGCAAAACTAGAAGATCTTTGGATGTGGTCACGCACCACATTTATAACCTTGGACCAGGTACCCTTCGCCAAACAGGCAAATATTCATTATATCTTCCCAATTTCCATGAATTTGATTATATTTGAAGGCTGCTTTATCTTAATGTACAGGAGTTGATGAGCACCTTGTGGAAAAAATTCTGAACCCTTCCTATCTGGATAAAGAGGCTAGCACATTCAGTGGCCTCAAAAGTATACTTGCAAGTACAGGTACCTCAGCAACAGCATGGGTTGGTGAGTCGGGAGGGGCCTACAATAGTGGTCATCATCTTGTATCCGATGCATTTGTTTATAGTTTCTGGTTAGTGGAAAACTCCCTTTATTCAGATGTCATCAAGGGTTCTTTAGAATTAGGGTAAAATATGCTTTTTATAAAAGTTTAATAAGTCTATAGCTCCTACATTTTGACATATGCACATGTTTTTAGTTTCTGATAAAGGAATTAAAATCACATGGAATAAAAAGTACTAAATTTCATGATATCTAAAATTGAATTTTGAGATATTTTAAGAGATAAAAAAGATATACCTTGGAAATATTTTGGCTAATGTTATGATCAAACAGGTATTTGGATCAGCTTGGCATGTCAGCTGCTTATGACACTAAAACATATTGCAGACAGAGTTTGATAGGAGGAAACTATGGTTTACTCAATACTACCAATTTCCTGCCAAATCCAGACTACTATAGGTACTAATATTTGAATTTCAGTCTTATTATGAGAAAAAAAAGGCATATGACCAGTTTGCAAGGAGACATGCATTTTCATGTCATAATTTCCATGTTTGAAGAAGGGGAGCATAATTGTGGACCCACTTATGCATAGTTTACTTCATTAATGCATTATTGTTATGGAGCTGACATGAATCCACCACTTGTTCCATGCTTCATTAATTGCTTGATATATAGTTTTTGGCTAATTTGGGTAGGATCCCTATTTCAATAATACAAAAAGGGGATCCCATTTCAAATAGATCCACACATGTTTTTATGGTAATGTTTTTGCTTCTTTGCAGTGCTCTTCTTTGGCATCGACTCATGGGAAGACAAGTACTATCAACTACCTTCTCTGGGACAAAAAAGATCAGAGCTTATGCACACTGTGCAAAGCAATCCGTGAGTGAATTTTTTATCACTTTGACTTGGATCCATGCACGCACAAACATACACATTGGATAAAGTTAGTGTAGATAACTTATATAAAAGGTGAAGTACAGAAGCTGGTTTTAATTTCTATAAAAGTTTTATAACCTGGTTTGTAATACAGAAGGGAATCACAGTACTGTTGATCAACCTGGACGGCAACACAACTGTTGAAGCTGATGTGACCTTCAACAACAATGCAAAGAGTTTGAGGCTGAGAAAGATGTCAAGTCATTCAAACATGATGCAATTACCTCTTGCATATGAAACTGCAAGAGAAGAGTACCATCTAACTCCACAGGATGGTAATATACATAGCCAAATCATGGTACTAAATGGAAACGCTCTGAGGGTAAACTCAGCTGGTGATATTCCTCCTTTGGACCCTATATATGTGAACTCTTCAGAGCCAATAAGGGTTGCTCCTTTCTCTATTGTATTTGCCCATTTATCTGGTGCTGTTGTTACAGCTTGTGGCTAGCTGGCACTAGGGGAGACCAAATTTGGTTTGCTTGGAGGTTGAGCAAATTACATGGAAAATGTGGTAGTATTCATTTTATTGTGGAGAATGATAATGCCAATTGTTTAGGTTGAGAACTAGGATTTTGATGGTTTTCTGCTTTTACCCATTAAGTTCATTGTGATTGCAAATTGCAAATTGTAAGTTAGTGGCAAATTCAGTTTCTTGTAATCACTAAATGAGGCAACCCCTCTTGCAAATTAATGATTGGTTTCTCTTCTATAGATGTAAAACCTTTGTGATATGGAATAATTATTTCAATTTATTCTCTTGTCCAATGTTATCTATTCAAAATGGTCTTATGGTTTAGGTATGTTTAGATAATATAAAAAAAAAAAGCACTTTTAGAAGAAAAAAAAAGAGGAAAAAATAAAATGTGTTTCTTAAGAAATTAAAATTAAAGACATTCTTAATTTTAAGAATTAAAAATACTATTAAGACTAGTTAATATAATAATAATAATAATAATAATAATAATAATAATAATAATAATTATTATTATTATTATTATTATATTTGAAAGCTAGTTAATTTAATCATTTAAGTAACATAATTTTTTGAATTTTAAATTAAAAGAGTGCCAAATTACAACTAAATATATTAAGTTTTATGAAGATGAATTTGAGTATTCACTCTTTTATCATGAAAGACCAACATAAAACTTGATCAAATAACAAAAATATTCAAATATTAAAACACGATATGGCACACATTTTTTTCTCACCCAATAAAAAAATTATTAATTTAATTTACTGCAATAATTCAAAACAATTTTACACATCTATCTAATTACAAATTATGGAAAGTAAATTTGTTGACTTTTATATTAATTATTTTAAAAAAATTATTACTAATATTAATTTTGTATTGATTAACGTTATAAAATAATTTAAAATAATTAAGATTATTATTTAATTATGAACTATCCATTACAATATAATTATAATTTCTTATAATAAGTATTTTAAAAAACTTGTAATTAATTTAGGATATGAAAGTGATGAAAGTGGTAGGTGTTAAAGTTGATTTGGGTAAACCAAACCAATAGTTCCCGGAACCTTGACACTAACGCAAACTCTAATCAAACAGAGGGATTTTGACGGAAAGAGAACAAAACGAAACCGTGGAAGAAAATATTCCTCGCGCAGGGTTGGTTTTCTTCCCTCTCTTCTCTCCTCTTGTGTTGGGCGTTCTCATCAATTTCCTCTCTGCAAGCCAAGAATATATGCTCTTACGTTCATTCCTCTCTTTGTTTCCTTGCTTCTTCTGTTTCGCTCCGCTCCGAGATCCGCACAACATTTTAGGTAATGCCTACTATTTCTTCGTGGTTAAGATTCCAATTTCGCTACGCTGTTTGCACATGCAATTGTACGATATCCATTGCCTTTGTGTTCTCCCCCTCTTTTTGATTAATTTTACTGTGTTGATCATAATGATTGTAAGAATAATTACGCTAATCATAATAATTTAGTTCAGCTGGAAATTAGAATGCTATCTTTCAGGATTAGGTTGATGCATGAAAAACAGTGATAAAACGGTCTCGTTTGATTTGAGCTGGGAACATTTTGGATTAGAATGTTATTATGTACAATATCAGCAGTTTGAGTTTCTCTGTTTGTTGTGTTGGTTGCTTTTCACTCTGAGACTCTTAGCATTATCACCCCTTTCCTTTTAAGAGCCGATGTTCATTTTCTGTTGAAGACTTCTCTCACATGTCAGGATTTAGTTTGTACCTTAATCTAGACAATAGTTAACCCTTCTTTTAGCCTGCTGTTCGATGAAAACACCAATTATTAGAACTTAAGTGGAAAGCCCATTGAATAGGAGAGTCTGGAGGCTTAAGTATCACATCAAGTTTTTTATTTCACTCAATGTAGGAAACTTCTCTCTTTTGTTTGCTGATGATGATGTTGTTGTTCTTGCTAATGAAATGTATTTAATTTACTTCCTTTTGCTGGTAAGTATTTATGAGAAGAGAATAGAATGATGCAGATTTGGTTTGGAATCAATTTATTTTATTTTTATTGGGATTGGGACTGAAAAAAGGACTACCCTTAATTTTTTGTTGTTGCATGGATTGGCTACATGGATCAAACCATAATGTTCTAAATCGATCTGTCCTTAGAGAAACCATCAACCTCCAATTTTTTTAAAATGGGTGTTCTCAGTCTCCTTATACCTATAGCGAGAGAGCTGTCATCTATTTGATGATTGGTTCATTCTAATAACTATTGGCTTCTACTGGTTTTTTCCTCATATGTCCAAACCACGAAAGACTAGATTCTACCATTTTCTTTCATTTATTTTTCTGTAACAGTTGCTATCCCAACTTTCTTTATAACTTCATTCCTCATCCTACGTTGTCTGTTACATGGACATATCCACATGTGCTATGCTGATTACTATCTTGACTCCTTTATGTTTCCCAATGGTTTGTTCTACGCAGCATCACAAATTGGAATGGAGACAGTATTAAAGATTAACTTTAGTATTTTTGTGCTTTTCAATTACTGAGGACAAGCTGTGGTGTTGGCTATAAACTAGAATAAATGAGAATTGGAATGCATGAGTATCTATTGACCTGTAATGCAGTATTGGGCAGATGCAACTGCTTTTGAAAACTGGGTAGCTAAGTTGTGAAGTGACACACCCCTGGAACTTGGAAAGCAGTGGTAATGGATCCTGATGGGGGGAGTTCATCAACAGTTAGCACAGGAGTGCAGGAAATTCCAGGACATTCAACACAACATGGTGGTAGGTGTTACTTTCTTGACAGGTTTTCAACTATTTCTGATGGTATTACACACAATAAGTTTTTGTACTGCATAGGTGAAATCATCTAATAGATGATTTATATTTATATGTGGACCTGTGTAGTAAGCTGGAAACTAAACAAGCGTTTTGTCAGGTTCTTTACTTGAAGTGAATGCTATTGAATGATTGTTTTTTTTTTTCTTTTTGTTTTTTTTATAATTTTACCTCTTATAGAACCATGATATAAGAATGAAATTGTAAATTATTTCATCACTAGTAAAAATCATCAAAATATAGACATTCATTATTTATCACTATCAACAGTTACGAAGAAGGATAGAAGATTTTGTATTTAGTTGTCCTTATCAAATGCACAAGTTTTTGTTGAACTTAGAGAGGGAGAGGATGAGAGATGAGAGCTAGAAAAAATAATCTAGAGAGCATTTAGATAATGGAAAACTTACTAATTCTTATTGAGTATCATATATTATGCACAATATTAACCGGACACACTTGTTCATGACTGACTTATGGTCTGTTTGGATGAACTTCTCCTTAACCAATTATAGGATAGAAAAATAATTAAATGAAATGAGTTTCTTTTTAAGCTAAAATTAGCTTATGCAGAAGTTAAAAGTAAAAATTTAGAGAAGTTATATGAAATAATTTGTCATTTTTCTCTTCTAAAGGTAATTATGGGGAAACATGTCCAAACGGACCATTGGTTGAAACTAGTTCCTAGGCTAATAATATTAATTGAGTGCAACTTGCTGGACACTTATACCCATAAACACTAAATACATTTTATCATGTGATTACATGAATTTTCTATTTCCTAAATACATTAAGTATTTCCAACATTTTTACTGACCCTGTTTCAATCATATAGCTGTGGATGTGACAGAATAATTGTCTTCGTTTAACCTAACTTCTTATTATGATGATCTAATACACAAGAATGGGGCAATCAATATTTTTTGACATATCCTGTTTTAATGTATTTTATACATTTTCTCTTGAAAGTTTACTCTTTAGTTGGAATGAAAAAAAATAAATCTTATGATGCCAAGTCAGAATTCTCCAATACATTGGAACTTTGTCACATGTTTTTTCTTTAGATAGGTCTCTTTGTAATGAACTGTTTTATTTCTTTTGTTTCCCCGCCCCCCCCCTTTTTTAGTTGAAACTTATACTGAGTGCTATTGTGATGGTTTTGCAGCATTCTATCAGTTTACACAGCAGAACCTTCCTGCATGTAAACCTGTGCTTACACCTGCAGCAGTTAGTTCTTTGACAATACATCAATATTTCATGTCATCTTATTCTATGAAATGCATGCACTAAATCTCGATCAATTTCTATGCAGGTCATTGCTACCTTTCTATTGATGGGTATCATTTTCATTCCAGTTGGACTTGTCACGCTTCGTGCCTCAAATAGTGTATAAATATTTCTACTTTCTTTATATTAGGACTTAGTCTTTCCTTTCTCCCCTCTAAATCATCATGCTTTTTAAACTATGTGTTTGACCTATTTATTTGTAGGTTGTTGAAATTGTTGATAGGTATGACATGGATTGTGTACCTGAAGAATTTAGAAGTAACAAGGTTACATATATTAAAGATGTCTCAATCCCCAAAAACTGTTCACGATTCTTAAAGGTGATAGTTTGATTAACGATCTATTACATCATTTATTGATTGTTACTTTCGTGTTCGGTCATGTTCAGTTAAATAGATCAGTGACACTTAATTGCTTAATTTTCCTCTTGATTGATTGGTTGGCTTCCTCTTAACATCTTTGGAAGTCGCTACAGGATTTGCAAAACTCTTCTGTAACATTCACATACCCTTATACTTTCAGAAGTGGGATAGCATGGCCATACAGAGTGGTGCAAACTTGTGTACTTAAAATGAAGCTAGTTCTGTTTTCTGTATTCATCTTGTTATTACAATCAGTGAAGAATCTTCCATCCTTCAAGAGAAAACTATATGTGTGCTGATGTAGATATTATGAATCATGAAATCATATCTAGTAGTAGATGGTGATGGGTTTTGACATTGGGGATGGTATTATATGATATTTTCTTACTTGCTTTCTTGTTATTATTTCACTTTCATAACATTCTTCGTGTGCTTTCTCCTCCCTTATTTAATTCTAATAAAGAATTTTGGGCTGTGAGCTAAAATGCTAATATCTTGCCTAAAGAATTATCGATAAAGTTGATCTTTGCCTGTTGACTATGTTTACAATTTTTTAGGTACTTAAGCCAATGAAAGCACCAATTTATATCTACTATCAGCTTGATAACTATTACCAGAACCACCGACGGTAAGGACTCTTTATTTTCTTCTTTCCAAATACAACGATTAAGCCTTTAGAATAAGTATTATTTGTCTTGCCAAGGACTCCAAATCATCACTTTACATCAGATCTTACCAATTTGTACTTTCTCTTTCCCATTGTTCTCCTTTTATTGACTCCCAACATTTCTTTTTAAGTGTCGTGTAAAGTTCTTTTGCAGAACACAAAGACCTAAAATAAATTTTCTTCACTTTAAATATATATAAGATTTTTATTTTACCTTTTTCATTTCTACATCACAATAATGCATATATTAAAAATTAGGTGAAAGGTAAGAGTATAATTAACAAAAGAGTAATTAATATTGTCTTGAACTGTGAAAATGGCAGTAAAGTAGAAGAATTTCAGGTCCAGTATAAATCTCTTAAATTAGAGTCTATACCGTAAAATATTTATACTTAACTATGTAATTTTGTTTCTTCACTGTTCATTCAAATCTTCAAATTTGTTCAGGTATGTCAAAAGTAGAAGTGACCTGCAGCTCTTACATGGACTTGGATACAATGACACCAGTTCTTGTAAACCTTTAGAGTCCTCCCATGATCTTCCAGTTGTACCTTGTGGGTTGATAGCATGGAGTTTGTTCAATGATACATATAAATTCAGTCGTGGGCCATCAGAATTGAAGGTTAATAGGAAGAATATTGCTTGGAAGAGTGATCGTGATCATAAATTTGGAAAAAATGTTTACCCATTTAATTTTCAAAATGGGACTTTGATTGGGGGTGGAAAGCTGGATCCAAGTATTCCTGTGAGTTTGAAGCTTTTGAATTATATAATGAGCTTTTGTCATCATGTCTTCCTGTGATTCTTTATTTGGATTTGAAATATCTTCTAGTGACCTACTTTTCAATGCATTTGCCTTTTATTCATTTATTTGACAGAATTTCCTAGGAGTTAAACGATAGGCTTAATTACACATTTCGATCACCTTACTATCATCATTTTGCAAATTTGATTCCTTGTTATTTTAATTATATGATTTCAGTCCATCCATTAACTTGACATCCAATATTTAATTAGTATGCTGATGTGGCAGTGCAAGAGTGTCATTTTAGCATTTCTATTATATATTGTACAAGTGGATTATCAACAATATCCTAAATCTTATCCCACGCATGGGTTTGGTTACATGGGTTAGTGAACGCCTTAGGATGTGTTCAAAAATATGAATTTCAATAAAGCTCTTTTGAGTAAGATCTTTTTTGATAGTCTCCATATACTTTACTGTATATTCTTCTTGTTTTATTGGATTGTCGTCCATTTGATCCATTTTCTTAATGAACCTTTTATTGGCCTTCTATCACAGAATCAAAACACACTACGTGATTTTTCGTTGTAGTACTTCTGTTCCAACCTTCTTTTGGATGTAAATGTCCAGTCACCATATCAGCATTTTCAGCTCTGCCATACTTACGTTTCACTCTGTAGGCACTTCTTCCAGACTATCGCTGGTTATTTTACAATTTTACTTTAAGTTCAATAGGCCCTTCTGATAATAATACACACCAAAAATTTTTTCCTTTCATTCTATTGGTTTCAATCTTATGTTAGATATAGATATAAAAAAGACTCCATGTCACTTGTAAGATGGATTTAAGAAGCTTAAACTATGCAGCTTGTTGTTACTGTGATCCACATTTTTCACCTCTAAAAGTAAATTTGCAATTTTAAAGGGTGGCAAATGCGCTACTAGGTGTAAAAGCTCCTTACCACCATAAGTGGAGAAGTTGTTTCCGCAATTAGAATCTGTGATCAGTAAGGCAAATGGTAACAACCTTGACCTCTATACACACCCTTGGATTATTGGTTAACGTGTGCATAAAAAATAATTAAAAGTTAGTAGCATTCAAGTAGGTTTCTCCATGGTGTACTTTCTTTCTTTATCCCTCCTCCCTTCCTTTTCTTTCTGGCTTGAAATCAGTTGCACTAATAGAGGCAATACGCACAAGTGAAATATTAATATTTAGTACCATATAGAAATTTGATGTTTGGGTGGGTAGGCATTAAACATCTCTTGTAACTATTAATTTCCTCGTTAAAATTTTCTCTATGTACTGATTTTATTGATATATTTTCTTGTGTTTCGATTCTAATGCATTCTGATTCCCATATATTAGCTTGGTGATCAAGAAGATCTCATTGTTTGGATGAGGACTGCTGCACTACCCAGCTTCAGAAAGTTATATGGGAGAATTGAAGAGGATTTGGATGCAGATGATGTTATTGTAGTCCACCTAAAAAATAACTATAACACTTACAGTTTTGGTGGAAAGAAGAAGCTTGTTCTGTCAACATCAAGCTGGCTGGGTGGAAAAAATGACTTCCTTGGAGTTGCAAATTTATTTGTTGGTGCCTTTTGCATATTGATCTCCATCATCTTCCTGTTGCTTCATGTGAAAAATCCTAGGTAATTTTCTAGATGCTTTTTGATTATTTTGTTCACGTGACTCCACTTTATCATGCAGTTTGCCTGGAGGATGCTGGCTTTTTGCTTCTCTAACACTTTTCTCCTGCATGATAGCCTTTCAGTTTTCTTTTTCCGTTGCCTTTCCATTTAAGAGCTTTTGACCTTTTATTCTCACATCATAATCATAATAGGAAAAGTAGTTTTTGAGTTGTGGTAAACTGGTGGTGTCATATGATTAACTGCTTCTATACATTTTAGCAGTTCAAGACTAATCTTCTTTGGGGCAGGAGCGAGAGGTATTTTAAATGAATTTTTATACTATTTATTGTAAAGTCATGAAATTATTTGAAAACTTGTCACATAGAACGTATGTATAAAATTGAGTAGATTTGATTTCCCAATAATGGTAAGTTGCAAAGAAAGCATGTTCTGTTCACCCTCCTGTTCTATATTGTGAAATTGATTGTCCCATACATCTTTTGAACTTGGTTTCGTTAACATGTCATGCCTCTTTTTTGGGACAGGCCTTACGGGGACACGGCCTACCTATCTTGGAATAGGAAAAACATTGCTAGCTGATAAGGGACATGATACACTAGTAATACTTTTCTTAATGCGACACACAAGATACACATTCTTGTTATTATTACTACTGTATTTAATTGTAAATGACGAGGCATTGTAAACATCTCCTTTCGGTTTAACTATTATGGAAATTAGCCTTTAGGAGTGGGATAGTTGAGAGCTTGGGCATTTGCATGAGGTCAGAAATCACACCTCAGCATTGACATTGTACACAAAAAACACTAAATTGAAATAGAAACTGTATGTGATCTTGTATTTTGCAGCATATTTTTACAGAGTTGAAAGATTTATACAATGGGTCGCTTTTACTCACCAATTTTCATGTAAGAGTAGTCTGGTAGTTCAATCATATTCGGCGGTATTATAAGCTAGATAGGATCTTCAGAAAGGATTATTTAGCTACTCAGCATTTTACTAATGGTAGAAACTTAATGGTTGGTCTGTTTTCTTTAGATTTAATTTTTTTTTTCCTTATTTTATACTGTCACTTAGCTGAATACACCGTAACACATTTATTATCCTTCATTTCCTCTGTTTAAAGTTACATTTCACACTATCTCCTTAGCTAGTAAAAAGTTCTCTTTCAACCATGTCGGATTCTCTTTTATCTTAATCTATATTCGTTAATACGTATTTTTTTTAACTATATATTTCGGCGGTTGTTTTGTTTTTCATCTCAATTTCTTGGTTGCATTTCAATAGTTTTCGTAAAAGAAAATCTTTGTAGTTAAAAATAGATCTTATAACAATTTTTTTATTATAAATTGAAAAGTAATTTATATAATTCAATATATTTAGTTGTCATTAATTTTATTTTAAATATTATATTTAAATATATTTATTTGTTATGAATTTTAACCTTAATTAAAATGTAACTTATATTTTGAAATATTTTTTTATTATACATTTTGATTATACAAAATCAAATGTATGTCATGAAACATACATATATTTAAAATATTAGTTACTAAAATATTAATTTTATGTTAGGTAACATACATATATGCTAAAGTATTAATATGAATTCTTGTAGGTTGAGATAAAATAAGATGTAAAGATAATGTGGTGATATTGATTTGATTCAATGTTCGATAATCTCGTTTCAAGATTTTAATTAAGTGTAAACATATTTTAAATAATCATCCTAACAAAATTAAAAATGTGTTGCATTGTTTATTTCCAGCATTATCTCTTCTAAGAAGCATAAGTTGTTGAAGTATATAGATTCTAAAAAGATTGCTATGCCAACACTGTCAACTCTACTACCAATAATGAAGTAACAAACTAAAGAAGAAGGAAAACTGTGTCCAATAATGAGAAGGAGCATGAAGAAAAAGGAGTAATTGTGTAAAACACAATTAATGTTTATTACTTGTCCCAAAGAAGAAAAAAATCTAAAGCATTTGTTGGGACAATGAATATTTTCTGAAGACCAGTATAAATAGAAGGGAAGAAAAAAGGGAAGAAAAAAGACAAAGTTATTGAGATTATTCAAAAATATAAAATTTTGTAAAAAATTCTATTTTACATTAAAACACAAAAATTTGGTTAATTTTTTTTTTCTAGTATTGACTTTTGAAACACAAAAGACAAATGGTTTACCTAATTGGAATTCAATGTTTCTTCCATCGTGATAAAACTTCATCATCTATCAATGATAATAATACTTGACAAATCAACAATCACAAAAACAAACAAATAAATCTTCGTTATTCTTATTTGATTAATCGATTTGAAACATGTAAAAAACACAAGTTAGACTTACACTTTGTTTTTAGATTTTCATATCCAAAATGATAAAACGATAGTTTAAACTCCAAACATTTGTTTAAAAATTATAATAAAATTAAAAAGAAATCAGATGTAAAGGAATAATAAAAACGTATATATTTATATGGTAGAACATTAATATCTATACAATCGTATAACTACCCAACAATTCTATTTGATAATATATAATAATCATCATAAATAAGTTAAAAATTTAATCATTATTAATTGAAATGTTAAATAGATGTTTAATTTATTTATTTTTAAATGTCAACAGTATAATTTTCTTTGTGGGTAAAATACCTATTTAGAATGTAACCTCCAAAACGGAATATTATAGAGATTACATATTAAAAACTAACATTTAACCCTACTTTCCCGAAAATTCATATCAACCTTTAAAACTTGGGTGCTACCTCCTTAAAATGTTGGGTACCGTTTGTTTGGTCCTACTTTTCTGCTTTCAAACCAAAAAAAAGCTATTTTTAAAACCCGATATAAAACTCTTGTATAGGGTCGTGTTCCTCAATCAAATAATTTGCATTCAAAACATTAAACAATTTTCCCTCTCTTTCTCCACCACAATCATTCTTCAAAGGTTCGAAGTTTCAATCAGAATATGATGAAGAAGGTGAAGGGCATTCAGAATTGGGGTGAAGTTGCACCAACCCTCCTCCTACAATCACCTTATAAGAGATCACCACGATGCTTCACTTTGGAGCCAATCCTCGAAGAAGAACAACCTCGTGGCTATGGAACGTTGAACAAGAGAGTTATTGTTTCCATGCCTTTGTTACTCTCTGGCTTTCTCTACATTTTCTTGTATAGAGGATTCATAATATGAAAGAATTTTCCCCATGTTACTTGAAAAAATGAATTAATAAATGCAAAAACAAAAAAAAAAAATCATTTGTTTCCATAGTTGAAATTAAAGTGAATATTTTTCTTTTTAAAGTTTCTTCCCTCGTATAGGAACAATTTTTTATTACCTTATCCAGTGAAGTGAATACTAATAAATTGAGTCATAACATCTAATTAAATAAAACTATTTCTATAAGAAAAATCTAAATTGGAAATTTTAAGTATATATTTGTTTCCATAATTCTTTCTTAAAATTTCTAAATTATGTGAACACCAAATTAGAAGGATAATCTCATGGTTAAATACAATATTACTAGGTCTAATATAAATTATATTATAGGAACCTAACAAATAAAGAAAGACGAAAATTACAAAAAATACGAGACAACCATGTAAGCGAAACAACATTACTAACTAAATTATATTCAAATAATATATTTTATTCTTAAAAGTTCTTATAAATAATTCCTTAATATCAAAAAATTATTTAAATTAAAAAAAAATTGATTTAATTTTTGTTGCTATTGTCCTAAATGAAACTTTTGTAATTTACGAGTTTTTGGCGAAGTTCTTGGAAGAAGAAAGAATATGGATAATGTTGGCATCTTGTCACTTGTCATTTTCTTCGCAAGCATGGCCTCCCATTTAATATTATTTTTTTATTCACACTTTTATCATTATTATCTTTTGTTAAACTATTAGTATTTTTTTTTAGATTTATAGATTTAAAATTATTAATTTTATTTTATAATTTGTTCTAAAATTATTTTAATTTATGTTAAAAACTAATTTTGTTTATATTAATATTTCATGATTTAATTATAACGACAACAAATTATTTAGATTATATTTAAAAAATAATTTTTCCAGAATCTTAGTTTAAAAAAACTAGAACTAAAATAAAAATATCTATGAGTAAAACCTGCTAACTATTTTTTTCAAATATATTTTGTTTGAGGAGAGAGACAAGGATATTATCCCTATTTCTAACCTACCTTTCAAAGTTTTTAAACAGTTAATCTTTGAAAATTTTCAACGCACATTAAATGCTTGTGAAAATGACAAGCAGATAATAGAATAATTCTGATGGATTTACGAACACACATTTAATGCTTATGAAGAAGAGAGGTAGATAATAGAATAAATTTGATGGAGTTAACCAAAGATTGAAGGTGAAAAAGACCTCTTTGAATACAAGCATTAATCAGCAAATTAACCAGAGGAAAAACTCAACATAGTTAAAACATGAAATCTTCTGCATAATATTATTTCAGAATCTATACATATAAGCATATTAAAAGGTTAAAATCCATCTTCGTAGACGGTTTTTTACCATTGCTGCTGATCTTTAATACAACAGTGATAATTTCTTTTCATGTATACAATAATAATCTAAGACTACGTACACTTTTTCACAGTGGAATTTTGGATGAACAAGTTGTTGCATGCTTTAAGAAGAATGTTGGTGGTGGGTGAAGGGGATGGAGGAGCTTCAAGGGTTGTCTCCTTTTCACCATCTTCTTCTTCATAGATGGTTTCTAGGGTTATTTGGATTTGAAATTTGGTGGCAGAGGCCAAAGAATGAGGAGATATTGCACAGAATGGGGTTAACAATGAAGTTTGATTGATTGATGATGTTATGTTGGGGATGAAGGTGGAGTTTGTGAAAGGCATAAGAATGACATGAGACATGGTTACTTCTTTCTTCTGGCTTTGCTCAAAGTGGTTTTTGTGATAATCCAATTTGGCCTTCTTGGTATCTCCTTTTATAGCATTAGATTCCCATCATTAATCAAACCCACCCTTTTTCTTCACATAATTACAATAATGCCATTCTGATGTTAACAAGTGTAAAGGATTAGATTAATGTAAAAGATTCTTATTTTCTTTTATACTATCATTTCATGCAAAGGTAATATATTATATTTTTAATATAACTTATTTTATACTTCAAGTATTATTTATGTTATTAATAAAAAAATTAATTACGTAATTGTTTGTTATGTATATAATTTTTTATTTTGTCTTTTTGTATTATACAATTATTTTTTACTTTAAATTTTAATTTATATTTAATACTTTGATAATTTTTTAAATTATAGATTGTAATTATTTTTCTAAATTACTTCATCATTAAATAAAAATTGAAAATATAAATAAAATACATGAAAAATATAGTTTTAATTTTTAGATATAATAAATTAGTATATAAATAATATATATTTAAAATAATAAATTTTAAATTATACTAATTATTTTTAAAAGATGGATATCTAAGTTTATTTGACCTGTAATTTAAATAGATAGATAAAAAATGTATTCTTTTAGTTTACGTAATTATTTTTAAAAAATAAAAATAGTTTTTTTTTTAAATTAAAAACATTAATTTTAAAACAAAAGAATAAAAAATAAGAATATATTTTTGAAACAAAAATAAAATATGTTTTACTAAATTAAAAACAGTTTTAATCTTAATATTTTTTTAATGATTATCTACCAAACTATATTACGGACAAATAAATGATCATTATTCTTAAGTTGACACGATTGAAATTATTGTTCATTCTTATTGTTATAACACCCTACATACCTATCACTATAATCATGGCACCTATTAATAAAGATAATTGAAAAAAAAATACATCGTCATTACTCTTAGCGAAAAGAGAGTATAAAAGTATCGAGAAATTATTAAGAGAAAAAGAGAAATAGTACACTGAATATATAATTACACTACTAAAATATTATAGAGATATAGTATTTTGTTAGGTTAACTAACTTAACTAAAACAATTATTACAATAATATTATTAAATCATTAGTGTAAAATCTTTACCCATCACTTTTAAATATTTTTTTTTTCAAAATTGTTTAAGTCAATAGTGTTCTTACTCTAACTATAGATTTCATAGTGACAGTGAAAGTATTTTCTTGTAGTTTGTTTCATGTTCTTATTATTTTTTATTATATGTTTCTTTTTTTTACATACAATAATATTTTGATGAAAAAATTCTCCTTAAAAAAAATGTATGATGAAAAAATATTTTAGAGATGAGAAGATATAATAAAATCTTACATCTATTAAAAATACAATAATATTATAATATATATAGATTAATATAATTATTATCATACTAAATTAATTTTGATGCGTTGAATTAGTTATTTTATCATTTTTAAGATATTATCATCAAACATTTTTCTTACATCTTTATCATTTTTTTAAATGCTTGTTACCCTTCCTTTTTTAGCACAATAGAGATCATATATGAAAATATTATCTTCTATTTTTAAATTAATTTTTATTTTATGGTTTTATTTGATGAAATATTGTAAGTTATGTTCGATTATAATACTTATTTTGTAATTTTTTTTTATAAATTTCGTGAATAATATATCTAATCGAAGAGATAATTTTTTGAATTTAACGTATAATTATTCTTTATCCGGATGATGTTTATGTTTTTTTTTTTTGGGTTTGTTATTGATGAAAGGTATTTGATAAAATAACAGGAAATAATATTATATAATTGTTTTTATGTGAGACGTTTCATAACCGTCAACATGACGCGTAAAACGTTCTATATTTATTACTTAATAATTATCATAAAAGATATATATATATATATATATATATATATATATATATATATATTTTTTTTGTTATCTAGATTTATTTATTTCAATTGTAAAATTGACATTAAAACAATAGTGTAAAATTAACAAAGGATTTGGATGGAGTAGGTGGATATATAGCATGGAATAAAAATAATACATCGGTTCTAATACTAGAATTAAAAAAAAAATTAAAAAAAATTAAAAAAAAAATGAAAATGGATAATGTAGAAGTGTTTGCACATTGACATGTTTGTAGGAAGAAGGAGTAATCGAAAATTGGCACAACTTTTTAAAACCCAAAAGTGATGCATTGTATTCATAAAGATAATGGAAGGTAGGTCCAAGGCTTATAGAGAGACATTGTCTGGATGCCTCAAATTGGTTGATGTAATATTAAATGCAAATTCAGCATTTTCCCACTCCCCTCCTTTTCACCTTTTTCTCTCACCGCAATGCTTCAAGTAGCCAGCCATCTTCCACTTTTCCATTTCTCTTTCATTGCATGCATACCCTTCCCCACACGGCACATACGTCATCTTCAAGTAATATGCCATCATGTCTAATAAGGAAAAACCAAGTTAATTTATAAAATTGTTTATTAGAAATATAACTTCCTAATAAACCATCTAAACATTTGTAGTTTTATGTTAAAGTGTGTAACTCAATCTTATAACTTTTTTTTTTGACAGATTTTTATCACACCTTTTTATTTTAATAAGTTTTTTTTACAACAATATTATTAGGGTTGAATATGATATCTTCTTAAAAAAAAAGTTAAACATTTAACTTAACAAACTTAATAAAGTGAGGATTATAACATTATTTTTACAATTTCATTATGATATTTAGTTACATATATTTCAATTTTATATATGTAATATGATAATATCGTTAAAGTCAATTTTAATATTTGAGATATTATTTATTTTTGAGTTATTGTCTATTACAGTGTTATTCTTTAAAAGATGTTTCATTAAATTGAGAGATGGAGATATATATCAACTACTCTTAACTTCAATTATAATTTCGATGATAAAAAATGATCGATTTTATCCTTAAAAAAATCTCATTGAATTAAGAGAAGAATATATATATATATATATATATATATATATATATATATATAAACTATTATTGATTTTAATTCTAATCTCGATTCTTATTCATTTTAAAATTCCAATATGAGACAATTTTACTTTTAAAATATATTTTTGTAAGTTAATAAAAATGAATATATATATATATATATATATATATATATATATATATATATAAATTATCTTTACTTTCAACTTCTAACTACTGATATTCATTTCGTTTCTTATTTAACTATATATAAGTCTCGATTTCTAATAATGTATATGATATAATTTGATTACTTTTCTTGTTAATATGAGATTTGTAGCAGACGAGAGTGTCGTGCAGTAACACTCTGGTTCTTGTTCAATGTCTGGATGCTGTATTGGACTCCATCTGAAAACATGCATGTGAGCTTAGTACGTTGGTGATGGCGATGCCTCGCTAAATGATGCATATGCACTTTTGGAGTTGTCGAGACGGCGGAAAAATATCAATGCTCTCAGATAACCCTCGCTAATTTTTTTTTTTATATGTTTTCTTAAAAATGAACCCTGAAACCAAAAAAAAAAAAAACTTGTCTAATCAAATCATGAATAAAAAATTATTATTCTAAATATTATAATTATACTTTTGGTCTAACATATATAGCGTCCACGACAAACATCTCAACGTATAATAATTCTTATTTATTTCTTTTTAGCAAGAGAGTTTGTGATCTTACTTAACAGGCGTTGGCAAAACTTGTTTGAACATTGAATGGAACTTTTGGAAGAGTGTTGGATGAAAGCAACATGAAAATTTGTAAGCGTAGATTTGTGGAGATGATGATCTTAGGAGAAAAAGGGTTTACATGGCTTTATGCAGCGGCTATTGTTGGCCAGTCATATGGAAAGATGGCATATGCAACATGTCTTGGTGGGAATTTGAAAACTAAGTTGCCCTTTTGGAGTTGTCTATTAATGAGATCATGACAAGTATATCCAAAGATAACCATCGATTATTGTTCACAGAAACCAAAGATCGCAAGGGTTTATTGCACTTTTTGAGAGAAATAGGAATCAAAACTCAATCTGTTCTATAAACAATCACACTTTATTGCATTCTATATTCCCATGAATGGTGCTTTTTGTCCATCTTTTCACGTTGAAGTTTTTTTTTTTTTCTTTATATTTTGAAATACTCGAACAATTCTTTAATACTTTTCATTGTTTTTTTTAGTTTTTTTGGCTGTAAGAGACAAGGAATTGATATATCTTTCTAATCTCATCAATTTATGAAAATGACTTTAAGGATCATCTTGAAAACAAGTGAAAAAAAAAGAAAAAAAGAACTTAACCCAATATGTGAGACAAACCATAAGACAAAAGACATAAATTTTTACTATCATATCCACTAATCATTTACTTCTCAGAAATCATCATAATGGTTTAGAAAGTCTAAATGCCCTAAAAGCTAGCATAAGAAATATTAAAAATTATCCGAACTTATTATGAGAAGATTAGAAACAAAAGTTACATTGCAAATTATAGAAATAAGCAGCTTTTAAATAATTATTCAATTCAATACTGATAATCCTCCATCTCATAAAATTTCTTGTCTTTTTGAATTTGGGCTTTTATGTTGTATTATAAAAGTTAGATTGTAAGTATGTTTGATTTTATCATGCGTTAAAAGTAAAATAATTTGAAGATTAACCCTAAAATACAAATTTAATCTTTTGTTTTATAATTAAACCCTAGTTTAAAGTTTTGAACATTGAACCAATGCAGTCTTCTATCATCCTCATTAACTATGGTTATAACTTGACAAGAAAATTGAAATTGTTTATAAACTCTCTCTCTCATGTGTTTATATTTATATGTAACTCAATTGCTATTATATCTATACACTATCAAAATAATAAACGATAATAAACATACATTAATTTTAAGAATTTATTTGATTACATAAAATTAAATGTATAATTTGCTTCATAACAATACAATAACGTTGCATTTATAGTTTAAATACAAAGGAGAAAAAAAAGAGAGTAATAAAGATGAATAAGGACTCAAACACAAACAAACAAAACGAAAAACCCTAAGTCCTTAACCTAAAAAAGCATGTATTAAAGAATTATAAGTAAATGGAGTTCTGTTTGTTTAGGTCCAACAATACGTAATCTATAAATAAAAAGATTGCTAATTATGTTTAACATGTAGGTTCATGGGTTTAAACAAGCCAATTTAGATAGTTTGCATCCTAACAATTTTAAGCTTCCTCACTTGTTTGGATTGTGAATTATACTTTCACAACCTAAATCTATAGAACTCATATACACTTGTTTGCATCCTAACAATTGCTAATAGTTTTGTTTTATTTTTATTTTTATTTAATCATTTTATAGATTATTATATTAATAACAATTGTTAATAGTTTTGTTTTATTTTTATTTTTATTTAATCATTTTATAGATTATTATATTAATAAAAGTAAGTTATTTAAAGGATTATATGGTTTTTAGTTGTCAAAATATCACTATTCTTAACCAAATTACCTCCATATTTCAACCAAATGTCTAATATTACAACTTTTATATTTATAAATACATATAATTTAAAAAAATAATATTTTTCTTGTATCCAACTATCTCTATTTTACTATGTTCCTCATTTTGTCTCCTTTTTCACCTATTTTTCTCTTTAACAAACAAAGAATAAAAATATTCGACATTTATGAAACCCAACTTTTAGCAAAAATATAAAAAGATATAGTCTTTTTTTTTTAGCCTTTATTAAAAAGAGAATAAACTTTGCCAATGGGGTGCGAACTTGTGGCATATTTAATAATTACAACCAACCGTCATGTGTGAGTAAGATATTGTTGTTTAATTTGACACTCTTTCCTCAAAACTTAAAAAGTAATATAATACATCATTCAAATCCCTAGCTGAAGTCAAAAAACAATTTTTCAATTGAGTTAGGGTTCTCAACACGACTCCCACATCGTTCAAAGCAACCCCACCTTTTTTCTTCACTCCATTCTCTCACCCTATCACCGTGGCAGATGTGCCTTCCCCACGTCCACTCTACACACAACTCTAAAAAAACATGCTCTTCTTCTCACCCCTTTTTAATTTGTTTTTTTCGAAGATTTGAAACTATTTCAATAATTTTTATTTTTATTCTGTTTCTCTCACTTTTCCTTCTCTCTTCATAGAAGGTTTCGCAAATATTACGCAATGAGATGGCAACATACGCAATTGAAAATATTTTATAAACAGTAAAGTTGTTACAAATTAACGTTTTCTTCAAGAAAAATACAATTTTTATAGGATTAAATTCATATTTTAAGAATATAACTATTTTAGATTATTAATTACTGATCAAATTTATATGTTAGTGAATAATTTATTTTATTTTTCTTAATAAATAATCTCCAAAAAAATTATCTTAAAACATAATTATTTTTTCTTAATTTGTTTATTTATTTATTTTTTACTTAAAACGACCAAGTTTTGGTCATTTTATTTTATAGAGAATAAAAATACATTTAACCCGACTCGCAGTAGCACCAACGTAATCGTTCATAGTCAGAGAGAACCCTCCCTCGTTCACGCATTCATTCACCGCTACTTTTCCTCATCCCTCACATTCCTTCCGTTCTTCTTCAAATTCAATCCAAACAAAAGCGGAAACAAAAATTCGAAATCCACATCTTCGATTCGTTTCGTTATCAGCGAGAGGGTGAAAACAATTCAATCGAAAGGCCCCTGGTTTCCCCAAAAGCTTCATTTGATTTTCCTCTTTCTCTCCGAAATCTTCCGATCCTCTGATTCTCCGTAAATGATGGAGTCCTCCGTCGATCCAACGGTCAACGGCTCACCAACCTTTTTCCCCTTGAACCGCCGCCGTTGAATCGCCGAGATCCAACGGTCAACGGTTCTGCCGGTAGATTGCGTAGAGAAAAGGAGAGAGGGAAGATGAAGGTAGCGAAGTCTCGCGTGTGGCAGCCACTGAAGAAGAAGAGGAGTTGATATTTATAGAGAGAAAAAGGGGAGGAGAGAGAGAAGAAGGGTTGTTTTAGAGAGAGAAAGGGAGAGGAGGAACAGGGAGATGACGTCACGGTCGGGGAACGGAACCAGTGGGGGTGGGAGCAGCAGCAGGACCCGTGTGGGGAAATACGAGTTGGGTCGGACCCTTGGCGAGGGCAATTTTGCGAAGGTAAAGTTCGCGAAGCACGTAGAAAGCAGAGAGAACGTCGCCATCAAAATTCTCGACAAGGAGAAACTTCTCAAGCACAAAATGATTGCCCAGGTACTCTCAATTTACAATTTTAATTTAGTATTATTATTAGGGCAGAAAATATCAATTTTTGAGAATTGTCTTCGATTTAATTATGAAAATAAAATTGAGTATTTAATTATACTGTAAAGTAAAAATAGATTAAAATATAGAGAGAAAATATGTTAAAATTGTGTAGATGGATTGTTTTTATATATAACACAAGGAGAGATAGAGAGATAAATAGTATAATTTGTTATTTTGGTTTTTTTCTTTCTCCCTACCAAATAAATAAAATTAATTCTTTCTCTCCTACCAATCAACGGTAGAGGCTGTATAATTTAAAGTGTGGGTCATATCATATTTTATCCCAATTAATTTTATAGGATGTTTTAACTATTTTATTGATGGGGATTTGAATTAATTATAATGATATTTGAGGTTTTTTTTTTTTTTCAAATTACAACTTTATCTTATGGCTTTTCTCGCCATTGTAATGCTCTTTCTTATTGAAGTATAAGTGTAATATTTTTGAAATTTAAATAATTTATATGTGTAATGTAAAAAAAATGTAATAGAGTATTGTAAAAATATATATATAAGTTCGTATAAAAAAAAAGGTATGAATAATAAAAGTCAATGTAATTTACTTTAAAGGTTTCTTAATGGATTTCGAAGGGAGAAAAGGTTATTTCCCTATATCTTAACTTCTTTATTAGGTCAATGACTAACCTCAATTTTTTGTCATCTTTGGATTAGAGTGTGTTATGTAGAGTAGGTAGGTATAGGAATCTATGTCTCTGGTATGGTAAATATGCATACCTCATATATAACGAAATCTATTTCTTTTATATCTGCGTAATGTCTGTTAAGAAACCGAATATATGTTAAGGAAGTAAAAACACCATTTACCAAGTTTATCTCACCCATTTAATATATGAGCTTTAGGAACTGGATCTTAAACAGACCGAACTGCTTACCCACCCCACTAAGATGATGGTTGTGAGCAGTTGAAGTGTGAGTAAAGACTAAGGGTACCAGATTAAATAAGTTTTTTCCTATTTTAAATTTTGAGTTTTTAATTTTTTTAGTTGATTGTTGTTATTATTGGTGTATTTTTTTTATTAATGAAGCATGGTAGTATATTATGGATGAGGTCGTTTGACATAGTATGAACTGGTCTTTCATGGGTTTTTATTTGTTTTTTAAAGTTTTTAGTTTGCGGTGGATATTTTGTTCTTAAAATACGTACTTAACTCAACCAATATGACTCTTGGACATAACAGTACAAACATCAATATGTTTGTATCATAATGAAGGATAAGAGGGATTTTTTTTTTATCATCTGTACGTAAAACATCAATATATTGAAGTACAGTAAAATGATATCATTAGAGTTAATTATATATAATATTACTTATATTAATAATTTTTTTATAAAAATAGTACAATTTAATTTATATATGCTTTGCATGATATATTTAGAGAGAAAAATCTATTTATTTCAAAATCAGAAGTTTGAATTTTTTTTTATTGTCTAATAACTTAAAATAATAATTCATCTTAACTATTAAATTATAAAAAACTAACAATGAAGATAAATAATAGGTTTCAAATTCTTATTTTTAAAACAAATATATCATTGTTCTTTTATAAAAACATGAGAGGACCTTAGAATAAAAATATTATTTTAATTTAGGTTCAACACATGAATTACTTAAAATTATATAAAATTATTTATATAGTTTTTTTTTCTCATTTTAAGAAAATATTTTCAATTTTTAGGAACTCAGAAGATAATACTTTTTATTTTTAAGTAATTCTGATAATATGCTATAATAAGTGAATAGATTAATGAATATGTAATGCCAAGATAAACTTTTACTAAATGACTTTGTTAAAAAAAACTGAACTGAGAGGACATATAAAGTAAATTTTAATATTTTTAGTTTTAATTTTTATTTAGTTTGTTGTTAGTAGCGTTTGGTTTTAGATTAATGAATCATATTAATAGATTATGGATGAGATCATTTGACAAAATATGAAATGGTCTATTTCTGGGTTTCTATTACTTTTTTTTTTTTTTTTTGGAGTTTGCGGTGTAAGTTTTGGTTTTGTGTTATAATGCGGAAGTCAAATCAGCACTATGTTAAGCTTGCCAGCTTTTGTGTGAAGTGAAGTTTGTCGCCTTCTGATAGGGTTAGAGTTTCTAACTTTTGCCTTGTTTGGATAGTGCTGTCTTTGACGTTTATGGAGCATTTTACTATAGGCAGAACAAAACACGCAATAAGTAGATAAACACGGATCCTATTTACTTATTTTTAAAAGAGGTAATTGGTTTTTATAACATTAATTTGAATAATTAAATAAAATTAGTATATGTGTCTAAATTAACGAGACACATTCTATTTACATTTGTATTGAAAGTATGAGTGTTGATAAATAGGATACTAAATTTTATGGAATTAGTTTACTTTAGTAAACCATGGAAATTTTGAAAAAGGGGGAAAAGAACACGGGAAAATACTATCCTATTAACTAAAATGGACACGAGAAAGTGGAAAGCACGTCAAAACTGTCTAATCACTCCTTATTTATGGCAAAATATCAATCAAACACCTTCAAACAGTAAGAAAGCTTATTTCGGGAGTAAGTAGTGTTGGTATTATTTTTATTATTATTTATGAGTACTATTTTATTTTATTTTATTATACATTTCATTTATATATATATATATATATATATATTTTTTTTTTATATCTTTATTTTTATAAAGTTAATTTTCACTTTCTTTCTTTCTTTCTCTCTTTTATTTTCACTATAACAAATTTAACCTAAAGAAAAATCCTTGGAGACCAATGGGTACATACCTAGAAAATAGAAAGAGAGAAGTTATAATTAATTAATCTGGTTTCTAATATAATATAAGAAGGCAAGATAAATAAAAAATAAATAAAAGTTATTAATATTTCCCATTTCTTTAATAGTCAACCTTCTTAAGGATGGTCTCTCTGGGAAGGTTTTCTTTTCCATTCGGTCCTGTTATAAGTTATTTTTATTTAACCTGAGTAATTTTATAAAGCATTTGTTTAATTGATAATATGATAGGTCTCATGGTATCACTTGCTTTACTATTGTTTTTAAATGTTGTGGAACAGTTATATAGGTCAATGGTTTAAGTTTTATTCTGTGTTTTGAGTGATATCGGAAAACAAGTTTTGGCGTAAAATTTTAACTCAACATTGTTGGTGAGTCTCTCCACGCTTAGGCAAGGAGATCCTACTCTCTGAATACAGTTTCCGACTTGGAGTTTGGTCAGTAGCCAAATTCAGACGTTACAGATAAGACGGTTTTGAAGAGGTATTTTAGGCCGGAATAGGTAGCTTGACCATAATAGATCCTGGTGTGAGCAACTTGTTTCTGCTACAATTTTTAGTGTTTTCTTTTAGTATAGTTACTCTAATCTTGCCTGACATTTTCTCTTGTTCACTGATATGCAGATAAAACGAGAAATATCAACAATGAAACTTATAAGACACCCAAATGTCATACGTATGTACGAGGTTAGAAAGCAGTAAATGATTGCATCCAATTACTTAACATTTTTTATCATTTATTTCTGATTTCATATTTTCCCAAGTTTGTTTTCCCTATCTCTGTCTTTCTACCTTCATTATAAATGACTAATCCTTTCGTAGGTAATGGCTAGCAAAACAAAGATATACATTGTATTGGAATTTGTGACTGGTGGAGAGCTGTTTGACAAAATTGTAAGACAGTTTTTATCTTTCCCCGTGCTTCTGAAGGTCTCTGTGTCCTGTGTATAATCTTGGTCTTTATATAAATATTTTATTGTCTTTTTTTTTTTCCTATTATCTTGAGCCAGGCACGCAGCGGGAGGTTGAAAGAAGATGAAGCAAGAAAATATTTTCAACAGCTTATATGTGCTGTAGATTACTGCCATAGTAGAGGTGTTTTTCATAGAGACCTGAAGGTATGCAACACTTGCACCATTCACATTTTACCTTTGATTCCCTTTTCAAAGAGGGAGTGCAGGTATGGAGCTCAAAATATAGATTTCTGAACATTTTGTAATACATTCAGTGAAAGAATTTATATCTAGAAGAAGGAACGTATTTACTCAACCACGGGAGTGTGTGATAAGAGAGGGAGAGAAAGAAAGGAAGAAAAAGAATAAAAATTTAATGTGTTCCTTTGTTTTATCTCCTAAAGCCTGAGAATTTGTTGCTGGATGCTAATGGAGTGCTTAAAGTATCAGATTTTGGATTGAGTGCATTGCCTCAACAAGTTCGGGTGAGTATATTGACTAATTTTTAAAAAGTGATTACATAATTATGTCCAATTGGAAACTGATTATCCTATTGATAATAGGAAGATGGGCTACTTCACACAACATGCGGTACGCCAAATTATGTTGCTCCAGAGGTAGATTGGCTTTTGCTGCTAGTTACCATTACATTTTATCTCATAAACTTTTTTTTTTTCTTTTATCACTACTTCCTTATCATCTAGGTGATTCACAACAAAGGTTATGATGGTGCCAAGGCAGATCTATGGTCATGTGGTGTTATTCTCTTTGTGTTAATGGCAGGCTATTTGCCCTTTGAAGAAACCAATCTAACAGCTTTATATAAAAAGGTATGTCCATTTCATTTTGTTCACCTAACTGAATTTGTTCACATTATTCTGATATTTTTGTTAGAGAGCATAACAACCTGATTTTTCTCAAACATTTATTATCGTTATAATCTTTGCGGTAAAGAATCGATAAGAATTGACTTAGTGTGTGAACTAATTACTAAATTAAATTTCATGAATGTATGTATCATGTATGTTCATTGTACATGAATTACCCAGGGTAACAAGAAATAGTTTTGTCAATAACCGTCACACCCATTACATTCTCACATCTTCTTAACAATCAATCTCGCTAAAAAAAGGAAACAAAATATACTATTCTAAAGATATTTTAATCTAATCAATATGAACATCCTAAAGATATTTTTATCCTGATAATATATTATTTGAAATACTCCCCCCTCAAATTGGAGAATGATTATCCATCATTCCCAACTTGCCTACAAGATCCTGGAATCTGTCCAGAGGAAGTAATTTAGTGAAAATGTCCCTATCTAAAGTCCGGGAAGGACATGAGCTTTCAGCCACAAGACCTTTGTCTAGATTATCTTTGATGACATGTTTGTCAATTTTATTATGTTTAGTTCTATTATGTTGTACTAGATTATGGGTAATATTGATAGCTGGCTGGTTGTCACAATAAAGTTGCATAGGGGCGTCTATCTAGATTAAGGTCATTCAAAATGATTTTTTATCTAGATTCTTTCAGACATACCTTGACTAAGAGTTCGAAATTCAGCTTCAGTAGAATGACATACGATATCCTACTTTTTGCTCCTCAAAATTACCATTTTTTTTTCCAAGAAACAAATAGTACCCAAAGTAGATTTTCTATCAGTAATAGAACCTGCATAATTAACATCAATATATATCTTCAGGTTCAAATTCCCTTTCTTCTTGAATAGCAGTACCTTTCCTGGGTTTGACTTCAAGTACTAAAGAATTTTATCAATTGTTTGCATGTAGCTTTCTCTTGGATCGTGCATAACTGACTGACCACAGTAATTGCACGAGTAATTTCTGGTCTCGTGTATGATAGATAAATTAATTTTCCTACTCTGGCTGATATTGTGCCCTTAATACGAGAGAACTCTTTTCAGTTCCAATTCTATGATTTTGTTCTGTAGGAATTCCTGAGGTTCTACATCCTAAATAAGGAAACAAAATGTACTGAAATAAATAAGAAGATTCTAAAGATATTTTATCATAATCAATATGGAGATCCTAAAATATTCTATCCAATTAAACCGCTATTTACAACATTATTCTATTTTGTTTTCTTTGTTAAATTAGGTGCCTTTTATGAATTAGATAATTAGCATGATTTTTTATTATTTAATTTCGTGAAGCTGTCTAGAAAACTGACCACATTGACTTTTGTGAATGAAAATGACCTTAGCATTTTTTTTATCGGAATGCATTATCTTTTGTTAACACCAACTACTAGTGCTACTATGTTTTTACAATCCTGCGGAGAGGGAGTTATCTTGCTGTGGAAATTACTAAGTTGAAGCCTGATGTGAGAAAATGTAAAGTAATTTGTGCAATACATACATATTTTCTGTTTCATGACAGTGTTGCCTCGTGTGTTTCTTTTTCGTTTCTTTTCTTTTTCCCATTTCCGGTGACAGATTTACAAGGCTGAGTTCACGTGTCCTCCATGGTTCTCTTCAAGTGCAAAGAAACTAATCAACAAAATACTTGATCCCAATCCTGCCACTGTATGCCCTTGTGTTTTCTTTGCTTATTTCCTTATACTCTGCTACTAATCTAGTCTTAACTAATATTTTTATTTTTCTCTCCATCTTACCAAATATGTGAAACAACCTGTATCTGTTTTTCTTTTAATGATACGTCACAGAGGATTACAATTGCTGAGGTAGTTGAGAATGACTGGTTCAAGAAGGGTTATAAGCCTCCCGTATTTGAACAGGCCAGTGTTAGTCTTGATGATGTAAATTCTATTTTCAGCGAATCTACGGTAAGTCTTTTGTTTTGCTGAAGCCTGATTAAATTTTAGTCCTCAAAGCTTGGATTGTAACCTCTATCTCAATGTTCACTGCGGTACAAAGGATTCACAAAATCTTGTCGTTGAGAGGCGTGAAGAGGGGCATGTGGCACCAGTGACCATGAATGCCTTTGAGCTTATATCTAAATCTCAAGGCCTCAACCTTAGTAGTCTATTTGAGAAGCAAATGGTATGTGTGTCGTAATAAGAAAATGATTTGTGTACTTTTCTCTTATTTGAACTTGGCTTCCTAGAAACCTGAGTTGGAATATGACAAAATAAAAACAAATGTCCTGTGAGGGCAATGCATGACAAGTACTATTTTCTTTTTTTTTTACTTTCTTGTTTCACATGCCATCATGTTATGCTATTTGTTTATTACAACTTGCGTGAATCAAGCATGCAAGTTCTTAATATAATAGTTAAGGCTAGTTGTATTTTTTGTAACTAGGGACTTGTTAAAAGGGAGACGCGATTCACATCCAAATGTTCAGCGGATGAAATAATTTCAAATATTGAGAAAGCTGCAGGACCCCTGGGTTTTGATGTTAAGAAGAACAACTGTAAGGTAAAAAAATATATATTTTATTAGTTAATAACTCGATACACTAGGTAGTTTTTACTTTTTTAGCACTAATAACTTAGCAAATAAGTTTCTATTTCGGCTTGCTTATCTTATTCTTATTCTGCACTTCAGTTAAAGATTCAAGGGGAAAAGACTGGACGGAAAGGTCATCTATCTGTAGCTACCGAGGTATATTTGTTAAAGTATGCTTTCACGATATGGGGTGCCCTTCATATTAATTTATTTGTATTCGGGACGCGTGACAATCTCTAATGCTTTAAGTGCTGCTTTCTAGATATTAGAGGTGGCTCCTTCGCTTTACATGGTTGAGCTACGTAAGTCTGAAGGAGATACTTTGGAATTTCACAAAGTAAGTTTAATCCACAAACTAATGTGTTTGTATTTGTATATAGGAGTGCAATTAACACCTCTACATTATCAATACTTGTGATGTCACCAGTAAAGCAGTACTTTTCTCCGCCTCTACATTATTATGACTACTTGACTTGTGGTACAAGAGTAGCCAGCCATGGAGTATCCTAGTTTCCCATCTAAGAATTATGCCTTGCTTCCACCAGTTATTTATAAATATATATATGTGTATGCGGTAGTGAATCCTTTCAGCTATTATAGAAATGAACCTAGCACAATATAAAGCTCCATTCAGCTTAGGTGGGCTGGACAAAATGCGCCTTTTTCTCATGTGTTCTTATGAAACAATTTTTTTTATTAGTTTGCTTGGACTAAGTTGTCTTTCTTTGCAGTTCTACAAGAATCTTGCTACTGGGCTGAAAGATATTGTTTGGAAAGCGGAACCTATCGGTGAAGATAAGAAAGATGGTTAGTTTTCTATCAATCCTGATATTTGAGTTGACACAATAAGGCTTTTGCACTTTTACTAATTATCATTAATGGGGTGATATGTTGATTTGAACGTTGTGTATCTTTCTTCGATGGCTTTAACTATTTTTGGTAATATTTCATTATTTCTTTCGTAAATATTATTAATTCATGATTATGTTTTACATGGTCCCAGGAGGTTAATATTGCTGATGAGTAGTTAACTTGTTAGAGTTTCTAAAGGAAGGTTCCATGCAAGTGTCCAAAAGAAGGTTCCAAGATGGTTTTGGAACATTTGGAAACTACTATAAATTTGTTTTGGTAGATAAAAATAGATGAAAGAGTTTCAAAATGTTCTAAACAAAATTCTTGACATTTCTGGTTTAGCCACTTAACCTATGGTCGAATCATTGACTTGTAGATCCGCCTCGATTCCTGATTTGGAGTTTATACAAATATGTTTAATAGTACTTGTTTTCAGCAATGGTTTTTCCCCATTAATTTGCACTTGTAATGTAATGTAATGTCATTTTTAATTTCTATGTACAGGTCCCAATCCATCAAAATAATTATCCAAAATTTCATCTCCGTATGAAGCACAGTCCCTAGTTGTGTTATTAGCTAAGAGTGCGCATTGGAGGATTCTGTCATGGACTCTTTTCCTCTTCTGTATATGAAAACTTACCTTTATTTGAATTGTATATCAGTAACTTTAATTTTTGTGCTGTTACAAACTTTACAAATGTAAAAGGGAAAACTAGACTAGCTAATGATTTCTACGGTTTGTTTATATGACCGTTTGCTTTTGGAAATTAGCATTTACTTGAACTGTATGTCGATGAATTTATTTTAATTTTTTTTTATGTCAGAACAATATTTATTTAACCGTTATATAAATAATAAAAAAATATGATAGTTGTAACCAGTATAATTGGTTGTCCAGAAACAACAAATATAGAGGTAGAATTAATGAAATACTGCCAAATTTCATAGATGTTCAGTTCTCATCCTTGATAATGAAATTATATAGAAACAACCTGCAGTGAGAAGGAATAAGAATAAGAAACAATGAGAGAAGGAAGAAGAATGATGAGAGAGAGAGAGAGAGAGGAAACATTAAAGAGAAGGTCACACTATAGTCATACTTGCATCATTTTGCGTATTCCTTCAATAAGACATTTCTGAATCATGCACTTCTTATTACCGCACTTCCAGGATCGCCTTACTCGTTTCTCTCCGTGCTAACTAAATGTATCTCTTGCTTCATGTTACCATGCCTTCATTTCTTCATTTCAACATCCACATCAACCTGGCTTTGTCTATTTGTTAATTACCTTCCCTTTAAACAACAACCTTGTCCTCAAGGTTGAATTGAAATCAGGATAAGTCCAAGTGGATTCATTAGGATTAATAGACTCCCACTAAATCAAAACTTGTGTAGTCTAAGCAGCATTCTTAAACATCCCTTGATAGGTTAGGACTTTCAATGGTTGAACTAGAGGACTAAATGGAAGGAAATGTGAAACACATGATGAATTCTTGCATTAATTAGCAAGCAACTGGCCCAATTTGAGTTAAAACTTTAAAAGGGTTAAAATACTTCATACTTGTTTTTTATTTCTTGGTAAAGCAACAAAATGTTGTCCATAAAGTTGAAGTTTCATCAAAGCATAATTACCAATTTTCAATTGTAAATCCCTCCTCCTCTTATGATTAACTTGCTACTTCATGTAGTTTTGCACCTTAAGTAATTTAAATAGTTCTTACATGAGAATATGATTCTACAAGTGAATTTCATTTATGAGTAATAAGAGGATCGTCATCAAACAAATACTCATAAGAAGATATACCAATTTTATGATGTATTAAAAGAATATAACAAAAGGTTATAGATTATTTAGTTAGAGTTCTATGTTAGTTAACTAATTGCTTATAATTATATTATAAATAATGATGATTTAGTTAGAGTTTTATGTTAGTTAACTAATTGCTCATAATTATATTATAAATAATGATGATGTATTGTGATGTGTGTGTGTGTGTGTTTTATCCATTTTTCAAGAAAAAAAAAAGGAAAAAGAATTGGTATGACAATTTTCAAAGTTCATAATGTGAATCATGGTGGATTCAGATTAAATTTTTCTTGTCAACTTGCCAATTCTTAATAACAAGAACTTCAATTAATGGTGTGTCATCTTTGATTTCAATAAGTGTTGAAAATTGTAAAGAATGGTGTTAAAGAAGTAGAAGAAGGTGCAATAGAGGCATAAAGGAAAGTTTATAGGGAATCTAAAAAGAAAGATTGCAAAGTTCACTTCTTGATTCGTCTGCACGTAAATTTCACAAATTTAAAAATATAATTTTGGTAAATTCAGTCATGGTTGGATGAGATATTTTGAGCAAATCATATAAAGGTATTAATAAAATCAAGAAAGTGAATCTTTAATCCATTCCTAGATAATATAAGTTGTTTTCTTTGGCTAATTAATAAGGGATTACTTCAACAAATTTTAATTGTTGGCTAACCCAATGATAACTTGTGGAGAGAAGTTTTCAAATCAATGAACAATGGAGAAGGCTTTAAAAATTTTGACTCCTCATTTTGATCACATTATTGTAGTGATAAAGGAATCATAAGATCTTAAAAGATACAGATGAAGGAATTGTAAAATTATCTTAAAGCTCATGAACAAAGTCTTATTGAGAGAAATAGTTTAGACGTTGCAAGTATAGACATCTAAAAAAAAATGATGGTTGGGGTAGCAAAAGTAAGGGAAAATGAAAGAGAAAGTGAAAGATTATGGTGAAGGTTCTAATTGACTCTCAAATCAAAATTTGATTGATGAAAATTACCAGAAAAGTGATAGATCATAAAAATTTGGTAAAAAAGGAGGTGATCAAAATAGAAGATGACATAAAAATTTAATGAGAAAAATATATACTGTTATGCTTGAAAAAATGGAGTCAATTTGCATATAAAATTTAAAATAATAAAGGAAAGTAAGTGAAAGAGGAAGAAGCTTAAGTGACATAAGATAATAATGATGATTCTAATTCAAATCCTACACTTCTCATGGTGACAACATAATATTGTATCAAATTTTATTATTGGTATTTAGACACTAGATGTTCAAATCACATGAATGGAAATAAAGAGTGGTTTGTTAATTTTGATGAAAAGTCGAAAGAAAGGTTAAATTTTGTTGATAATAATATTATTATAGGTGAAGGTATGATTTAAAGAAAATATAGAAAACAATCATTCTTAACAAATGTTCTTTATGTAGCACAAATGAAAAGCAACTTGTTAAGTCTTAGCCAACTAGTGGAGAAAGGCTATGCCAAGAGTATGTGCAAAATATGATGAAGATTTTAAGTGTTTAGAAGATTTAAGACAACGGTGGAGAAGCAATGTGGGAATCCACCAAAGTTCTTAGAATACATGAGATGGTGAATACACCTTAAATTCATTCCTATCATTGGTGAAATTAACACCCCACATAACATAATGGAAAAATTGAAAGAAAAGATAAAATGTTTATAAAATGACAAGATGTATACTTAAAGAAAAGAATATGCCAAAAAATTTTTGGAATGAGATGTATCTACTATTGTCTATATTTTGAACATAAGTCCAACTACTAGCCTATATGATGACTCTAGAGGAACCATGGATAGAAAGAGAACATATTGTATGTCATCTATGAGTATTTGGTTTTCTTTGCTTTAGACATGTATCAAATGAAAGAAGAAAGAAGTTGGATGGCAGGGGAAAATGAATGGTGTTTATCATGTATCATTTGATATGTGCATACAGATTGTACAATGTTGTTAGTAAAAAGATAATGATGAGCAAAGATATTATTGTTGATAAAAATAAAGGTTGTGTTGGGAGACTACAACTAAAAGTGATAAAGTGTTTGTACCAATTCAACTTGATATGCATTAAAACAATTGTGTAGAAATGGTTCATTATTGGCCACATGTGTAGTCTAAAATGTGTGTGGAAACAATTATGATTCATTGATAAATACCTTAAACAATTACACTACAATCCTCAAAGTTTTCAATATTTTATGTTTATTTCTACTATGCGATGAATGAAGATGGGGAGATAGTGCATTTTGCTTTTTTTTGGCCAAAACAAAGCCAATATCTTTTGAGCAAGCTATCAAGGAACCTAAATGAAAGGTAGTAATGGAGGAGTGGTCAAGGGATGTGGAAAAAAAAAAAACTCACATGTGGGAGCTTATTTTGTCTCACTACCTCACAACAACAACAAAAATACAAGATTGATTGATTGTAAAAAATCTTTTGCTAAAAGATGGTTTGGGTTAATGTTTACACCCGTGGCAAGACTTGGAACCATTATACCAATGATCTTTGTCATGACTTTTAGAGATTGATTATTAAATCAACTTAATTGAATGACCCACTAAAGAAAAAAAAATATCTAGATCAACCTCCTAGTTTTGAGTGTCTAAGATGTGAATATATGATGTATAAATTTAAAAAGGTTTTGTATGGGTTAAAATAAACTCCTCAGGAATAAAAGAATAGATTACTTGTTTTGCAATTTGGACAATATAATATAAAAATTATGTGAGTGTTATTGTAAATGATTTAATGATAATTTGCTTTTATGTAAATGACCTAGTCGTAATTGACAACAACGCAATAAGATTTGGGAAGTTTAATAATAGAATTATGTTGGAGTTTGAGGTGACAAATATGAGATTGTTATCCTTTTTTTAATAGAATTTGTATACGTAAGTGATGAAATTTTTATACATCAAGAGTTATGGAACATAAATATTTCATATGCTAAATTGTAATTTTATCAAATTAATAAGATTTTGGTATAAAGTTAGATAAGGAAGGAAGTGACAAGATAATTCATACAATCTTTTACAACAAATTACGAGTTCATTGATTTATTTATTTTTTCTAAAGTAGTAAATCTAATCTAGCTTATGGAGTGAGGTGATTGGTGATTCATGATTCATATAAGGCTTTCTCATTTGCTTCTAATTAAGAGAATATTGAGATATGTGAAAGACACTTTGGATGGGTTGTTGTTTTCAAAAAACATGACAAAAATATTTTTGATGAAGTTTGATGCAGTGATGAAAAAGACAAGGAAAAATACAATAAGATATGTATTTTTATGTGTGGAACATCTATTTTATGGTGTTCTAGGGAGTTTGTGGTGACATTATTTTCACGGGAAGATGAATAGACTTTCATTTTAATGGGAACTTATTAAGTATTGTGACTTGAGAACTTGATGATAGACATGGAAATTAGAAGATAAAAGCCTATGAAGATGCTAGTAAACAACAAGTCAATTATAAGTTGGTTAAACATCACATTACTCATGGAAGGCAAGCATAAAAAGATAATATTTCACTTACTAAGAGATCAAATCAATAAAAGGAGATTGGAGTTAAAATATTATAATACCAATGGAATGTGGATAATATTTTAATTAAACAACTTAAAATTGACAAATTCAAGCTTATTAAAGAAATGATATGAGTGTAATCTATTACTAATCTAAACTACAGGGAGTGTTGTAGATAATTTAGTTAGTGTTATATATTAGAGAGGTAGTTAATAGATTTTTAACTAAATATTTGTAATTATACTAAAAATAGTAATGATATATTGTGATACATTTGTGTGTAAAATATATTAATGTTTGGTATTCATATTACATTTTCTTTCACTTTTCTCATTGCAATAGTAGTTCCTTGAGCTTTAAGGAGATTTTATCAAAAAGAACTAAATCTTTATCTAATACAATGGATTTATGAAATCCATGAAATTTGACTATATTATTAATAAAAATATTAACTACTATTTTATAGTGAAACTAAGTTTAAACCATACAAAATTATCAAACTTAGTCAATCTATCACAACAACATCATTGATGACAAGTAAAATTATGAGTAGGCAACTTGATGATAAAGTTCATTGTATCGTTATCCTATAAAATTTACTGATATATATATATATATATATATATATATATATATATATATTGTATAGTAAGTTAGTTTAGTAATGGATATTGATCAAATCAAATAATATATTATTAACAAAGGATAAAAAAAGATGAAAATATGAGAGATTAAAATTATAAATATACAAATAAGTATATTTACTTATCATTAACTTTAAAGGGGTCATAGCCCCTCAATTCCTTAAAAATTCCGTAAGTTGAAAGGGTTTGATCTATTTTAATACAATAATAATATTATTCTCCCAACAAATCTTTATAATTATTGTTAATACGTTGTCCTACTTTAGAAAAATGAAATTCTTGTATAATCTAATTAATCAAATTGTTATATTTGGAACCATAATCCTATCTTTTCATATTAATATAAATGTCTGACTATAAAATTTAAAATTCTTTGTAGATACTTAATGCAATTTTGAAAAAAATTCATTAATTTATCATCCTTTTAAATCAATATCCCTATATGATGCAATTGCAAAAGGAGGGAGAAACATGCAAGTTTTTAAATTTGAAAAAATTGGAACAAAAAGTTATTATTTATATTTGTGAGCAACTATTTAAATATGTATCTTATAATTAGCGTTTATGCAAAACAAAATTATTTAAAAGAGTAAAACCATCTTTCCCATTAAATATGGGAGTATAGGATGAAATTTTAGAGACGTAAGAAGAAAAAACTATTTCAAAAATCAATAAAACATAAAAAATATTATAATATATATACCAATAAAAAAACTATAAATAAAACTTAAAGGAAATTAAAAAAAAATACATAAAAGTCTAAAACATGGGAAAGGTAAAAACATAGGAGGTCCAAAATAGACCATTGGGCTCAAAGTTAAGCTGGTTATTGTAAAATTCGAATAATTTGTAAAAGAATAAAAAATAAACATGTAAATTGCATGAAAAATACTGAAATACGTAATATTACTTGTAAATTTTTAGTTTTGAACTCAATAAGCATAAAATGGACTTAAATGTATAAAGAATATAATCATATATTATAACTTTTTTCAGATTTATCATGCAATTAAAATTGCATATAAATTTTTTTATCTCAAAAACAACTAAAATATTTATTCTCAACAAAAATTGAAGAGAAAGAGACACAGCAATCTGTGATAAGGAGATGTCCATTTTCAGCCAATCAAATTTCCAACATATCCATACGTGTCATGCCGCAATTGTATGACATCTCCATAATAGCACAACCCTTACCGCCTGTTTCTCTCTCTAGGCCTCACTCTCTCTTTCTCTCTCTTCACTCTCCGCCATGCCCATGCCCCCAGCTGCCGGAGCCGTCGCGTTGCACTCTTCCCTATTGTCCATGCCTTCTGAGAAACCATCTTCTCCTTTAAAATCAACCCTTCTTCATGTGGCTCCCAAACCCAAAAGCCTCCTCCAAAGCCACCCACTTTACCCCCCAACCCATGCCAAACTCTCCCTTGAATTCAAAGAGAAAATTCTCTGCCTTGAGGTGATGGGTGTTGATGCAGGCAAAGCACTCTCCCAAAACCCTGACCTCTGCACAGCGACCATGGAATCCATTCACTCCATAATCACCTTCCTTTTCTCCAATGGCATTCTAGAAAAGGACCTGCCCCGAATCTTTGGCATGTGCCCCCAGATTCTCACCTCTGACATCAAAACTGATCTCACCCCAGTTTTTGATTTCATCTTGAATGAACTCAAAGTCCCCGAACATAGCTTCAGAAGGGTGGTCAACAAGTGCCCAAGATTGCTTACATCCAGTGTGAAAGACCAGCTTAGGCCAGCTTTGGTTTACCTAAGGAGACTTGGATTCAGGGATTTGGGGGCCTTGGCTTATCAAGATTCTGTTCTCTTAGTGTCTAGTGTAGAACACACCCTCATCCCTAAACTGAGGTTTTTAGAGAGTTTGGGACTTTCCAAGGATGAGGTTAGGAGCATGGTGTTGAGATGTCCAGCACTGCTTACTTTCAGTATAGAAAATAATTTTCAGCCAAAGTATGAGTATTTTGCTGGGGAAATGGGTAGAAAATTGGAGGAGCTAAAAGAATTTCCTCAGTACTTTGCTTTTAGTTTGGAGAATAGGATAAAACCTAGACACATGGAGGTTGTGCAAAGTGGAATCACTGTACCTTTACCAGTGATGCTTAAAAGCACTGATGAAGAATTTAGGGAGCTGGTAAAGCAAGGGGGTGGGTGAAGATAGTGGGATCATTCCATTATGTGCATTTATTTCTGTGAATGCATAGTTTCCCAATGAAGGTGAACTATTTGATAAATTGTTTATATGCCTTGTATTTTCCACTTTCTCAGTACAGACTCCTCATGGAAATTAATGATATGTATACTAGATAAGTTGCTGTTTCAAATCTCTGGGTGCGTTTCTGAACTATTGAGTATATTGGTGATACTGGGAAGAAAAGATGAATTAAGTTTTAAGTAATTTCATATCATATGTTATCAATTGAACTTGGAAATTTTATGATCTAGGTTAGTAGTTAGAAAAGCAGTTTCTGCTCGAAAGGAATTTTAATGAACTATCAGGAGACTGAAGATCATCAAGAAAGAAAATGTCTCATGATGTAGGTGGAGTAAGTTTCATATTTTCCTATCAGTAGCCAGTAGTTGTAAAAGTGGAAATATAAATGCAGTCACTATACGAGATGCTTGAAATATTTCAATTTTATAATTAGACCACATCTAAACACAGCAAGAAAACTATGAACTATGAAAAAGGGCTAAGGAATCTGACTATTAAGGATAAGATTATCTAGCAGAAAGAGTTCAAATGTAAAGAGCTGCTGCAGTTGATGAGATCTGAATGCCATACGGCTCCAAAAGGATTGAAAAAGGTTGATTTCTTGGCTTCATTTCATCATATACAACTGATTTTAGTGAGACCGGGAACAAAAGGTGAAAAATGTTAAGTAATTTCACATTTATCAATGGAACTTGGAAGGACATGTTTGGATTAATTTGCAAATTTAAGCTTGAGTTAAATTTGTAAGCTGAGTTTGAAAGTAAATCCAACGTTTATTTGTACAAAATTTTCTTTTCACGCAAAATTTAAATGTATAAATATATTTTAAAGATAATCAAACATGCTACGGAACTGAATTTATTCTCTAAACTGAATTTGCGCTGGAACTACAAGCTGAAAACCAAATATGGTGGAAATTTTATTATCTAGGTCAACAACAGTCAGAAAAGCAATCTCTGCAATAATGGAATTTAATGAAGAGACCAACAACAAAGAAAATATTACATGTACATGATGTAGGTGTAAGAGGTTTCATATTTTCCTATGAGAAATTTAGAAATAGGTAGCAGTTGCCCAGGCCTTGGTCAGAGCAGTAACTGATACATGAAATCCGAAATATCTCAATTTTACAATTTGACCATGTGTAGACATACCAAGACATCTCTGCCGTAGGGTAAATGGCTAAAAGGAATGTAAGAGTATATGATGATAACTAATAAGTGTATCTAGCAGAAAGAGCTCAAAACGTAGATGGGCTGCTGCTGTTGATGAGATCTGAATAGAATAAGGTCCAAAAGAATAACAAAAAGATGATTTCTTGGTTTCATGTCATCATATACAAATCAAGTACTGAAACCAACCAAATAACTTCCTCTTAACTACTTCCAAAGTAATACCTACAAAAGCGTCAAACAACTTATGATACAAACAGAAAACAGTAGATCCATGATCCATCAGTCAACAGTTTGTACAAAAGGACATTCTGTTTTCAAATTTCATGTACATCTTGTGTATTTTCTGCATGGAAATGATCGCGTCAGTCATTCCAATGTTTATCTTGATGTTTGGCCACCAGCTTTAAACCAAAACTGAGCTATCAGGAATTGGAGTCACGTGCTTTTTAGAAGGAAACGTCTTCAGAAATGAATGCAGTCCATGCATCCTGTTCCAAAGTAGAAGATGTGAGCTTAATTTGTGTGTCGATACTTATGCATATATAACGTATTTCACATACCTGAAGAATGGAGAAAGCCTTCTCTGCTATATACTTTTGTAGGAGTGTTGCTCCTCTTTGCTGCAGTTTGTCAGGGTGGAGGCATAATCTTGCTTTCTGATAAGCCTTCTTAACTTGTGAACTTTCTATTAGGTTCGGAAGAGGAACAGCATACCAGCCACTCTCAGGCCATAAAATCTATTAATCAAAACATAAAATAATGTCAATTCTCCGGTTGTCTTTGTGCTTGGAAAGAGGTATAAAACTATAAAAGATTCAATAAATTGTCAATAATAAGATATCAACAACAAAGAAAACGTTACATGATGTAGTGTTGAAAGTAGTAGCCGGATGTCAGTTTCCTTGCCCGATGACCACAATCGTATGTCTCTGTCCAACTTCTCTGTTTCTGTCTGTACCTTCTGTAAGAACAACAGAACAATCATATAAATCTGTGTTCTAAGATAAAAGAAATGGAAATAAAGGAAAATCCTAGTATAAATCAAGTATTTTACAAAGATGGAAGTTTCAGCTGCTTTAGAACATAAGAAGACGTGTGAATTTGGACAGGAAGTGGATTGCAGCCTGACTAAACATTTACTCATTTCTAACCACAGTTTTTTGGTTCTTTTCCTTACATTTATTTTACTATGGACTGTTTTGATCACAACCTGTACATATATCATACAACTTGAGCGAATATTTATCATTTCTTTCTAAGACCAAGTAATTTTATCAATTTCTGAAATGATATTTTCTAAATAGAATTAGTCTCATCAACATTTCACATCTTCTTTAGATTCTTCTAATTTTCTATCTAAACCACCTATTATAGGCAATGCGGACAAATCTAAAAATTGAGGTAGTGACATTACAAGCTTTGTATCAGGAATAAGATGCATATTTTCATTTAGATATTAATAAGCAATGCTTATCCAATATAACATACCACCTTAGAAGATTTAACGTTTCCCGCTTCATCACTGTGGCATTCGCCTGCATCAGACCTTCCTGCATTATATTGTGCATGTTTGAATTTGTTTATTTCTGAGATAATTTTCTTAGAAAAATGAAATTATTTTCTTAAAGATAAGCTAAAGAAAGCAAGGACAAAATTATATTTGTCTGGTTAAGACAATCACCTTCCACCCCTGTAGTTTGTTCATTGCCTTCATTTCTCAGGCTTGATTCTGCATCAGAATTTCGTGATTGGAACTTCTCCTTGGCCCATGCTATTGCTTCATCAATGTCTGCTGTTCCACAACTTTCCTCTCTGAGGTTGGAGTTGACCTCTATGACATAGGAGCTCATAACTTCATCATCATCCTGTTCTATAACCAATTCTGGAAGCATATAATCCTGAACTGAAGATTTTGCCTCAGGTTCTTGACAAAGCCCAGAGACAGCAGAAAACGGGGAACTGAGTTCCCAGTCATCAGCGGATACCTTCATGCTTTGATATGAATTGGATTCGAGACTAATTGTCTCTGGGGAGGAGACTCTTTTTGAGAATCCCAAATGAGGACTCTTGAAGCTCTCCTTGTACTCATTATCCTGACAATGAATCTCAAATGACTGATTATTGAATGGAAAAACTGGCCCCCCTTGTTTAATTGGATATTCCCCAGGCATCATAGTGGTTGAGTTCCATCTGCATGGGACATTGATTGGCCTGTAACAATCACTGAGAAACCTCAGAATCCGCATAACTAGGCTACAGTAGTTTCTAAAATGGTTCGTGACTGCAACTGTGTTCACAAAATCAATCTTTTCAAGATCAATGGCAACTGTGTCAATCACATTTCTTGATAATATTTTTCACAATATTCAGGAATCTACAGCTGTTACCACAACTGTAATTAAAAAGCTTGCATTAAATCTCCAGTACACTTCTGCTAAAAACACCCTGCATATTGTGGAAGAAAAATTCTATCTAGCTGGGGCAGAGAACAAAGCAACATTAAACCATCAAGGACAAACAAAGCTTGCATGAATGATTTTGTTGATTGCTTACTTCTTCAGTACAAAAGAATAGGCTACCTACCTCACTATCATAAATCAGTGAAAGATACTTTTCAGTAAATTTAGTTCGCCAACTAAACATTCAATATCATGAAAATCATATTAATTTCAAACTTCCCAAATTTACTGAAAGAAAAATCCTAGCAATACAATTTCTATATTACACTTCTTTTAACTCTTTCTATGTTACCTGAAGAAATTGAGGACATTTCTAATAGAAACAACTTAAATGTAAAACAGAAATTTAAGATGTCACGCCTCAATATTGATTTTCCTTAATAAATTTTAAAATCCCACAATATTTGTTTATTTTTTAAATTTTCTCGAATGAAAAGTTTTGAGATGCTCTTATTAAAATCATTTAATATACTTTAATCAATAAAAGAGAGTTTGTCACCATCAAGATAAATATCATTTTATATTCATTTAAAAATTAATAATGATCAAGATGATTCCTAAACCACTGAGAATTTCTTTCTTGTAGTGAACACTCTTTTACTAGAAACACCAAAATCAAATTCCAGCTCCAGAGTATACAGAAAGAGTTGTACAACCGCAAATAGAGCTAATCGCAGAGGGCAAAATGGTAAATGAATAACGTAACAGACCGAATCTCGGAACAGTTAGTTTGTTGGGATTTCATTTCAGTACCTGAGCTTAGAAGCGAAGGCGGATAATGCCACGTCATCACCGATTGCCGGCCGGAGAGGGCTCAGCTCCTCGGAACTCAGCGCCGACGACGAATTCGACTTTGATTTTGCCTTCGACTGCGGCCCTGACCGCTCCCGCGACCGCCGGTCATCGTCCGACCCGAATATGTCGCTGTAAAACGCCTCGTTCTTCGCCGGAATCCGGAACACCGGCAAGCTCCGGCCACCCTTCGCCTTTGCCGGAGACGAGAACTCCGGCGGCTGGAATATCTCCTCGTAGAAGGAATTAGACCTCGAGAATTTGTGCGCGAGGAGGCTCCTCGGCGGGCCTCCGAAGACGTCGGCGAAGTCATCGGGGTCGAGGGTTTCCGGCTCGGCGGCAGCGGCGGCGAAGAAGATGGAGCGGCGCGCGTGGGAGGCGGAGCGATCCTCCATGGATCGGCGGCGAGGGAGCCCCGGCGTAAGTCCCATTCGCATTCTCCACGACTCGTCCATTTCCCGGCGAGATTATCGGACCGGAATATTCACTAGAAGAAACAAAGTGTGGGTTGCGCTTATATATAGTATAGAGTTTAGGAGCATAAAACAAAAGATAATGAAAAAAATAAAAAGAAAAACTTTTTTGCGAAAACAGCCATTGATTGACTTTTTACCCTTTTTCTTTCAACTTTAGTTATTTTCTAACAATCAAAAACTCATCATCTACTGTTACTGCCATTGATTGCGTTCCTCAAACCAGGATTTAATCTTCCAACGTTGTTTCAACTTTCTACTTTTGAAGATGTTTTTTTTTTTGGACAAAAAGATTCACCCTAACTCTAACCATTAATGTTTTGGTCATAGATACAATTCTTTTTCTCAATTTAATGTAATAAAATTCATTGTTATATATTGTAAATATGCTATTATAGTATTGGTTGAATCAAAATACAATATGTAAAGTATTTTGAAATACACGTAATATATGTATTAAAAAGAATATTTGTCAAGTTTAAAATATTTTCAGTCAATTTAAAAATATTGAGTGAACAGTTCAATATTCATAGATCCTAGTTGTTAGTCATGTCAGATGACAATTATATAATAAATATTTTGTGAGGTTGAATTAAGATAAAAAGATTTGTCCTTAGTGGGTTAAAAAAGAGCTAAGAAAGGGTGGTTGCTTAATATTTAGGCCATTGCATTATTGTGGTGTTGTTTGTTGAATGATCAATTTTTGGTTTGAGTGAATGATTAGTGATAAGTGATGGGAAATGCATAGTGGAATAATGTGCAATAGAGGTAGAGTTGCTTTGATTACCTGGAAAGATGCATAGGCTGGAATTGGAAGTCCCCACAGACATCATCATGGTGGTGCTGGCTATGTTTGATATCCCTCCTTCTTTACCTTCAGCTTTTAATTTTCTTTTTAGGTGGGGGCAAGTGGTTTTGTTCCATGCCAGTGTCCACCCTTTTGGTTGTCCTCATGCAATGAGGGTTTGTAGAGCCATATTTCAAGGTTGAGGAAAAGAATAAGAGGATAAAATTCATTATGGAATGTACTGTGTGTATGTATGTTTCTTGGGATACTGTCACTCTCTAATACTTTGCTTTCAATTGAGGGAATCAGATGAAAGTGTGTCAGAACCATGGAATTATGTGTATGGCTCAAGATAAAGTTGCCAATGGGGCAGGTGAGGGAAAGGATGATTGATACCTCTCAGGGGGACACTGCATACCCTAAATTGATTTGTGATCACACCCTTTTATGCCTCACCCTTACTTTAAACTTCCATTTAGAGATCATAATCAATACACTTCAGGTGAGACTATCATACACCAACAGAGAGGCCTAATGATTCTTAGGTTTTTCATTTCTATAACATGTCATTTGTCTTCATTTTTTAATTCATTTGAATAAGCAGAAGGAAGAACATGGCCTGATAGAACATTGTGGTGAGACCAACTTGTTAACTCTTCTGATATGGAATGAGTTTAGCCAAATTATTGGCCCACAAAACATGGTTTAGCTCCCAGAGGTGAAGTGAGTAGAGTTAACTCTACTGTTTAGTATGGTAGGTAAAAGGAAACAAGTCCAATTAAAAACTCATGATTTTGGCTAATCATGGATCAATACAATTAGTCCTGGGCCCATCAAGATATTGCTGTTCACTGATAGAGTGCTTTTGTCAATCTGTTCTGAAGTGCATGCCATTCAGAAGAAGCTATCAGAAGCTGTTTTTCCAGCCTACACAACACCACATTCATGTGTTAATAAGAATAATAATATAAGGGTATTTTGCACGTCACTTTTTTAGGTCACTTTTTCAATACTTACAATTAGATTGATTACAAATTAAGGTGACCCAAGCAAGTATAATAATACTAAATGTGGTGCAACTGTCAATTCCAGCAACACTAGGTCTTCCACAAACCCTGTTTGTTCCCCTCTTCATTGTATTCAGATTTGGAAGTGTTTCTCTATATTTTGTAATTATCCTACTTGTTCTATCTTCACAATCTGTTTCACTTTTCCCAGAAAATTCACCATGCCCAACTCTACACTCTTCTCACAAAATTTCTCAGAAAGAAACTCTCTATTTAGGCAAAATTTAACTTGAGAACATTCTTACCAGTAATATATGTATAAAATCATACCAAATAACTCTCTTATTCGTATTCTTCACCAAAAATACTGTTTTTAATTTTTCAAAAAATATATATTTAGAATATCCGAACTTACGTTCATTGTGATGACATAGTTAGATGAATATATAAATTATTCTTAAACTGATACGAGACTCATAAATATACCCAATTATATATAATTATTAATAAAATGTGATCATGCATCTATCACTTAACATATGCATTAACTCATGAAATTATTTTAACCTTCTAATAGTACAGTTAGAATTTTGTTTTCTGTTTGTATGTGTACTAGCCATGTTATCATTACATATCCTGATCTTAGTATAAAGAATGTAGAACAGCATGAGGATAGATTAGATTGATAGAACGCCAATGTTTGTATTCTATAAAGACAATGAAGAAATGCCACAAGGAAGAAAACAAAGACATTAAATTGCATGCATGTTTTGTATAAATAGTTTTCTAACAAAAACACAACTTTCACACCCTCCAATTGCCCAATGCACCATGTTATAAATGTCTGTAATTTTTTTCTTGTGATTGGGAGAGAGAAATTGGAAGGATAAAGAATTGTCCACGGTCTAAGACAATTCAAAAAGTACTACTAACATTTGACTAAAAAGAATAAATTAACAAGAAATTCAAAAAAAATAAAAAAAAATGAGGTGTTAAAGAAATTAACGAAATTGAGAAAGATGAAGATATGATAAAAGTTGAGGGTATTTTTGTCTAAGAATAAGTTTGAAAAATTAAAATAAATTATAATAATTATATAAAAATATTGTAACTATTAATCTACACTCAAGTCTTATTTAAGAAACACAAATCAAGTTCTGAGAAAAATAATGGTTGTGTATATAATTTACTTATGTGAAAATATTTTGTATGTAGATTATTTTAGATTTATTAGGTTGATTTTATAATCAGATTTTGCTGCCTAAAAAGTGTGAATTTTTATGTTAATTAAATAATAATCCAATAAAAAAATAAAGAAATATATATATATATATATAAAATAATTGTATAAAATTATTATTGAAAATTATATAACATATGATTGTTGCATCTTTTAGGAGAAGAATTGTTTTTATATCGATATTGTACGGGTAATATGTTTTAAATTTTATCAAAATTATATTTGTTAAAATAATATTTTTTATCAAATATTAATATATAATAAAACACCAAATCTATGTAATTTAAATTCTTCTGTCATAATATATTATTATTTGGTTGGGAGGAAGGAGTGAAAATAAAGATAATAAATTTAATTTAGTTTATTAATAAAAATATTATAGAGTAATGAGAATTAGTTTTTTTTTATCTAGCACGTGATATTGAGGTTTTAATGTTTTTATTTATTACGATTTTATTTTTAAAAGGTGTTTTAATATGTTAAAAAAATTAAAAAAATATATGTAAAAATATTTTATTTTTTCACGGTAATAACATTTATATCATTATATAAAAATTGTATATATATATATATATATATATATATATATATATATGTGTGTGTGTAAAAATATTTGTTCATTATAATCTCTCAATGTGTATTATTTTGTTTAGTTTATTTTTTAAAATAGATTATGAAATAAGTAAAGGTAAACAATTATTTTATTTGATAAGGAGTGGTGCAGAATATTACGATGATGTCTAGTTTATATTATTTATATAGGAAAAAGAAATTTCTGTCGGTATTATATATAAACAAAGAAGTGAAAAACAATGAATCTTCATGCTTCATCAAATATATTATTGTGATTATTTTAAATATATGTTTGGATTCAATGTTTATCAACTCCAACTAATCGTCCTTTTGATTTTGTTGTTCAACAAATCTAACTACTTACAAAAACAAAAAGTTATTTAAATCAATGTTGATGATTTATTCTAATTTATTTCAACAAAACTTTCAAATTGATTATTATAGACACTTACATTTTGCTTCACATGAGAAAGTGAACACCACAAATTAATAAATTATAGACAAAGAAACTATGATGGATATGGTAAAATGCATGTATTAACATTATTGTTATTACTCAAGACACATGGCTAAATTAATATCTTGAACAACACTTTCGGCTTTTGGGCTCTAAGAATTTCTTCATTATCATAAATTAGGTTAATTCAAGCAGTGAAAGATTGATATGATTGCAATATGGATAACCAAATACTAATTAAGTCAAGTCAAGAATATCTACTAATCTAGATAAATATGTGAATTTAATTATCACAATTATTCTATTACTTTGTAATTAAAAATATTGATATACCAATTATATAATATCATATCTCAGCATTATATCAAATATCTACTAAAATATTATATATTATAAATTTTAATTTAAAATTTATTTTAAACAAAAAGAAATACACTTGCTACAGTAAGAATTTGCGATGAAAGCTAAAGAATGATGTAACACAATGGCGACAAGACACACATATGTTATTAATAAAAAATAAAAATAAAAAATGAAATACATACTTTATCATTTTTAATTTTTAAGAACTAAAAAAATAAATAGTTTTCATAAACTATTTCAACAAGATACTTAACAAATAAAATTTTAGAATTAAAAATCAAAAAATTGAAATTTTTTTTTCCAAAGGTTTCTAAGTTACCCAATTACTATTAGATTAACTATGACTAGTTCAAAACTACTAGGTACTGTCACTCGCAAGATGTGACAAATAAATAATAGTTTATTCGAGTTTGATCCTTTCCTTTGTAAATAGAATAACACTCGTGGGGATGGGAATTACCCACTTAAGAGATTAATCTCATTGCTTTTATTTACTTCACTCAATAATTCCAATAAAATAGACACTGAAACTAGTAGCAGTTAATCTATAGAACAATCATGCTTCAATATATGCAAATGTCATCCTCATTTTAGTTTTTACCTTTTAGCTCACCACTTACATAACTCTTTTTTACAAGGATATGGTGTTTTTAAAATAAGAAAGTAGAGTGTAAAAGATACAATCAATTATTAAAATATAAACAAGTAAAATTTGTGTTAAAATTAAATGTATTTTATACAAAAGTTGATTTTAACTTATAAAATAATTTTTTTCTCTCTTCTGTAAATCCTCGTAAAAAATCTCATGTAAACAAATCCTAAAAATCATTATTGCACTTTATAATGTAAAAACCATTTATCTGCAGGGAGTGATGTGGTCTCTACCAACACGAAACCTCCCAAGTTGTGTTCGATCTGAACTGATTACATGAAATGCTTTTAATTGCTATCGTATATGCATGAGAAGAATGCAGAATCAATCTCGCTCTAATGATTGATCCTTGCAGAAAGCAAAGCAGATGAATTTGCCATGTTGCTAAACTAAGTCTAGCATGCTTGATACAAGAATCTCCATGCTCTGGCATCTTAAATATGTATATGATTGATAGATACTTTATCTCATAATCGATGGCTTTAACAGATTGATTAGTTTAAGCAAGTAATGAAATTCAGATGTAAAGGAAACTATGCTTTACCTTAGTCCTCCACTCTTGGCTCTATCATAAGGTCAATTGTCACAACCTACAAACCTCCTCTTATGATACTACATCAGCTTCATACACTATCTCAATCTTGACCACTCTCGGAATAGCTTCATACCCTGCACATCTTCATACTGAGAAATCTGATTGCTTAGTCTCTCCACACAATAGCATTTGAATCCTGGTCACACTAAAATAAAACTGCTTCAAAGAATAGTAAAGTGAACATGTGGATAGTTGGACACATCAGACAGCCCTTAGGATGCGTTATGCTCCAATTAGTTTGAATTCCGTACTCAGATGCAATATCAATGTACCAGTATAAGATCAAAGATGAATCTAAATAATAATAATAATAACAAAATTAATAATATTATTTTTGTGCAAAGGATCCATAAAGAATGAAATTTTATTCAATCTTGCCCAAAACAGTAATAATAACACTATGTGGCTTAGCCAAATATTACAATAATTGCAGGCCAAACTGTATCAAAAGAATGACAACAAATGGTTTCGGGTACAAGAAAAAGTTTAAGGAAAAGCAGGCTCTTCCCACTCAAATGTCGAACAAAACTGGCAATCTGTGAGTATTTACAATGGGATTATAAGTTACCTATCAATGGGTGTTTCTGGATTCAATCTGAAGTCTATACAGTTGTCACTATCAGAGCAGAAGGTCAACCAAGTGAATTCATTGTTTAGAAGTTTCAACAAAATGAGTTGGCAAGCTTATTGAGTCTGATGAATGAATGATTTGTACCTATCATTTTATCGAATCCAACAACTACCCATAATCAAGCTTTTACTTTTTGGAGCGTTACTCTTCGAAGTAATTGGTGTTAGAATCTTCACTGAAGAAAGTTTTCTGTCATCCAATATAGTGAAGTCCTGAAGGGCACTATATAGACCTCGCTTTGCACTGGTCATTGACCTAGCCATTTAATCTCCCAACATAGATGAGGTCTTTTTCCCTTTCAACTGGACGAGATGCCGATGCAGTGTTAAAGAGATCCAGGCTTCCAAGCACATAGGTTCTTCAACATTTGACCTGTCATGCACAACATACACAAATCAGTGTCCTGATAAAGATTCTAGATTGATAACATCACTCTAATAAAAGGCAACCTATTCATTTAGTTGTATTATGAACAAGAAAGTTAGTACCTTCTAACCTGCTCAAAACCTCCATGGTTTTATGTGACATCAAACAATATAGCCTAAGTGAACCAATCCATACAAGCATCCAAGTCGATCAAATCTTCCAAAACCAAGTCCTCCGCATCCTCTAGATAGCCGTGGGATTTCATTATTGTATAAGAAAAACACTTTTCACTTTCCTTGATTACTGGAATAAAAACTTAATCATTAGGCACATCTAGCCTCCACAGCAAAGAGAATGAAACTCCAGAATTTCAAATATGATGCTTGTGGATGAATAGGTTGGGAAATATGATAATTGCCAACCTATAAATCATTTGAAAGAAATAGTTTTCTTCTATTGAAAAATTGGTTGGAAATTGATGCATCAGGAACATGGCTGCAGGTGAGTAGTAATTGAGTCTTGAGCTAGCAGCTCAACTTTGCATTAGCAAAATTTATAAGTATCAAGCAAAATATGCCATGATAATTTGATCTAAAAACTTTGTAGAGTCTTCAAGAAATACCAGGGATCAATGCAGAGTACGGGTTCAAGAAATCCCTTCTTCTATCATCTTCTCTCTCAAGTTAGCGGCTTTATTAAGGTCCCCAATCCTACAGTAACCACTGATTAGTATATTATAGGTAACAACATTTGGAACTAAGCCCTTCTGAGGAAGTTTAAGGAAAAGTCTCAGTGCTCGATCCATATTTCCCAATTTACATAACCCATTTATTAATGCATTGTATGTCGTAATATTTGGAATAAGACCTCTCTCCAGCATCTCATTCCTTAAGTTGAAAGCACCATCCACATCACCAGCAGCTGAACAGGCATGAATTAAGGCACCATACGTGAAATTGTCTGGAAGAAAACCTCTAGACAACATAATTGACAGAACATGTCTTGCTTCATCAATCTTCCCAGACTTGCCAAGACCATAGATAGCGATGTTGTACACAATATTGTTGGGAAGAGAATTACATATAGCACTTTTATCTAGAGAATCTGCAATTCTCTGAGCTTCTAGACTTAAGAAATCGTTTTTAACAGACTTATCGGAACATTTATGAACTGTAAGCAGATCAAAATCCACCATCCTGTCTAGGATCACAGTTGCTTCATTGATTCTATCATTCTTATAAAGACTGCTGATTATTTTGCTACAGATCACCAAGTTAGGAGAGAACCCTCCTTCGATCATCTCAAAATATAAATTAAAAGCTTTATCCAGCTTTCCTTCATTGCACCAACCACAAATAAGCGTACCATAGGTAACAGCATTGGATGACAGTCCTCTTGTCCGCATCTCAACAAGAAGATCAGCAACATCAGTTAACTTCCTAGAATTAAAAAGCCCATTAATAAGGGAATTGTACATTTCAATAGAAGGAGAAATTGTCTGTCTTTCCATCATATCTTTAATACTAAAAGCTTCGACAACACTTCCAGATTTACAATATCCATCACTCAAAGTCCTAAATGTTACTTCATCTGGTGAGCATCCGAGTTCCTTCATCCTATCAAAAACAATCTTTGCCTCCACCACTTTCCCCATCTTACACAACCCACCAATCATTGTATTGAATGCAACAGTGCTATTAGTAAAACCCCGGCCTAAAATCTCTTTCCAAAGCTTCATAGCCCCGTCAGAATCTCCCATTTTGAAAAAACAATCAAGCAGAGTACAATAGCTGACTTCATTCGGCACCACATCTCGTTTCACCATCTTATGCCAAAGGCTCAAAGCATCAACATAAGACCCCACATCAACCAACCCTTTGAGAATCGTGTTATAGGTCACAACAGAAGGATCAATTCCCTCCCTTAACATTTCCTGGCAAAGCATCAAAGCCTCACTCATTCTCCCTTCCCTGCAGAACCCATCCAACAGCGTATTATAGCTATAACAATCCGGTCTCACATTCCAATCCACCATCCTCCTAAACACCTCTTCGGCCTCACCAACCCGGCCCTGCTTACAATACCCATTAACCAACGAATTACAAACAAACACATTCACCCTCAATCCCACCCTCGCCATCTCATCTCGAATCCTAACTGCATCGTCCATCCTCCCCACCTGACAATATCCGTCCACCAGCACGCCATACACGCGATCATCCACAACCATCATCTCATCCTCCTCCATTCTCCGTAGCAACCTCTCCGCCTCATCCGCCCTTCCCTGCCTGCAGTAACCTTTCATCAACAATGTCCAAGTAACCACATTCCTCTCAACCTCTTTCCTAGACATCAAACCCAGCACCCTCTCAGCTTCTCCCACATCACCCTTACAAGCATACCCTCCAACCAAAGCATTGTACACAACAACATTAACCTCAAACCCCATTCCCTCCATCTTCATCACAAACTTCTCAGCACAATCCACACTTCCTTCCCGACAATGCGCGTTCACAACAATACTAATCATGAAAACATCAGGCACAATCCCCATCTTCAAAACCTGCTGAAAAACCATCAGTGCGGCGCCTCCTTCTCCGGCGCGAACCAGCCTAGCGAGAAGACAGTTACAGGACCTGAGGCTGGGGGTCCTGGCGAGCCTACCCATTTCGTCGAACACGTGGAGTGCGTGGCGGGTCATGCCCCGTTCAGCGAAAGCCTTGAGGAGCATGTCGAGGACAGTGGGGGAGAAGCCGAATTCCTTGTAGATGGAAACGACATCGCGGCAGACGGCAAAGGCGCGGAAGTTATTGGTGCAGTGGAGGGAGAGGAGTTGGTGGAGGAGGGAGCGGGCTTGCGGGAAGAGTTTGGCACGAGCGAGGATGTGGAGGAGGAGGCAGAAGGAGGTGGAGTGGGGGCGGTAGTGGGGGTCTTGGGCGGCGAGGTCGAAGAAAGCGAGTGCGGCGGAGGGGTGGAGGCGGAGGCGGCGGAGGATGGCGTCGATGAGGGGGTCGGAGAGGGGGAAGGGGAGGCGGTTGAGGGCGGCGGGGCGCCGTAGGAGGAGGAGGCGGGAGATGCGGTCGAGGAGGTCGGGGGAAGGAGGTTTGGAATTGGAATGTTGAAAGTTGCGGAGGAGAGGAGAGAGATGGAATAGTCTTTGTGAGGGGAAGAAAAGGGGAATGGGTTTGCGGAGGAGAGAGAACATTTGAGTGGTGGCGACGTTGAAGAAAGCATCAGTTGCTAAAGTTGAGCGTTACATTTGTGATCTTATTGAGTTTTTAGTGCTTGAGGAAGAAGAAAGGGTGGAGGTGAATGGTGATGGGAGGTTAGAGAAGGTAGAGGAAGAAGCAACACCACCACCATTGAGCAGCGACTTGCTTGTTCACCAGGAGCAAGAGGGAAGAGGAATAAGGGTAGACCAAAAGTTTTCAAATTTATAAGGTACACTTCACAAGAAATTTGTATTCGGTTTTGTATATTTTATAATTTTACTATAAAAAAAAAGTTAAGAAGAATTAAGTCCATAATTTAATTTTGTTTAAAGACAAAAATAAATTATTTTGCACATTTCATAGACCTGAAAATTTATTTAATTAATGATATTTTTTATATAAATATTTATTAAAACAACTATACGGCTAGGTTATTTATATTTAGACTTTAAGCTTGTGTTTGTTCTTAATATATTTATGGATTATGTGTATTAGTTAGGTTTATATACACTCATTTGAAAAGAAAGATAAACACGAATTTGAAATAAGAGGGAAGTTTCGTATTGTCTTTCCCTCATAATTTATAACCAATGGAATAATGTAATATTCACTTAGCTACATGTATGTATGTATGCAACATACTCAACAATGATATGTGGTGTAATTTGATCATAGTCCTTCATTGAAAAACTGGTTGAGAGAGACAGAAACAATCGATTCTCGCATTTTTTTAACCGATGGAGAATTAATTTTCTTTCCTCTTCAGAATCGATATTCCTTTTTTTAAAGCATGAAAATCTTTTCTCGCTTAAAATATAATCGATTTCTATACTTATTTTACATTGATGCATATGATAATTGATATGTATTGTGTTGATTTATAAGATTGTGACGTTGTTGTTGTTGTATGTGAATAGTATTATTGCTTGTGAATGGTGTTGCTGCTGCATTGTTATATGCACAAGACACCATATAAGAATTAATTCTTAATGTTAGGAGGATCAATTATATTTTAACATTTTCAATTTATTTATTAAGACTAAATTTACATGCTTAATAAACAATTCTCCTACCACAATAATAAGTTATCAAAAGAATTTATTAATATTAAATTATACATGTATTTAATGCATTTAATTGTTATTATTATTAAACAATAAATTATGTTTATTATATATATTTTTAATATTATTATTATTATTAATATATTAATAGGTAGAATGTATTATGACCTCGTTAAAAGATAATCTATTCTCTTTTTCAAATCATTTATTAGTATTAATAGAGAATTGTCATATTTAATTTTTTTTGTTTTTAAATTTTTTATTAATATTAAATTATACTTATATTTAATTATTACTATTAAATAATAATTTAGGTTTGTTATATATATATATATATATATATATTATTCTAATATTAATAATATTATTAATATATTAATAGACAAAATTATCAAGAGAATCATTTCCATGAATAATTCTCTTTATTCTTAATTTTTTATTAATATTAAATTATACTCGTATTTAACTATTATTATTAAATAATAATTTGAGTTTGTTATATATGTATTAGTATTAATAATGTTATTAATATATTAAGATTAATAAAAAAATTATTTATTAGTCTATTAATGATAAATTAATATTTTTATAATTATCAATTATTTAAAACATTTTATAATATATAAATATTTGATATGATTTTATAAGTTAATGGTAAAATATAATATAAGTATAGATTTTAGTGAAAAGAATATATAAATTAAATAATCAATGTTAAATAATATATTTCAATAATCTCGATATTAATATTAATAATATTGCAAATATTATTTTGAATTTCAAAAACAAATATAATAATAATATTATTATTATTATGATTATTATTGGTGTATCAATACTTTAAATAAAATAAATAAATAGATGAAATAATAATACATAAATAAATAAAAATTTTAATTTATTATTTTTATAATTTGTTTATTCTTTTTACCTTATATAATTATTTTTATATGAAATCTACTATAATAATAATTATTTTAAAATGGATAGTAAGAATATTTTAATTATTAGTTTACAATAATTTTAATGTGAAACAATATAAAAAAATAATGTGAATAAACAAATTTTGTTAACTTTTCTATTTTAAATAATAACACATATCTCATCTTAACCTAATTTACCTTAATTATATTTTATTTTAATTATATTTAAAATAATGGTAAATTTGTAATCTTAACATTTTATCAACTAAAACATTTTTTTAATCTATCATACCAATTATATTACTCACAAATTTTGATAAACTTTTCTCATATTTCTCTTTATTTCTTATTAACTTTTCCTTGATCCAAACAATTCCATGTTTATCTCTCTTTCGCTTCAAATCCACTCATTTTCACTCTCTCATCTTTAAATCCAAAAATAAGCTAAAAGGAAAGTTATAAAAATCCTTTACAAAATAACATGTTACTTAAACTTTCGACAACATTGGTGTTATAACATATGACAGACCCGTTTACTTTTCATTTCTTTTTGTTTAAAAGTGTACATTTCATATAATCATGAAAGAATACAAATATATGTCATTAATACTTACAAAACAGTCACATCATGACTGAAATAAAATAGTCAATATAAAACAAATCAAATTGGAATTTTTCATTTGATATATATTTCTATATACTTGGCATACTGTCTGGTTACAGAAAAATAATTTCATTTTTATCACCACCTGCCTCAGGAGGAGAGTGATGTAGAATGTGACTCAACATGAACTCTACATCTCAAGAGGATGCCAACCATTTCCATACCATCAACAAACCAGTCCCATCTCCTGTGAAGAAGAGGCCACTAGGACCTGACTCAATGGATGAAACCTCTTTCTTAGCAAACAAATGACCCCTCTTTGAAAATCTAATTAAAAAAAATGGTTAGGAGATGCAACAATCAGGGAAAACATGTTCAGCAGAAGTATTATAACCAATAATGATAGATTTGTATTCAAGTTTACTTACGATGGCAATTCATACATATAAACTGAATTGTCTCTGCAAGAGCAAAACAATATTGGTCTACCTTCCGCATCAGGCATCCCAAAAAGTGAAACAATACCCTGTATAAGATGAAATTATGAATTAAGTGAATTGACCAACTCCTCTAATTTTTGCAACAAAGGTAGTAATGGTCAAGTTAAGTATCTTACATTTTGCTCATTGTGTGTATATACCACATTCAATGTTCCCACTTCTTTGCAAGCCCAGATCTTAACCGTGCAGTCAGATGAACTTGACAACAAATATTCATCCCAACAAATAAGGGATGTGACTACATCAGTATGTTCATTGAGTGTCATTGAACACTGTAATGTGTCCATGTTCCAGACCTGAAGATAACAAGAGGTGGTCGTTAGATGATTATTGATTTTTGCAGTTGATGGGAAATTTCACATGATAAAAAAGGGAACCAAAATCATACCTTTATGGTTTGGTCCATGGATCCCGAGTACAACATTTTGCGTCCAACAGTTAGGCAAACCACTGCTTTAGTGTGGCCAGATAGTGAGGCAACCACTTCAAAAGGAGACTCGGCTTCAGATCTTCCTCTCCATGCAGTAATGACACCATCCTGAAATTTTAAATAATCAGATAAGATCATACATATATTAATCTAAACTAGATAACCATAAACAGAATTGTATATGGTTAGTTACCTCTGATGCAGCAAAAAGGGTATCGTTGCCTACTGTCATAGCAAGGACTCGTCCTTTGGGTCCATCAAGAGTATACTCCGATATGGCCTGAGTATTCCAAGCCTTTACAACAACCACAACCATAACCACAAAGTCAGTTTGCATGGACTATTCCTATAATTAACACATTATCATACATTGAACAAAAACAAAACAAGGGTACCTACCTTGACAGAATTGTTGAGACCAACAAAAATCCATGTCCCCTCACTGATCAAAGAAGTAACTTCAGCACCAAGATTTATAACATTAGCACACAGACCAGTATGGCAGTCCCATATCCGAATTGTCCCATCACTGCTGCCTGAATATAGTTTGTCGGATCCAACAGGTAGTGTAATGCCAGTGATAACCTGTTGTCAATAGCATTGACTTAATAATTATCATACGATTTTAATTAGGAATTGCTAAAACATGTCAATCTACAGAATAGCAAACACTATAAGAATAATCAGAGAAATTTGTGATACTAAGAAGTGATCGTGGAGTCCAGCAGTACCTTCTTGTGTTCTTGAAGCTTTGTTACGGTGCAAAGCCCATCACCATGGAACCATGAATGTAAATTGAGGCATTGTTCACCATGTACACAATTGTTGATGGTCCAGTATTTACATATAGTTGGTGATGATTTGTTCTTGGAGGCCTTAGAAACAGTTGTATCACCTCCTCTTACTCTATTCTTTGCAACCAATGTTGCGTTCGGGTTACACGTAGGAGTAGTCTCAGAGGAAGAATGAGTATAAGAAGTATTGGCATTAACACTTGCAGTAGTATGTGGTGAGGGTGTCTCTGTGTGTAAAAACCTGCAAGGATTTCTGTTGCATCTCCCAGCTAGCCAAAAGACGCATGTTGTTCCGCCAATGCGCTCACTTCTTCTTGCAAACTTTCCATCCATGGTATAATGCTCTAAAACACACTGCAATGGCATTCCAAATCAATGAATTTCCATGAAAAACCCAAAACCTCATGGTCCCAAATCCATTACCCAAATAACAATTGCAAAGCAAGCGACGAACACCGCAGAACAAGTTTGATCGACCAAGGTCAATCTTTGTAGTTTGTTTAAAAGATAGTACTATAAACGATAAGAAGAACTATAAATTACTCAGACTTTAGGGTGCTAAGAAGAAGCTTACCTTAGTGGTAACAAAAAATTCAAGAACCGGAGCTTGTGAATTGTTGGATTGGAACGATGGAGTGAGGAAAAAAGTTTTCTTTTTTCTAAATCAAATTTGTTGCTGTGTTATGTTTCGCGGTTATTCTTAAACTTATTTATAGTTTATTAGTATGCTTTGCCGCGACTTAGTACAGAGTCACTGTGCCTGGAGGCCCAGTTAATTTTAAACAAGGCCCACGTTTCCTCTTTTTTTATATTTTTATTAAAATAATACTTACACATCTTATTCTATCTTTTTTTTATATAATAATAATAATAATAATAATAATAATAAATTTATGTATATGTTTTGTAATTATTTATTTTATATTTTTTTATTATTATATTTAAACAATGTTTTCCATATGAATATAACTTTGACAATTAAACTGTCAATACCAAAAACAAAATTTGGCAACTTATATACATGATATTTATGTTGGAGATTAGAGAGATTAGAGAGAAACGGATAAGATATGAGTTTTTGTAAAATGAATTTGTAACTGAATTAATATCCACTTGGCACACAGTCTTTTATACAACCAGTAATTGTTTTTCTTACTAACAGACTTTCCTATTTTACACCACACCCTATTTCTATGGATTTAAGAATTATTCTCAACACTCCACCATAATTCTTAATCCATTACAGATTACAGATTACAACATTTTCATATTAGTGACACAACACCTATTAACTTCCTAAGCTCTTCAAACCTTGTTTTCTTCAATGGCTTGGTAAATATATCTGCAATTTGTTCCAAGGACCTGCAGTACTTCATTTCAAGCTCACCTTTGTTGACTTTGTCACGAAGATAATGGAACCTTGCTTCTATATGCTTGGTTCTATCATGCCAAATTGGATTTTTGACCAAGCTTATAGCACTTTTGTTATCCACCATGAGTTCAAATGGTTCCATAGTGCACTGCAGTTATTCAAACAATCCAGTTAACCAAACACCTTGACAAGTTGCATAGGCTGCAGCCACATACTCAGCCTCACAAGTGCTTAAAGCAATAACATCTTGCTTCTTGGAGCACCAGGATACAGGTGCACCTTGAAACTTGAAAATATAACCTCCTGTGCTCTTCTTTTCAACTTCATCTCCATACCAATCACTATCTGAATACCCTATCAGCTTGTCTCTTTCTTCCTTTACTTCTTCACAGTTTGTGAAACCAACCAACTCAGATTGCTCATTGTCTGATTTGTTTGGAAACAAGATTCCATATTCTGAAGTACCTTTAAGATACCTCAGAATTCTTTTTGCTGCCAGCCAGTGTGATTCCCTTGGATTGTCCATGAATCTACTTATCAATCCTACACTATACCCTATATCAAGCCTAGTATTACAAACATACCTCAGGGAACCAACCACCTGTCTGTATAAGGTGTTGTCCACTTTCTTCTCATCACTTGCTGTTCCAAGTTTCAAGGAAGTTTCTGCAGGAGTCATTGCTGGATTACAATTGACCATGTTGAACTTCTTCAGTATCTCTGAAACATACTTTCTTTGATGCAGAAAAAATCTCTTTTCAGTTAAGACAAATTCCATTCCGAGGAAGAAAGAAAGTTGCCCCAAATCTGTCATTTCAAACTCTGCTTTCATGCTTTCCTTAAACTTCTCTATCAGTTGTGGACTAGTGCCAGTGACTAGTAGATCATCTACATACAAACAGATTATCATAATTTCAGCACTTTTGTTCCTTACATACACACCATGCTCCCTTGTACAGTTGTTGAAGCCCAAGTACTTCAAATACTGGTCAATTCGTTTATTCCAAGCCCTAGGAGCTTGCTTCAGCCCATAAAGAGCTTTTCTCAGTCTCAACACTTTCTGTTCAGCCCCTTTAATCATAAAACCTGGAGGTTGTGTGACATACACTTCTTCTTCAAGCATTCCATTTAAGAATGTTGATTTTACATCCATTTGATGTAATAACCAGCCTCTTGAGTTAGCAAGTGCTACTACCAGCCTTATAGTTTCAAGTCTTGCAACTGGTGCAAAGACCTCCATGTAATCAATCCCTTCTTTTTGCAAGAACCCCCTTGCCACCAATCTGGCCTTATGCTTTGACACTGTCCCATCTGGCTTCAGCTTCAACTTAAACACCCACTTGACATCTATTGGCCTCTTGTTATTGGGTAGGTCAACCAACTCCCACGTTCCATTCTTCTCTATTGATCTTAGTTCATCAACCATAGCCTCCTTCCACACAGGTTCTCCTAATGCTTCTTTAAAGTTTAATGGCTCAACATCAGACATGAGTGCAAAATGTACTAGTTCACCTTCACTATTGACTTGATCATCTCTTACCACCTCATAGTCACTGAGTCTTGTTGATACTGATTTCTGTCTCTGAGATTTCCTTCATCTGCATGCTCAATTCTTTCTTCAGGTTGGAGTACTACTGGTTCATAATCTTCATCACTCGATTCAATCTGCACATTACCAGACCTGCATGATCCTGATTTTACTGTATTACTCCAATTCCAGTAGTCAGTTTCTATCACCACTACATCTCTGCTAACTTCAATCTTCTTATTCCTTGGATTGTATAACCTGTATCCACCTGTGATGTGATATCCAACCAGGATAGTTGTTTCACCCTTATCTTCCAGCTTTCTTCTTTTTTCATCTGGAAGGTGCTTATAGCACAGTGAGCCAAATATCCGCAGGTGCTTCACACTTGGTCTCCTCTTGGTCCACACAGCTTCTGGTACTTGACTCAGTTGCTTTGTTGGACACTTATTCAGAATATAGGCAGCCGTACTAGCAGCTTCTCCCCAAAAACACTTAGGCAGCTTTTTCTCTCTCAGCATGCACCCAATCATGTCCAGTACTGTCCTGTTTCTCCTCTCTGCCACCCCATTATGTTGAGGAGTATAAGGTGGTGTCACTTCATGCTTTATCCCCTCTTCTTCACAGAACTTCTCAAAAACAGTTGAGGTGAATTCCCCTCCTGCATCAGTCCTAAGTACTTTTACTGATTTCTCACTTTCTTTTTCAACACTCTGTTTCCATTTTTTGAACACCTCGAATACCTCATTCTTGTGTTTAATCTGAAATAACCACAACATTCTGCTGTATTCATCCACAAATGACACGAAGTATCTATTTCCACCCAAAGATTCCTCTTCAAAAGGATCACAAACATCAGAGTATACAACAACCAATGCCCTTCTAGCTCTCATCTTCAGTTAAGTCTTAAAGGAATTCCTAGGCTGCTTACCAACTACACATTTTTCACATATCTTCTCTGGCATTACAATTTCAGGAATTCCTAACACCATATTCTGTGACTTTAACTGCTGCATACTTTTAAAATTCAAGTGCCCAAACCTTGAATGCCAAAGCCAAATATCACTCTCTGCTGCTGTGGCCTTCATACACTGCACCTCAGAGGCTTTGATACTTACTTGAAAGGTCCTGTTTCTGGCCAAGGGAGCTTTCAAGACTCGTCTCTTACTTGCATCAAACAGACTCAGGTGTTCATTCTCCATGACTGTAGTAAATCCTTTTTCCATTAATTGACCAAGGCTTAACAGGTTGCACTTCATTTCTGGAACATATAGAACATCCTGTACCACAACAGTCCTACCATCTTTGCCTTTCACAGCAATGTTGCCTACTCCTTCTGCAATGACTGTACTGTGATCCCCAAATTTTACCTTGCTCTTCTTATGATTTTTAAGATCAACTAGCCATTCTCTATGGCTAGTCATATGGTTCGAACAGCCAGTGTCCAAATACCAAAAGTCTTCACTGTTTTGATCCTCCTCACATGTTGCAACCATCAATAATATTGTGTCTGACTCAGCATCATCTCCTTCTTGTACCACATGAGCCTCTTCACCATTGTTCTTCTTCTTTTTTTCTTTGACCAGCACTCGTCTGCAAAGTGACCAAGTTTGTCACAGTTGAAACATTTGAATTTTCTCTTGTCAAAAGGTTTCTTCCCACTATTTTTCTTCCAGCCACCCTTCTTTGATGATTCTGCATTACTGTGATCACCACTATTTTTCCCTTTTGTAGAGTCTGAGTCATCACTCCACTGTTTCTTCACTTTCTTGTTCTTCCTCCAATCTCCACCAGACTTCTTATTCACCCTCGCTTGTAATGCTTGTTTAGACCTATCATAATCCCTTTCAAGCACCCTCTGCTCATGCGCCTCTAGTGATCCCTAGAGTTCTTGAACTGAAACTGCAGAAAGATCCTTTGATTCTTCTATTGCAACAGCAATGTAATCAAATTTTGAGTTTAGGGTTCGCATTACTTTCTCAACCACTTCTTGATCAGTAATCTTGCCACCACAGCCACGCATTGAATTCACAATAGTTTGGACCATAGTGAAATAATCTGCTACCTTTTCCCCAGAACTCATTTGTAATAGCTCAAATTGACGCTTCAGAGTTTGTAATTTTACCTTCTTGAGCTTCTCATCACCGGCATAGCACTTCTCAAGCATGTCCCAGGCTTGTTTCGCAGTCATGGCCGAAGCAATCTTCTCAAAGTGGCGATTGTCAAGGCTATGATGGATCAGAAACAGGGCTTTGCAATCACGTTTTCTTGAATCTTTGTAAGATTGCTTTTGGGCTTCTGTGGCATTCTTCTCCAATTCAGGGTAACCAATCTCTACCAGATCTTGAACGTCTTGGAACCCAAACACCACTCGCATCTGGACATTCCATCGCTCCCAATTTGATCCGTCAAGAACTGGAAGGTTTCCCATCAAATTGTCATCGTTCACACCTGTCATAATTGAAGCACTTGATTCGTTCTGATTCGCAGCGAAATCGCGTTCTCTGGTTGCAGCGTTCCTGATCAACCTCGCTCTGAGATACCAAATGTTGGAGATTAGAGAGATTAGAGAGAAAGGGATAAGATATGGGTTTTTGTAAAATGAAATTGTAACTGAATTAATATTCACTTGGCACACAGTCTTTTATACAACCAGTAATTATTTTTCTTACTAACACACTTTCCTATTTTACACCACACCCTATTTCTATGGATTTAAGAATTATTCTCAACAATTTAAAGCATCCGCAAATATGCATTTTAAAAACTTTAAACATATGCTAATATTTTCTAGTGTTATAAATTAGGTGTTAGAGATTTAGTTTGATTATCCGAATTAAATATGGATTAGTTTGGTTTAATTTTAATAATCAAAATTTACCACATGATCAGTTTAATCCTTTTTTATTATTAAAAAGTTATTAAATAAATTTTATAAATAAATTATTAAATATTTAATAATGTAAATTTGTATTTTTTTATTTATTTTGCATTATTATTGTTATATATATTTTTTCAAATTTCTCTTAAATTTATACATAAATTAAATAATCTTATAATAAAAAATTATATTATATTCTCAAAATATAAATATATTATAATTACAGTACAATTAAATTCTAACCAACTATAAAAAAAATCCATTGATCACACGTATTACAAAAGTATTGTGAAATATTATTTCCGACTTAGAACAAAAACACAATGTTGAAGTGATAACTAACTCCTCCAAATTTAAAGAACAAGTTTAAAACTCTCACACTGTTGTGTCCACTTTAAAATTTCATAGTTTTTATTTAAGCTTTATGGGAAAAATTACAGAATATATAAAACTTAATTGCAAAATTAATATATCAACATATTAGTTTTGATCTCAAGATTGATCTTAAGTTAGTAAAAAAAATGTAATAAAAGAGAGATAAAGTGTCTTTAAAAGTATAATTTTTTAGGTCTTACTATATATATATATATATATATATATATATATATATATATATATATATATATGTAAGTTAGTTTATCACCTTAAAAATAACATCAAAATTAGTAGTAATTATCAAGTGATTGATTATATATCACATTAATATATAGATAATACTAGAAATAATCAAATTATTATGTTTTATTTCTTTATTATTATAAGATAGGATTCAAATATTTTGGATGAGTGTAAGTAAACTAACATAATATATAATTTAAAAAACAAAATTTACAATTAGTCACCGAATTGATATAAAAAGTTATTACATATGTTTAATTTTTCTATGTAGGGTTTAAAGATTTATTTTTATAAATTAGGTTTAAATAATGAGTTTGAATGGTATCCTCTCCTGTCCTTGAGCCCCAGAGTGATTTGTATAATTAATGTTCTTAACATTTAATAGATATAAAATACATTTAAAAGTTGAATATATATATATATATATATATATATATATATATATATATATATATATATATATATATATATATATATTAAAATGGCATCCTAGGACACTAATATTCTTGTTCCACGAGATCTTGTACTGAAAAATGGGAAGCAAGGAGCTTAGATTTGAGACATCTAGAATGTATGAGATAACGTTGAAGCATGGGGACAATGTAGCATAAGAATAACATATTCAATGGAAGTTCTTGTCAGAGAAGGTTGTAATAGACAATTCTGAGAAAAGAAATCGTGATTCCTAAGTATTCCAGGACTGGTATTTATTCAAACTTACAAACAAAAAGAAGAATAGAATGCAGACAACATTCTTCGTTACTACCCTGAAAGTCACCAAGTGCAAAATTAGTGTAGCAACTTTACCTTTTGGTCCAGTCCCATAAACAGTGGCAAAAAAAAGCATAAAGGAGCTATGGCATTGTACCACCATCCAATTAAATTATACATATTTCAGCTCCCAAGTGTCAGATTAATGCTAGATCTCCCTTTTGCCTTTTACCATCATTCTCCTTTCTCTCCCTTTTGAACCTTCTCTTGCTTGCTAAATTCAAATATCCAATGCCTCATTTCCCAAGTTTTCTTTTATTCTTTCTTCTCTCTTTGATCCAAGAAAGCAATGATTCTCAACTCTTTATTTTACAAACACACACACATATATATATAAAGATGGGGGCTAAAAGAAAAAAATTCTACCTCAGATAAATCTGCACCTCTTAAGCATTACTCCTAACCCAGAAGGAAAAATCAGGTTCAAGACAATACAAGCTAACCTGCAAATATGGGAGTCAGAAGTTGGCGCCAATTGCTGTTTTCCTTGTGTCTTCTCTTCAGTTTAGGTAACTTAACTTTTTGTTGGAACTTCGATCGTTTTAACAAAAAACACAGAAACATGTGTTTGTGTTTTGTATGCTTAGTTCCATCATGTTTATGTTTGTAATGCTTGTCATAACTAAGTTACAAATCCTAAGAAGGTGAACATAAATAGAGTAGCAATGCTTCATCAGGAAAATACAATATTGAAGGCATGAAAAGCTGTAGACAATTTATCAATAGCCAGAATTAGTTTATATTCAGGAATGAAGCAAGATATTTTCCATTCAACAATCATAGCCACACATATATTTTAATATGTAATAGCCATGAATCCGAGAAGGTAAATTTGCCTAAACATAAGCTATGCTAGCTATATATAGCAAGAAGGTGTCTCTTCAAAGAAAGTCTTGAATTTAACCTTTTTTGAACAGACAAAATAACATTCAGTGTGTTTTGCCGTTCACTTGGCTCAAATCTAATTGTACTGGAATCTAGACAAAATAAAAGTAATGAGGGTAGCTGGAGAAAGACATATATAGGTAGATTACTCAGCTCAGGCAACATGTTCTGCCACCTTTGGAGCAAGCATAGAATCACTTTGGGTTAATTTATTCAGGTTTACTGGTTCGATTTCAGTTATTTATTTTCATTCGTGCTACTGACAAGTTGAAAGATCCTTGGTTTCTTTTACAGGTCTAGCTAAAGCCATAAGACTAAGAGATGAAGAAAACCAAGAAATCTCATACGAAGTTGGTACCAAGTTGGATGCAGTTCCTGTAGTCAACCCTGCAACTCCAGGCACAGCTAATCCATATCCTACATTAAACCCAACAACTCCTCAAGCATCTGGCACAATAGGACAAACCCCATCAACTCCTACAACCCCATACATGACCCCCATAAACCCATACACAAACCCCACAACCCCAAAAACAAGCCCTACCACAAACCCAACAACTCCAATTATGAGTCCACTCAGCCCTACTACAACAACAAGTCCCACAACCCCAACCACTCCTGCTACTGCATCAGCAGGTGGTCAATGGTGTGTTGCGATCCAATCAGCTGCAGAGAGCACTCTGAAGGTGGCTCTTGACTATGCTTGTGGCTATGGGGCAGACTGTTCAGCAATTCAACCTGGAGCGAATTGTTACAACCCAAATACTCTGAAAGACCATGCTTCTTTTGCATTCAATGACTACTACCAGAAGAATCCAGCTCCTACAAGCTGTGCATTCGGAGGAACCGCTACACTTACAAACAAGGATCCCAGTAAGACATTTCATCAAACATTAAAGCCTCAGTACCTTAACATGATCATTGACAACAATTAAAAGAATTTTAGATTAACATTTTGATGTCTTCAAAATGGACGAGAAACTTTGCATTTAGTGCTTTCAAAGGTACAACATATGGATAAACAGAAATTTTGCATCTTCATGTTCCATATCAAGCATACCTTTTCATCCTTGCAGTCTCTTATAAATTTCCTTTACAGCACAACTTGTATGATGCCTCTCCTAATTTAAAGCTTTTTGTATGCACACATATAGATAGAGAGCCATCCTCTAACTACAGAAACATAACACAGTTATAAAAAAACAGACAAAGGAGGAAAATTATAGGTAGATTCAGAGAAGCAAGATAGCTAAACAGAGATCTTTCCCTGAGTCCCCTTATCAGTAAGTAACTAATGAATATTCTGAAAATCTCAGCTCTATACTTTGCATACTGACTCTCTCACCAAAATTATTTCTTACCAATGTCATGACATGATTCATGAATCCGTGGATTATGAACTTCATTCACTTATCCAAGTTTATTTGGAACTATAGCGTTGCAAAATCCTACTATGTCGTGTCTGTTAACAATAACATGCACTTCTCCGCATCATTTCAGGTAATGGGAACTGCCGCTATACATCGTCCAAAACTCCAAGGTGGGAATTTCTTAACTTCTTAACTACATCTTGTTCACCCTTTTATGAATAAAACATTATCTGTAACTTTTACACGGTCGGAAATTCTAATGCATACATTGTTCATGCAGCATGAGTCCACCAACACCAATTTATGTAAGCCCCCCAACTCCACCAAGTACCATGACACCAACTCCACCAAGTACCATGACCCCAACTACACCAAGTACCATGACCCCAACAACACCAGGTATTATGACCCCAACAACACCAGGTATTATGACCCCAACTGCTCCAGGTATGACAACAATTCCTGGTGGAGCATCGGTGTATGGTTCGGGACCAGCAGGAAGCCCCAATGTAGCAATATCTGCTTCACACTCTGAACTGCTGCTATTTACCTTATTTGGCTTGTGGGCTTCACTTCATGTAGAAAACTACATCTAGATGATAAACAAGGAGCACTCATTCTTTCTGTGATACACCAGAAATCACTCAGTCTTCAGCACCTTTTGCAAGACTACAAGGTGGCAGAATCAACGTGGCATATCTGTCATGAATTCTCCCCATTAAAATTAGTACTACCACTCATAAATGTATCCCTAGTAGATCATAAAGCATGAGAACATGATAGAGCCAAAACGATTTATATAGGCTTGTAGACAGATATTTTACAGCATTAGCAGAGAAGAATAAATTATTAGATTATCTACTTCCATTCAGAACTCTGTTCCACAGATAATCAATTAAACTAATATCAGCTATACTCAGAAGACTACTTCAGATGAATCTATCTTTTACCAAGATGGGTCATGTCAGAAAGTAACATGCCTACATTAATAACAAAGTTGCAATAATGTTCATGGCAACATAAAAAGTTTTATTTTATCATATTTTTAAACAATGATTCCCACAAAAATGCTGTTTGCCCTATTATATGTCGCATCAATTAAATATTTAAAAAATATGAAATTTTTATAGACACAAACAAATGTTCAAGATTTAAAGTATAAATTTATGCGGAGACTTTAATTAATTCTGATAGGACTTTTTAAAAATAAAATTTTCAATAGACTTAAATACAATAATAAATTAAAACAAAGTTAATATAAATTTTAAATTATTAAATAACGTCAAAAATATCAGTAATATAATGTATTAATTTTAGTAGTTTATTATAATTTTTGTTGCCCTATATACCGTACAAAATAACTCAAAATAAACAAAATCCACAACATTTAATAAATTCTTCTGCGGAGGGTTTATATATTATTTCCTCACATGCTTAATATATACTTCTAAAATGATTATAGAGATTGTTAAAAATAACTATTTTATTTTATTTAACTTTTAAAACAGTGTTATCAATATATCAAATTTACTCATATTATTAATTATTTTTAACAATTTTTTTCTTATTTTTTAGTATGTATTCCAATATAATTTTGTATTTATGTATCATGTTATGACATGTTGACTTTATTTTTAACTTTTTTTATTATATATATTTTGAGGAAATAAAGTATTTAAAAACTTAAGAAATAAAATTAACAAAAGATCCTCGCCAAAATTAAAAAGTGCTAAACTAAATTAAGTAAAAAATGATTTTATGTGTTCATTTGATTTAATCAATTTTTAAATTAAGTAAATATTATTCTTTTTATTGATGAAAAAATATAACGTGATAGTAATATGATTCTATTTATTAATATAATATTTGGATTGAATTTACACGTAGGCAAAGGAGTAGTGAGTTGAAACGTAACTTGTTTACACCTCACAACAATAAGTTCACATTTAATTTTATAGTCCTTATGAATATTAAATATTAAATAATATTTCACATTATCAATCTAATCATCTTTCACAAATTCACGTAATCTTATGCTCATAACCTCACTGGAATATTCCTCTCTTCATCCCTAACTTCATAATCTTTCATACCCCACCCCCATCTACTTTTTCCAATAATAATTATTATACATTCAAAAAATCTCATATCATTTTATTATTATTTTTCATTCTTTATTAAATTTTTGAAAAATATATATTAAAAATCTCACGTCTTTTTTCGTTGGTTCAAATGTTTTTAAATTTTATTAAAATTTTACTATAATATCATTATTTTGTTAGTCATAAGTTATCTTTTTATTATGAATTAAAAATATCATTTATTTGGTTCGAAAAAATTTAAGATATTTATTACGTTATTTTATATTATCAATAAAATAAATTACACCCTAAAATAATATCAAGAAAAGTTCTAAAATAATATCAAGAAAAGTTAATCCACTTAGAGAAATAATTTATGTGTGTTGGTTATCTTTCTCTTCACCCATACACTATTTCAAACTTTGTATGATGGCTCAAAACCATTAATTTGAAATCGAATTGCTTCGGAAATGAGGTTGATATTTTTAAACAATTAAATTAAAAAAAAAATTAACCTTAATGGTTATTTATAATAATTGTGAGAATATTTATTAATGTTATAACTTTTTTTTTCTTTCTCTCGTAAAAATAATTATTTTATTATATTTGGTTGTACTACTGAACTTTAAATCTTAAAGTCATCATTACTCAAAACACAATATGTGTCTTTTTGTGTTTTGTTGTGTTTATAACTTTTTCCACCTTATAACTCAAAACACCTTCTATGAACAAAGTGTAAAGAATTTGTGAAGTTAATTTTATGCACCACTATCTCCATTTCATTTTATTTCATAATTTCTCTTTTGAAAGACATTTCCTTGAAGAAATAGCGGCTCAATTTAAGGCATTAAATTAAAACTATCCTTGAGTCAAACTTAGAAACCCCATTCTTAGGAAAAAGTTGTTTTAGTTTTAGACTAGGGGAGATAGGACAAAAGAGAAAATAAAGTTATTTTTATAACATATGATTTTAGTTTTTCAAAAATAAAAAATATTATTTACTTTTAAGCATAATAATTGAAGAGTGAAGAACATTATTTGTAAATAGTAAGAATAAAATAATTTACTAATAGTCTTTTTGCATTGAGAAAAGCTTTCCAAGTTCAACTTTTAATATTGATTTTTGTGTTATTCTTTCCATAATGCATTGCAGTATTCTTTGTGAAATAACAAATTAGGAATTGACGTCAACAACACAAATTTAAATTTGTTATTGCAATTTTTTTTAATTATAATTATAAAGGTTTTTGAAATTAAAATTCTCAAATAGATGTAATTAATTTACAAAATTAGTTATAATTAAAATTTTCAAAGTAACTATAATTATATATCATCTGTATTCAGGTATAAGAAGATTTTGAAAATATTATTTTTTTTATCAATTATGAAATATAACCTATTAATTAATAAATAATAATAATAATATATTTAATTATATCCTGATTTTTTATACTGAGAGAATGGGTACACACAAGTTACATATAATTTTTTAAAATTATATACTTTTTTTAAAATATATTTCTAATTATATGAATATTTTTTAAAAATTTATTTATTAATTAATATTTTTATTCAACAAATTATAAAAAATATTATATTTATATTTTAAAATATCAATAGTTAATTAATTAAGTAATTAATATATATATATTTTATATTTTATTATTATAATATATTTATATAACGTAAATATATAATATTTTTAATTATAATTCTTTCAATTTTAATTTTAATATATAAATAGTTTTTTAAAAGTGAGTCAGCTCACCTCACTTCACCTTAACTACATTACGAGTCAAAGTTTATTTTATCATCCAACAATAATCCATGTCTAATTACTATATTATTCTTTTGTCCTTTAAACTTTTTAGAATATTTAACCTTATATTTTTTACTAAGCTTCAAAAATTATACAAATTTTTCATATTTCAAAATAATTTATTGATAATTTAACAATATCATGTATTGATTATTTTCTCACCACAAACAAACTTTGCCTAAAATAATTTCATAAAACAATAACATTACCACAAAATTATTTTTATTACTGTCTCTATTTTGACCTTTTAAAATATATTTACAAATTTGATTAAATACTTCAAAATATAATATACTCATGGTATTAATTTGGTTTCCATAAAAATCTAGCTTGAAAACTTCCTTGAATATTATTGCAAGTTATTTTTTTATTTATTAATAATGGTGTGTAAAAGGGAGAATGTGGTATATTTTCTCTCGAAAATATTAAAGAAGTAATTTCACTTTAAGTTACACAATGAATATTCATTCCTTTAAACCTTATATCAGTAGACAAAGTCTTTTTTAAATAAATATTTGTTTAGTATCACCATAATCATATACAAAGAAGATTTTTTTTCTTTCGAAAAACATTTATCAAGATGTTTTCATACACAGTTAGTAAAGATTGAACGTGTGATGCATTTAATTGGCTTGTCTCAGCTTTATAATAATTTAACTCATTCAATAATAAACTTATCTTGAAATAAGATTGAATATGAAAATTCACATTGGAATAGACAACTACAATCTTTTAAAAATCATTTGACATTACGGATTCTTTAAGTTCTAAAAGATAAATTATACAAGTTAGTTTCTTCGATTTGGAGAGCTATATAAATAAAATAATTTGATAAATATACAATTTTCATATTAAAATTGAAAAGTAAATACATTTTGTATCTAAAATATTGAACTCATTTCTATTTTGATATAAAATACCATCTAACAACTACTTTAGACACTACGTTTACGTTGATGACTAACAATGTAACAAATACTTTTCTCAATTCATTTATAGAAGTAAGTTGACTTACTTTAATTATTACATCAATAATTTTTTTGGCATCTACGAAACAATCCCAAAACATAATAAGCTTTATAATAATAAGTTTTGTAAGTTTTTTCGTATTCTTTATTTTGTCATAATCAATCCATTCCTTTTGAATTATCAATAATATACTCATATATTATAATTTATCAAAGTCACGATAATCATAAATAAGTATATTAATATTGTAACTTTGCTTCTTAATTTCATTTTCTTTTTTTGAGTTATCCACTCAAAATTTGCTTAAAATTTTAACACAAAACAAGTTATTTTCCTCAACAAAATATTTATTGATCACAAACTAAATTAAAAATGTCATATAAATAATTTGGTAAGTAGGGATGCCAAAACTGAGCGTCGCAGATTGACTCAGTTATAGTCATGATGAGTGTAGACCTTGGCCGTCCCGCCAAGGAGTGAGTTAGCGGACTGGCGAGCTAGCTCTGCCATAATTTAGAAAAAAATAATTTATTTTTTAAAATAAAATTTTTAATAAATTTAATAATAAGATTATTATTTGTTTGTCAATAATTCAATATATATATATATATATTATTTCAATTTAATAATATAAATCAATACATTGTTTTAAGAAATTATAATTTAGAACAATAATAAAATTTACATAATAATAAATAATAGAATATATATATATATATATATATATATATAACGTTGAAACTTATAAAATTTATATTTTTTATATTGAAAAATTCAAATACCAATATCTTTTTTATTTGATAAAATTTCACATTATTTTTGGTTGAGTAATTCTTACACCTTTAATTCAAGTCATAAGGATAAAAATAATCGGTGCTTATAATGAACAAGGAGAATAAGAGAGAATGTTGTGTTTCAGCAAGGAAAATATTTTTTGTGAGAGTTAAACTTTTTTAATTATCTTTTTAAAAATTTTAACTTTATATATTATCTTTATAATTAATTTTATTAGAATAATTTTTTTTATTAATTAGGCGGGTCGCGGGCTAGCTTCGTCCGTTCGCGGGGTTGGCGGGCTTGTGTAAGGCGGATCAAAGCGGATCGATGGACTGAAAATACCAACTCGTCCCACCATATTATGGCGGGATGACTGAGTTGAACCGCCGAACCTGATCCATTTTGTCATCTCTAAGTAGTTATTCAAAATGACATCAATTTCATCATGATCTTAAAAAAAAATGGTTACTTATATAAGAAAATGAAATGTTAATCTTTTAACAATTGATTAACTATGATAAATTTCAAAACTAAAAATCTCTAAACTTTTTGAAATGATAATAAATATCTATAATCATACTATCTTTATAACAAAAGTAATTATGTAGAATCATCATAATTATTACTAGTAATTTTAATTGAAGTTTTGTTTTAACATATTTAAACAAATATTTCGTTAAATTTAACTTATTACAATATTCAATATTCACGTAGACTTAATACTTCATTAAAAGAAATGTATTATAAGAAATAATATTACTATTATCTAAGTTAAGACCAAGTTTTGAACAAAAATATTATGGTATTTATGTCTATTATATAAATAATCATTTTTCTTAATGTAGTTAAAAATATAAATTTTTATGATAATATTTAGAATATTTATCTTATTTTATGCAAGATGAATTACGTTCATAATTCTACCTCATCCACCCATCATATAACTTGCAAAAATATAGAAAAAAATTCGTATATAAATTTGGATGAGATATTCAATAAAGATGACTCAATCAATATCTCTTCCATTATGTAATTTATTTTCATCATCTAATCATAATATATACGAGAATGTGGAATTTTTTTTTAAATCTACAGTATATATCCATAACATCATAAAAAAAACACATAGACGGTATACAAAATTCTTATATTTTACCATCAAAACTTGTTAATATAATAAACAAATTGAATAACCTACTTTTACTTTGATTATTTTTTTTTTAAATTTGCCTTATTTTTAGCTTCATGTTCCAAAATTCAAAATTTAAATGAGACTTTACCAATTACAGAAAAACTACACGTGGTCGAATCTCAGTGGTCACTATTACATGTGATCTTGTCCAAAAAAAGTAACTCATTACATGCTATGCAACCACTAACTAAACTTACTATTTTACATTTCCACCCTCTTATAGTCTCATAAAGTTAAAAAGATGAAAAAATAAATAAATTAAAATTTACATACGGATGAAACTAATGTAAACATTTTACATTAATTATTTTAATAAAAAAATATTTTACAAGGATAAAAAAATATTTTACCAAAATAAAATTTAAAAACATTGGGTCATACCCTTATCTTTGTCTCACGCATCAACAATTTTTTACTGGAGTTAAAAATTAGGACAAAAAAGTTATGTTTACATTTTACAATACTAACATGAAAAACTTTATATTGACTATTTTTACAAATAATATATTTTACAAAGATAATAAAATATATTTTTAGCCTTAGTGATGTTAAATATCTATTTTCAGGAGTTCTAAATTTTATTATATCCTTTTTATGAGAGTAATTTCTTATAATACTTTATTCAAACTTCTATTTGTAATCAAGGGTGACAATTAAAGAATACTTGTGAAAGCCAAAAATAACTTAATGTTAATCAATACTTATATATATTTTTTATATTAGAGAGATATAAAAAGGTTTTCTAAAAAAGATAATAAACAACAAGTATCTTAAAGAGAATTCAATAACAATTTAATAAATTTAGAGTTAATATTAAAAAATGTAATTAATTTGTATTTATTATTTTACTTATGTAAAATAATAACATTTTTTTCATAGCCTGTGTTATTTATCTGTCTTCATCTAAACACAGTTTTTTTCGTTTTGTTTTATAAATTTTGACTTTTGATATTTTAAGTTAAAAGATATTTTTGAACTTTAGAATCATACCTCTTATCTGTTTAAAACTATTATCTCAAAAATTAAATATCAAATATATTTATATTCTGAATATTAATTATTAAAGCAAATTTATTTATATAACAAATCTAAAATATTATGACCCATTACAGTCTATTTTAAACTAATAATCATAGAATCCAATCACCCATCAGATTATAATCTATAAACTATAATCATTCAAAATTTGGTTTTGTATTAAGAATAATGCTTTTTAAAATTGTACTAGTATAAAATTAATGAAGATATTAATTCAAGATTTAAAAATTTAATAGAATCTAATTAAATATATAATATAATAAATATATAATAAATTAATTAATCATAATATTTTGTAGAATATAATAAAATAATAAAAATAATTATCGATGACAATAATATTTTTAAATTAAATAATTTAATTTTAAATATTTTTATAATAATAATTATTTTAACTAAACAAGACGACCTTTTCCTTGCGAATCTAAACATCGTTGCTTGAAGCAGAATATTCCTCCTTTAAGACATAATTATTTTATTCATTTAACTTTTTTTAAATTATAATAGTAGTTTTCAAAAGAGAATATAAAATAATTATAATATATTAGTGCTACAGAATTAAACCTGAAACCATGCAGAACAATTTCACACTTTAAATGATGGCGTGCAAGTTTGGATTAATTTATCATTAAAAGAATTTATTTTTATATTTATAAAGGAAGTCATTAAATGAAAAATATTTAATACTGAGTTTTAAGGAATAAGATGATTTAATAAAATGAATTTAATATTATTTAACATCTACTGTACTTGTGCATGCAATAAAAAAAAAGGGGTTAATTTGTGAGAAATGAATTAAATTAAGATGCAGTTAACCCTGTTCTTATCTTTTGGGCAAGAGAAAACTAGTTGAAAGTAGGGCACAGGGTTCAATGTTTCATTGCTACATTAATACTACTTTGTATCTATCATTATCCTAGTCAAATAAATTATTAAATTTTTGTTTTAGGCAAGTTTTTAGTTTAATAAATGCAAAAAAAACATTGTTTTATGGACACCAAATGACCTTTAAATACAGTTGAATCCTCCACCTTCTCAAAGTCTCAAACCATTGAAGCAATTTTCTCTCTCTTCTTTCATCAATCATTCTCTGCTCCTTTTCACTCTCTGGGGTCAGAGGGCCAATCATCGCCACGCTCTTGCTCTGCACCCTTCTCTCCCCCTCTCTAAAGATTCCCCCGTTTTGTTTCCATCAAAGACATTGCACACACACAGACACACTCGTGTTTTCTTCACTCCTTTGATTGCAACACGTTTCTCTTCAATTTGTTGCATACCCATTTGATTTTAGGTGCGAAATACCGAGTTTTTGTGTCCTTGAAGCCCCTTCTCTCTCTCTCTCTCCTCCCCTTCAAGCTTTAGGGTTTTCTGACCCCTTTTCAGGTATTTCCTGGTTTTTCTCTTGATTCACTGTTTATGGATTTTCTAATGTCAAAATTTGATTCTTTTTAACGTTTTTCCTTCTGGGGTTGATCGAATTTATAACCCGAGTTTTCTAGTAGAATTTGCTTTGAGTGCAGCGGTTGTGGGGATTCGGTTATGATTGTTCTGTCCTACGATGTTGCTGAAACCGGGAAGTGCTTAAATTTGTGATTTTGGGTTGAAGGGTGGTTGTGGCAATCGGTCATATCAAACTGGGTTGGTTTTTATAGTTATGATGATAAGTTGATAACTTGCTTTGGTCAATCATGCTCATTTCGTCTTGCCTTGGGTGATGTTATTATCACGGTCTACAGACACTAGTCTGACTAAAAGGGGTTTTTCAATTTGGTCTCTTTGTGATAGTCACTATCATTGATAGTCGTTGGATGGATTAAATTGAAGCTGCTTCTGCTTTAGATGATGAGAAGATATGGGAAAGTTGGTGTCTTTCTTTTTTGTTTTTCTCTTTTCACCAATGATAATTGGGGAATATCCGGGGAGCTTAATCTTTACCCTGATGCTTGAATTCATGGAGTCCCAGAACAAGTTTCCTTTTTGTCTGGACATGCTGGAGGTGGATTTTGATGTATCTCTGGTAATGAGTAGACTCTGTTGAAATGAGAGTAACCCTTGGAAAGAACTGGCTTTTTAACTTGTGTGATTGTGTTTGATACTCACTTATTTGTCTTCACTTGCAAAAGGGACACTGTTCCTGCCTCCTGCATTTTTTTTTTCTCTTTGAAGTTTTGTCGTGGGTTTCAAGTTTAACCAAACCTTTCCTTCTGTTGCTGCCAAATCTAGTTGATTAGGACATCCAAGTCTATGGAATTGTACCATTGCTGACTAGTGAAGGTATGAAAATACAATTGCGAAGGGGTCTACCTGGAGATTTAGGAACTAGGGCTAATGATAAGGATCCTTTCACATTATTGAAAAGATTAATAACAATGTATCTGTATATCTCTTCTTCCTTTATGGTTAGACTATTTCCTGCCATGTTGATTATGCAAGAACTGAAGACAACGATAACATTGAACCTGCATATTTGAAATTAGGTTTATTTGCATCTAACATTTCATAATAAAAACTCAATTGTCAGTGCTTTAACAATGATGAATTCGGTTCAGGCAGTTTGGAGCGTTGAGCAGTTGGATATGTTAGCTTGTACTCTCTTATTGTTGGTGGGACTTCTTTGAATTTGATCAATTTGGTCCCAGGAAGTCGGTTCCCATTTTTTGGAGATAAAATTCAGCTTTATTCATTGATAATGTAATACTACTAAGTGCTTCATTGATTATTCTTTTGTGATTCCATAACAAGTGCCTTGATTCTTTCAGGCAGGGTTTTAGTGCTATTTTTTGAGAACTTTGAGGGCAGGGTAGGGGGTTTAGTTGTATGATTCGAAGTTTTTTTATATCTGCATCGGTTCTCCTTTGTCCAAAGGGATCAAACTAAAAAAATATAAAACAGAAAGTATTCGGCCCCTATAATTACCATTATACTTGGTTATTGAAGCTATACCAAAAGCTCACTGTTCTTCAGATGTTGATTTTGTAGGTTTTTCATAATTATTCCTAATTCCTGTATAATTAGCATTCCCTAAGTTTTATGATTGTTGGTATATGTTTTGAATTTTTTTTAAAAATTTATTTGCCTATAACAAAAACATAATAACTCAATTTATTGCTGTTTTGTGAATGAGGCAGAAGGGTGATGCAATGTGGCAGTCTTTTGATCCTTCATCTTTGGGTAATGCTCTGAATTATTTTGCTTTTTTTCACTGACTCTTTACTATGCTGAAATTCGAAATAAATATCACCATTTATTATCGCTAATAGGTGCTTCCAAGATTCCATCTATAAAAATACCTGGAAAATCCGGCAATGGTACATGGGAGGCTTTGTCTGGATCTAGTTCCTACCATGCTTCATCTGATGCTAGCCTCTTTTCAAGCTCATTACCTGTGCTTCCACATGAAAAATGTATGCGATGTTTTATTCCCAACTGTTCTGTCATTTATATACTCTGTTTTTACTAAAATTTCTTGATTTGGCTTTACTAATCTGCAGTAAACTTGAATGAAACTGAAAATGGTTATCAATCTGTTGATGATATCTCGTCTGGATTTAAGAAGCTCCATCAAGATGCTGAGGGAAATGGTTCACTTGAAGATGGTGATGCTCCTGCTATTGGACCTGTGCTTCCTGATGATGAGGATGAGCTTTTAGCTGGCATAATGGATGATTTTGACCTAAGTGGTTTGCCCGGATCCCTTGAGGACTTGGAAGAGTATGATCTGTTTGGTAGTGGTGGAGGTATGGAACTAGAAACTGATCCGCAGGATAGTCTCACTGTGGGTATGTCTAAGTTAAGCTTTGCTGATAGTACTGTTGGCAATGGTTTGCCACATTATTCCTTTCCTAATGGGGTGGGAACTGTTGCTGGAGAACATCCATATGGAGAGCATCCTTCTCGAACGTTATTTGTTCGAAATATTAACAGTAATGTGGAGGACTCAGAGCTGAGAGCCCTTTTTGAGGTAAGTTGAAGTTAGGGTGAGGTGGATAGCTCAATCTAGAAAGCTAGTTCAAACTTTTGCTTTGATATTTAGTATTCTAGTTATACACCTTGAATACAATTACAACTTATGCTGCTCATAATTCTTCACTGTGGCCTGGATAATCTGCATATATTTGTTTATAAGATATCCATTTGAAATAAGACAAATTATTGTGCTTCAATAATTTTTTTCAGCTATATGGTGATATAAGAACCCTATATACGGCATGCAAACATCGGGGATTTGTAATGATATCCTATTACGACATCCGTGCTGCTCGAACAGCTATGAGAGCATTACAAAATAAACCACTGCGGCGCAGGAAACTAGATATTCACTTCTCAATACCAAAGGTTATTCTCACCTTCAAAGTTGCTTTGGTTTATTCTTTTCGTTAATTGAATGCTCAGACTATATAATCTCTTGGCTTTCCTTTGTTCTACATTCCAGGATAATCCATCAGACAAGGATATAAACCAAGGAACATTGGTAGTTTTCAATCTGGATCCATCTGTTTCAAATGAAGACCTCCGCCAAATATTTGGGGCTTATGGAGAGGTCAAAGAGGTGATTATTTTATCCTTTCTTGTTGCTTTGTATCCCTGCGAAATGTGTGTATGTGTTCTAAATTTTTAGACTTAAGATTAATTATCAATATTTCTGCAGATAAGGGAAACTCCTCACAAGAGGCATCACAAGTTTATTGAATTTTATGACGTCAGAGCTGCAGAAGCAGCTCTTAAGTCATTGAACAGGAGTGACATAGCTGGTAAACGAATAAAGCTAGAACCTAGTCGGCCTGGAGGAGCTCGTAGAAAGTGAGTACATCGATAATTTCTTATTGCCTGTTTTGTTTTCCCCTTTGTCTTTATGATGATCATCTGTGTTGCTGGCTGATTTTTGTGCATGGTGTAAAATATAAGACAAAACTGATGAGAGAACTGTTGAATATGGTAGCACGAATGATATGGTTGGCTTATCTCTCTGGTCCCATGTTTGACAGCCTAAATACTGTCAAAACTATTTATTTGTATTGATTAGTAGGCATTCCTATAAAACGAGTTTCACCAAATCAACAATAAATTTAAAGTGTTTTGTAAGAGCAGAGTTTCTCGGTCTCATTATTGTTGAGGTGGGAAATTTACCATCGATAGCTGTGCATACATTACTTCCATATCTGCATCTCTTGCTTTCTGGTATCATACGCTGAAACATAGACATATAACTATTAATTACTTGCAACTTTTAGTTTGATGCTCCAATTGAATCAAGAGCTTGACCAAGATGAATCTCGGCCTTTCCGATATCAAGTGGGTTCACCTGTAGCTAACTCTCCTCCAGGTTGGTTCTTTGAGATGCTACATATCCACACATCCCTTGTGCCATCAGCACCTTTAAGCAGCATAACATTTTGTTACTGACTTCATAACCATGTTCCCCTTGTATTTGTCCTCTCTGATGGAATTAAGATAATTTTTTTGTGACAGGGAACTGGTTACAGTTTAACAGCCCTGTTGAGCAGAATTCTATGCAAAGTATCAATCATTCTCCTGTTTCCAGGATCCTCAGCCCAACAACAAGCAATCATTTACCTGGTCTAGCTTCAATTTTGCAACCACAAGCGTCTAACACGGTGAAGGCTGCTGCTATTGGCAATGACCTCGGAAGGAGCAGTCAAGGAGAGCACATATTTACTGGTTTGAATTCATCACACGGATCTAGTTTTCAATCACATTCACTTCCAGAGCCAAAATTCAGCCAGTATCGTGGAGCATTGTCCTCATTTGGTCCATCAACATCAAATGGATCCTCAGTAGAAACTTTATCTGGGCCACAGTTTCTATGGGGAAGCCCAACCCTCTACTCGGAGCATACAAAACCTTCAGCTTGGCCAAGATCATCTGTGGGGCATCCATTTACATCCAATGGGAAGAGCCATGCCTTCCCATACTCAAGTCAGAATAGCTCTTTTGTTGGTTCATCCCAGCATCATCACAATCATCACGTTGGCTCTGCACCATCAGGTTTGCCTTTTGAGAGGCACTTTGGTTTCCATCCTGAGTCATCTGAAACTTCATTCATGAATAATGTTGGTTATGGAGGCATGAATCTAGGGCACAATGATGGAAATTACATGGTTAATGTGGGGGGATCTGTTAATGCTAACATTACTATCCCAAGAAATATATCTGATAATGGTTCATCAAACTTCAGAATGAGATCTTCTCCTAGGCTTAGCCCCGTCTTCTTGGGAAATGGTCCTTATCCAGGACTTCCACCTACCACTTTGGAGGGTTTGGCTGATCGTGCTCGGAGTAGATGGATAGAGAACAATGTGAGCCAGGCTGACAGCAAGAAGCAATTTCAGCTTGAGTTGGATAAGATTAAAAGTGGTGAAGATATAAGGACTACATTAATGATAAAGAATATCCCAAACAAGTAGGAATAACTCTAAAGTGTTTATTGACCGTGTAATTTTTGTATTGAATGCTAAGATGATATAGTAATTGTTTATAACCTGCAGATACACCTCAAAAATGTTATTAGCTGCCATTGATGAAAATCACAGGGGTACTTATGATTTTCTCTATCTGCCAATTGACTTTAAGGTAAATAATTTGCTGTTCTAGGAGTTGTTTATTTTCCTATATGCTGTTGCTCCGTGACCTTTATCAAACCTGTGAAGCTGATTAATTTCTTTTTCTTCCCACTGCAGAATAAATGCAATGTGGGTTATGCATTTATCAACATGCTGTCACCCTCTCTTATCATTCCATTCTACGAGGTTTTTATGAGAATATCTTTTGCTCATTTTGTTTTTTGCATGCTTCTTTTATTTTACTGAGTGAAAATTGTCTTGTCACGGTCACAGATTCTGTTATTTTCATTATTTTGTTAAAATTAATTTAGCAGTAATGCTATCTTGGAATTTATTTAATCAAGAAAGTGTTATTAGAAAAGCTTCATGATATAATTCCCATAGTTTAGTGGTGTATTATTGGCAAAACGGTTGATTTTGCAGACATTCAACGGGAAGAAATGGGAGAAATTTAACAGTGAAAAAGTTGCTTCTTTGGCATATGCTCGAATTCAAGGAAAATCTGCCCTTGTGAGCCATTTTCAAAATTCAAGTTTGATGAATGAAGATAAGCGATGCCGCCCTATTCTTTTCCACTCAGAGGGTTCTGAAATTGGTGATCTGGTAATTGGAAAACATTAAGCGGTGCATTTGTTACTTTTGAAAAACATGTTGTATTAATTTATCAGTCACTCCAAAAGTGTCAAAATGACATTAGTCACTATTTCCTCAATTATGTTCTTTATCATGAGAGTAAGATAAATAATAATGTATCAAATGTCTATGTAATAAATAAGAGAGATTAAGGACATACTAGAAAATTACAAAATAACTATGAAAGCAAGATGATTAATTGCTTTTCTTAATAATGGCAGATAAAAAGAAATAAAGAAACTTTTATCTTTAATCCTTTGGATAATGACTGAGTTCCTTATTAATGAATCTTTTGGTTTTCTTTTCTACTTCAGAAAATAGCCTAACAGCTGATACTTTCCTGTAGATTGTACAAGAACATCTTCCCTCCAACCCCAACAATCTAAACACTCAAGCACCAAGGTCAAGTGAGTTACATTCATGTGATTCTGCTGGGAGCCCTCCAAACGCAGGCCCTTCTGCAAGCTTGGATGCAAATTAACATAATTTATATTAGATGCAGAGTTGCTTAGTCCAAATCGGTTGCTGTTAAATGTTAACATTTGCAAATATGTCTCTGGTGCTGCATATATTTAGGAAGGATAACAGAAGGATGTAGATTTTGTACCATAGTTATTTTCCCAAGTATTTTGCCAGCAAGCTTTAGAAGCTTGGAGCTTTTTTATTGATTTGCTGAACAGGTAGCTGATCTGATTATGTACACAAGGTCAAGGTGGTGGGAGCAAAGGCTGAAGAGTTGAGCAAAAGGGTTTGTTTCTCTCCAGGTTTTGCTCATTTTTGCATTTTGGTGTCATGTCATTGAGCATTTTTTTTTTCCTTTCTGAAAAATGTTAATATGGGGGGTAGAGTTCAGTTTGGTTGGAGTTGAAAGTTGGCAAGTTCACGTGGGGTACAGATTGTATAGAGAGAAATAAAGACTTGTTTCTATGTTTCCTCTAATGATGTATTAGCACTCTTGAAAACCAATTGTAAAACGCATATTTAAATATGATGGTGTACAAGTTGCTCACTATCTCAATCAAGACATTGTTGTTTTGGTAGCATGTAGCCATTAGAAGTGCATCTTTGACACGTCTAGTGAAAAATTCTACCTCATTGGTACCTTTTGTTTTGTTCCGATGTGGAAACTAGTCTAAAGGAGGAAATTTTGATAGAAAGAGAACATAAATTGAAGAAAAAGAAAAGATGTTATTTTTGTCCTTTTTTGGTTGAGTATATGAGTAAAGAAGTAAGAAGAAAGCATTTTGATGAACAGGTATTTTCGTCTCCAAAGTAATGTGATTTGTCTTGTTCTTCAAATACGAAGGGTGAAATTTATAAATAACAAATTTGTATCTCCATTTTCTCAATCTGGAAGTTTATTTAACATTTTCTCTCTCCTACCAATTTTTTTATGCACAGATAACACGTCTCTATTCCCCTTTCTACTTCTTTATCCTAGTTGTTGGTTCTTATTACAAGATTGAAATTAAAAGTGTTACTTAATATTTGTGTAAGAGTTCAATCTACAATGTATCATGGATTAATTATTTTTTTTAAATTCATTTTTTTAAGTTCCATAAATAATAAATTGAATACATTATATCTGATATTCTTTGGAAATCTAACTGTCTTGTGTAAATATTTTAACAATATTTTGAAAATTTACATATCAATACAAATTAAATAAATAATTCATTAGTTATTAAAAAAATGCTGTTACTCAAGAAATTAAACCATTTTTATTATTCAAATTCATAAAAAAAAACGGCTTCTATGAATTTTTAATACAAATTTTCATATGATTTATATATAAAAAATTGTATCCTTTAGCTGATGTCCTTTGAATACTTGACTAGAAAGACCTAAAGGAATTAATATTAAGAATTATATATATATATATATATATATATATATGATAAATTTAATAATTGAGTGTTTATTTGGGTTTAGTCTATCATTTTATCTCTTAAAAAGTTTTCTTTTTCAAAGGTATAATTTGACCTTTTAAAACTTGACCCTTGTTTCTTTGTTATAACACATCTCTCTGATCTTTCGTCTATGTTGTTGAGGTGTAAAGATCGGTCAAAGATATGGAACTTCCTCGTAAGTTCCTGGTCAAAGGAAGGCTACTTCCTTGCAACTTCCTGGTCAAAGGAAGGCTACTTCCTTGCAACTTCCTGGTCAAAGGAAGGGAGCTTCCTTGCAACTTCCTGGTCAAAGGAAGGGAGCTTCCTCTCAACTTCCTCTCAAGAAGGATTTGTTTGGCTATAAATACCTCATTTTGTAACCTCATTTGTATCCAATCCAAGTGTGAAGAAAGAGTAGAGAGAGTGTATTCATACGGGCTTGTGTGAGTTGTAACATTCGGTTTATCCTCTTATTCTAGTTCATTCTCCTGGCTTGGTTCGCCCCAGGATGTAGGATTTAATCCGAACTCGGGTTAACAAATATTCGTGTCTTTTATTGATCTCACATTGGTGTATTATTATTATTCCATCTTATCAGACCTTATTTCCCAACAAGCTGGTATCGAGCCGGGAGGTTGGAGATAAGATGGAGGGAAAGATTCAAGTCGAACGGTTCAATGGTTCCGACTTTGGATTCCGGCGAATGCAAATGGAGGCTTACACGTACGGGAAGGACCTCTACGCACCTCTTGGGGAAAAACCTGAGAAGATGAGCGATGATGAATGGAAGGTGCTCGATCGGAAGGCGATGAGTGCTATAATTCTTTCGCTCTCTCGGAACGTCGCCTACCATGTGAAGGGAGCAAAAAGCACGAAGGAGGTCTTGCGGATACTCGCAGACATGTATGAAAAACCATCGGCGATAAACAAGGTGATGCTGATGAAAAAGCTGTTCAAATTGCAAATGGAGGAGCGAAAGTCGGTGGCCGATCATCTCAACGATTTCAACCAACTCACGACGCGGTTGGCATCGGTGGATATTTCGTTTGATGATGAGGTAAAAGCCCTAATCTTGCTCTCATCATTGCTTGGACGGTTGAGACGTGGTACGTTACTTCGGTGAGCACTTCTTCGGCAAGGAGAAGATGAAGTTCGACAACATAAGAGATATGATGTTGAACGAGGAGACCGCGAAATCAGGCGGGTGGGTCGTCCGGCTCAGCCCTACATACGAGTCCGGAGGGAGACCCGAAACACGAGGGAAAATCCGTGGGAGGTCAAAATCCGGGGAAGGAATAAAGGCAAGAAAGAGATGGTGTGTTGGAGCTGCGAGAAGCCCGGGCATATGAAAGCGAATGCCGGGCACCAAGGAAAGACAAAGAAGGCCGGACGACCAATGCCGCGACGGAGGACACGGCGGATGCACTCTTGTTGAGTGTGAGAAGCTCGCTCGATGACTCGGATCGTGGACTCGGGGGCCTCATTTCACTCATGCGGTAGCAGAGACATCATGGAGCCATACACCGCAGGTGATTTTGGCTTGGTATATCTTGCGAGACAACAAATCCCTAAAAATTGTAGGGAAGGGAGATGTGCGGATCAAGTCCGCAAATGGGTCATGCTTGGACCCTACGTGATGTGAGACACATTCCGGGATCGAAGAGGAATCTCATCTCGGTTGGACAATTTGGACAATGACGGCTTCCACACAATGTTTGGAGACGGAAAGTGGAAGGTCGGCCGAGGAGCTATGACTTTGGCAAGAGGGCTGAAGTCGGGAACGCTTTACACGGCGAGTAGATCCGGCTCAAACACTCTCCTGGCGGGAGTTGTCTCACAATCGCACTTATGGCACGGTCGCTTGGGCCACATGAGCGAAAAAGGAATGAAGGTACTAAAGTCGAGAGGACTTTTGCCCGAGTTGGAGTCGGTGGACGTGGGTCTCTGCGAGCAATGCGTGCTTGGAAGCGAAGCGAGTGAGCTTCATAACCATCGGAAGAGCTCCAAAGACGGAAAAGCTGGAGCTAGTGCACACTGACTTATGGGGGCCAGCACGGTGACATCTCTTGGAGGATCGATGTACTTACATGACGTTCGTCGATGACTCGCACAAGAAAGGTATGGGTGAACTTTACGAAAAGAAAATCCGAAGCCTTTGATACTTTCGGGAGATGGAGAGCACTCGTGGAGAAAGAGGCAGTGCGGAAGTGAAATGTCTCGGATCCAGACAACGGTGGCGAGTACAACGGTGAAGCCATCAAAGAATACTGCGGCCGATCATGGGATCCGGATGCGGAAGAAGGTCCCGGGGACACCTCAACAAAATGGCATTGCGGAGAGGATGAACAGAACACCGAATGAGCGTGCGAGATGCATGCGATTGAAGAGTGGACTGCCCAAGATGTTTTGGGCGAAGCGATCGGCACGGCGCTTTCTTGATCAGCCGGGGCCTTCTGTCCCCTCGAACAACAAAATTCCGGAAGAGGTGCAGAGTGGTAAGAAAGTTGATCTCTCTTTCTTACGTACCTTTGGTTGTTTGGCTTACGTTTTGAATGACGACCAGGACAAAGCTGGATGCTAAGTCAGTCAAATGTACATTCATTGGATATGGGACCGACGAATTTGGGTATAGATTTTGGGATGATCAAAATCGGAAAATTATTCGCGATCGTAATGTGGTGTTCAATGAAGGCATAATGTACAAGGACCGGAAGGAATACCGGACGATGACAAGACCATGCGGGAGTATGTTGGTCTCGATATTTCAAATACCGGAATCATGAGACCAGCGAGATACGGTGGGAGCTCGGATAGATGAGATCGAGCGTACGAAGAAGAGGCGAGAACAGAATCGGATGAGCCGATTGCTTGAGAGCGGCACGCCTCGCGCCTGGGCCGAGAACCAAGGATGAGAAGGGCCCGGATAGGTACTCCCCTTCTCTTTATTACCTACTTTTATCGATTCACGGGAACCGACTGTTATGCGAGGCGGTTAAAGATGCCCACAAGAGCAAGTGGGAGCTTGCGATGGAAGACGAGATGAACTCGTTGAAGAAGAACCACACATGGGATTTGTGTGATCTCCCACAAGGAAAGAAGGCTCTTCAAAACGAGATGGGTCTATCGGGTCAAGGAGGAATCGAGATGGAACAAAACGGTACAAGGCCGGACTTGTAGTAAAGGGATTCCAACGGAGATACGGTATTGACTTTACCGATGTTTTTACACTGTTGTTAAGTTAACCACTATACGTTTAGTGTTAAGCATCGTAGCGGCGGAAAACTTGGAGTTGCAACGGTTAGATGTGAAGACGGCCTTTACGCATGGGGATCTCGAGGAGGAAATTTACATGGTGCAACCGAGAGGGATATAGAGGAAATGATCGGCAGGTCCGTCGCCTAAAGAAGAGCTTGTACGGGCTGAAACGGGCTCCTCGACGGTGGTACCGAAAATTCGATAATTTCATGCTTGGAGATAGGATACTCCAGGTGTAATGCTGATCATTGTTGCTATGTGAAGAAGTTCGGTAACTCTTTCATTATTTTACTGCTATATGTGGATGACATGCTGATAGCGAGGATCAGATGTCAAGGAGATCGAGAGGCTCAAAGATCGGCTATCAAGGAGATTTGATATGAAGGATCTAGGAGAAGCGAGACAGATATCTGGGCATGAAAATCACGAGGGACGAAATCTTGGTAAACTTTGGCTTTCTCAATTTGATTATATTGAGAAGGTGTTGTGCGATTCAATATGAATATCGCAAAGTCGGTTCGAGTGCCATTGGGAAGCCGAGTTCAAGTTGTCCAACAAGGATTCGCCCCGGGATGACTCGGAAAAAGAAAAGATGAGAGTTACGCCGTATGCTTCGGCTATCGGGAGCCTAATGTACGCTATGGTCGCACCGGCCGGACATAGCACATGCGAGTGGGAGTAGTCGGTCGGTTCATGAGCAATCCTGGAGTGATGCACTGGGAGGCGGTAAAGTGGATCCTTAGGTACCCGAGGGGTACTAAGGACCGGGCATTAGTATTTGGCGGGGTACCCTTACCCTGTCCGGGTATGTCGATGCTGATTTTGCAGGAAGTGATCTTGACAAGAGGAGGAGTACTACTGGGTATGTATTCACTTACGGCGGGACGGCCGTATCCCGGATCTCAAAGCTGCAGAAGATAGTCACATTGTCCACAACGGAAGCGCGAGTACGTGGCGGTGACGGAGGCGGCCAAGGAACTCGTTTGGGCTGCAAAACTTCTTGAATGAACTTGGGAGACCTCAAGAGGATGTGGCTCTATACGGCGATAGCCGAGTGCAATTCATCCGGCAAAGAACCCCGCGTTTCACTCGCGAACGAAGCACATCGAGGTTAAGTATCATTTCATTCGGCAACTTCTAGAGAAGAAGATGCTTGCAGCTGAAAAAGGTTCGGGGAGATAGGAATCCTGCAGACATGTTGACCAAGGCGGTAACTTTGGAAAAGTTGAAGGCTGTGTGTAGCTTCGACTGGCCTTGATGATTAAAACAGGCATACTTAGCGGAACCAAGAGCGAGAGATGAACAGGTTGACCAATCTTCAAGTGGGAGATTGTTGAGGTGTAAAGATCGGTCAAAGATAGGGAACTTCCTCGTAAGTTCCTGGTCAAAGGAAGGCTACTTCCTTGCAACTTCCCAGTCAAAGGAAGGCTACTTCCTTGCAACTTCCTGGTCAAAGGAAGGGAGCTTCCTTGCAACTTCCTGGTCAAAGGAAGGGAGCTTCCTCTCAACTTCCTCTCAAGACGGATTTGTTTGGCTATAAATACCTCATTTTGTAACCTCATTTGTATCCAATCCAAGTGTGAAGAAAGAGTAGAGAGAGTGTATTCATACGGGCTTGTGTGAGTTGTAACATTCGGTTTATTCTCTTATTCTAGTTCATTCTCCTGGCTTGGTTCGCCCCCAGATGTAGGATTTAATCCGAACTGGGTTAACAAATATTCGTGTCTTTTATTGATCTCACATTGATGTATTATTATTATTCCATCTTATCCGACCTTATTTCCCAACATATGTTATCTTCAAGATAAGTAGATTATGTATGTTCATCATCCCATTACCACAAACTAAATGAATAGAATGCACAATGTGTCAAACAACATTTTCTTTTTATAGAGAAATATGATGTCAAAATAAAAATTTCTTATAGTTATGAAAATTGTTTCACTACCTCATTATTGTTTAAAATAAAAAATATTTTAAGAGTTTTTAAAATTAAAACAATATTTGATAAAATTCCTTAACTATAATATAAAAAATTGTAAAGTTGACGATTTAATTTTTTCTATGCATAAAAAAAAATCATTTTTTAAAGATGTCCTAAAATACGATGTAAGTGTTTACAGTGTTTTTTTTATATGCTCATATCGTATCTCTTCACTAAATATATTAAATTTTTGTACCATGTAGTTCGGTTCATTTAATATACATATTTATTATCTAATAATTTTCCAAATTCAACCTTTGAGAATAACTTCTAAAGACCAAAATTTAGTTGTCCTGAGATATATATTTTCTGGGTGTTTGATATTAAATGAAAAAAAAGGCACTAAATTATAAATATTTTATCTTAGTACGTGGATTCACTTGGCTTAAAATAATCCATACTCTCAAAAGTAACTTTTCAAACAAAGAAGGTTTTAGAGACAAAAATTTAAAGGTAATTTAGGAAGTATATATATATATATATATATATATATATATATATATATATATATATATATATATATATATATATATATATATATATATTAGGTCTCTTTTGGATTACTATAATATTCGCATAAAGTATCTACCAAATTTATCGACTATAATATGGTCATTCAATTTTATCCACCATATTTTTTCAATACACTAGACTCAGACTCAAACCCAAGACTTTTCTTAAGGAATGAGTTTGTAATTCTTTTCCATTTCCAACTGATAAAGAAAAGGTGTCTTTTAATTTGTAATGTTATTTTAGAGTATTGTCCATAAACTATATAGTTTTTTTATTGGAGTCATTGTTCATAGTAAGTTTACATTTTTCCAAGATCATCAAAATTTTGATAAAACATAACATAGAATGACCATCTCAGTTGTGCGCATTATTTATTCAGAAGTTACAGAGGTTTGTTGCTTTATATCACATCATGAAGAACTGAAGGAATCATTTTGGGAAGGTCAATTACTGAATAGTAAGATTTTAATTTTTTGTCAATACTTGTTCCTTTCATGTAGTAGCCAATTCTTGAGGGCAATACTGAAAGATGGCGTCTTATTTATATATAAAAATATCAGTATTACAAACCATCATTTGCCATGCTTGTCTTTGGAGGAAGGGGCATACAATGTTCAAAATTCCTCTTACCATTCTACTGTGTGTACTGTAATACTTTTAAGTCAAAGTACAACACTAAAAATTTGCTTGCATGAACATAAACTTCCTTATATTATAAGATCAATATCAGTGATGGAATGAGCAGCTTCCATATCTGCCAAGCTTCAAAGCAAGAGCATCAAGAGATCCTTCACTCTCTTTGCAAATGACCCTTCACACCCCTTTCACTAGAAAGAGCATCAAAGAGAATAAAACTAACTTAACAGGCTTGTCTCTGCATGCAAATTCCTTTGCCTTTCTTTTCTTGTTCTAATTTCAAGGTCAATGAGAAAGTAACACTTATTTTGTTCTCTTACGTAGTGGACATGACCACTCATCCTACTGAGGATTTTCCTGGACATATATAGTCCTAGACCTTCCTGTGTATTCCATTGATTCCCTCCTTCAAACATATCATGAAGAACATCGGAAGGAAGACCTTGACCAGAATGGGTCATTCTGCATGAAGAATATGATCAAATGAGACTCTAGTCTAAGTAATAATCCAACATAGGTAACATCTTCAAAGTAACCATCACACACTTGGAGCCTAAAAGTATGACAATTTCTAAAACATAAAGAATGATGGACAATTCTCTGAAATGGCCATACAATCACGATTTTAGGCATATTTGCATTTTTATGGGTAGGTGATATTAGAAATAGTGTGTTTATGCCATTAACTTTTTAGGTTGAGGCTAAACTTGAGTGTAATGTTTAAAATCTAAAGAGAGTGAAGGCAGGATCATTTAACAAACATAATTATCAATTTATTAAAACAAAATAAGAAAAATTATCTATATAGGACTAGAAGCAACAAAGTTAGAGACAGTTTGGAAAAACTTTTCATTAAGCACATCTAGGAAAGAAAATAGAATGAGTAAGGGAAGCAACATTTTTTAAACTTATTATATGATTTAAAATTAACTTCCTTGGCATGTCTAGTCGAGACGACAAGAGTGAAGTATTATAACAAAACCCAACCATGAATTTCAGAAATGGATCAAATATATCACATGGAAACATCTAGGTGAAGTTGATGAACAAGGAAGCACATGCTTATCATAATTTCAAGAGTCTGGGAAATTGTCTAAGAATGATAGCACAATTTACTTGAGACTCTATGGTTGGCTTCTTTGTTTGTCAAATGCATCATGCCTCCATTTGATGTGGCAAAGATCCTTATTTGTTTTTATTATCTAGTGGAGTAATAGAGTAGCATAGATAAGGCGTTAGATATAAAGTCAGCTGATTCAGACATAAATTTCAAGTATAACAAAAATTGAAGAAATCAACTATTACCGTGTCAGAAAGTATAAAATATGGCAAATAAATCACCAGAAGGGAACAGTATTAGCAACAAAATTAACAAGCTATAAATGATCTATATGGACAATAATTCTTAGTTTTTGTACCTGAACTTCAGATGAATAAGCTCATTGCCATCCTGTATTATTTTTAAACCAGGCGAAATTTTGATTTCTACCCAGCCATTTGGAGATGGTGTATGGCTGACTACATTAAGCAAAAGGTCAGACAGGACCACCTGAAGCCTAATTTGGTCGCCATATAGAGAAAGCACTTTTATTTCATCAGGAATTTCATGAAACAGTTGCAAGTTCTTTTCTCTTATCAACATCATGACTTGACTGACAATAGCATCTAAAATATTTCCCAGAACAAATTCTTCCATGTTTAGCTGCAAAGTGCTGCTAGTATTAGCATAAATATGAAACACAAAGTCAGTGTTATTGGATATCAGTGTATAATCTGAAGACATGACTGTATGTAGGCTATGTAGGCATATAGTATGCATGGAATGAAAGCAATATTTTAAACATTAAGTTTAAGAGATCAAAAAAGGAAAGTGCTACTCCAAGAGAGAATTTATGCCTATCAAAACACAACAAAAACACTTACCCTTCATTAATACTTCCTAAATTTGTATCCTCAATAATTGCCATGATTTGTCTTTCACATGCATCACTGGTGTCAAGAAATTGTTTTTGGTTTTCTGACACAGTTGTATTTTCCAAAAGTTTGTGTGTGAATCGCATACCATTTAAAGGTTTCTTCATCTCTTGTAGTATATAAGCCAACTCTTTAGATTCTGAAATGTTTGCCCCTCCTCTAGGCTTGTGCTCTTCAGAGGACTGATTCAGGTCTGGCGTTATAATCTGCAAGAAGCAAAAACAGCCAAGCATATTCCCACCAGCATCAATTCTCTTGTTTGCTGTTATATAAGTCTCCATATATTCTCCATTTCTATCAAAAAATCCAAATGGTAACTTCTCAGAATCTTGACCGCTTATTCCATGGTATAGTAAAATCATAAAATTAGTCAGTGTATCTTGACCTTTCAGTCGACAAAAACTTCCAAAAATTTCACCAGGAAGCAATTTTCCTATGACTTCGTCTCGTTTCCAACCAGTTAGCCTTTCCATGGCTGCATTCCATTCAGAGCAGCAGGCATTCTCATCAGAAGAGAATATGGGTGGAATCAATGGACTGAGACTTTGTATGATTGCTTTGTAATCACCTTCCAACTTGATGAATTTATCTTGAACCACTTTCTCGTAAGTGATGTCTTGACCTACAAAGCATACCCCAACAATAGAATCTGTGTAGTCCCTACTAGTACAAGCATTGACCTTGAGATATACAACTTTCTTTTGTTGATGAAGCCCAAAGTGTTTTATTTTCAACTCAACATTTTTGTCCTCCTTGCCTGAAAAAATATTAGTGATATCAATACATTTGCAATGAGTAAATAACTTCTAGGGGGAGAAGGAATCGAAATAAGATTGCAAATCAAATATTAGCTTGCATGCTCAATTATATAATTTTACATTCCAATTGGTTAAACGACAGGACAACCTAAAAATAAATGAGATGTTTGTTTGCCCAAAGATTTATATAGTACACCACAACATTCATTCTTGTGATGTTCAGGGACTCAGAAGTGAACCGCCTCAAAATTAAATTTTATGGATAGTAAGTGCTGAAGATTTCAGCAAATAGAGGGTCACCAATATCTTATTATAGGATGGTATATGAAACTATGACTGATCCTATGCAAGGATCAGTATGAGTTTCATGAATTGAATATTTCAGACGAAAATGTGAAATCAAATTCTAAAAGATGGCCATGTGGCTGCTGGCAACTACAGAACATTTTTTTGCCACAATGAATCGTAAATAATATTTGAGAGAGTTAATTAAGTTAATACTATGAATTTACTACTATCTTTTCTAAAACAACTGATTTACCTTGCAAGGCTCTGCTTAGAGTATTTTTAAAAGATTCACATGAGTCCGCATGTATAATTTCATTTACCAAGGATTTTCCCATAGCTTCACTGTCCTCTAGACCTGTCAATTCAGCAATCTTCGCATTCCATCCATTGATTAGGCCACCTGAATCAACCCCAAAAATTGGAACTGTTGCTGTCTCAATTAATCTCACCATTTCAAGTGCTACTGAACTGAGTTCATCCATCCCCCCAGTTACAGTGTCAGTTTTCTGTGCATAATTTAAAGTCTTTGGACCAGTGATCTCCGCGTCTTGGAATGAATCTCTTATTATTAGCTGTAATGAGTGGATAGCATTGATTTCTGGAACTTGCCAAGGCAAACTTTTGCTTTTGACTACTTCAAGAAAAGCTTTAAATGATGATCTTGGGTTCATTTTTCCTCCATCATCCTTATCCTCTGGATGGTGCTTGGCTCCTCCCCATTTCATTTCCTTGGCAGTGTGAGACCTGAACCAGAACAAGAAATGTTTTGAATTGATTCTCGCTGTGGCCATTCCACAAACCGCATCACCCAGTGAAGCAGCACCTGGATAACCAGCATCAGCTAAACTATCTGTTGTCAAACCTGTTGAGTCCCCATGATTACTAAGGAGCCATTCTGCAATGTCTTTCACCTGTGCTTCAGTTGGGGTTGTGCCTAACAACCAGCAGTTGCCATCATAAAACAAGGCAGCCCCATCACACTTTACAAGATCCATAATACTTGGAGACTGAGTCACAATGCCAAATGGTGCATCACGAAGGAGCATGTCACACAGTAAGGTTTGTGTTTTAAGAATTCTCTTCTCTGTCATTTGTGATGCCAATTGAATCTCCATGTAAAGTTGCAGTCCAAAAGCCTGCATTAGGAACTCACAAGCATAGCGAACCGGGAAAGACACATAGCGTGGTGAAGTGTGATGACAAACTAGCAAACCCCAAAGCCTTGTTGCATCCTTTCCATTGACTACAATTGCCATCACCAGAGAGGCAATTGATCCCATGTTGGCCATGTACTGTGTGTGACAACCATGTGGTAACCTAAGGGTTGAATTCACCAAGCAAAGAGGTTGCCTTAATTCTTCGCTCTGAATGACCTTAACTGGCTTTGCATGGCAATCACAAATCATCCTAACCCGGTTTTGCTTGAACAAGAAGCGAGAAGCTTGAGGGATATCTGTGGCAGGATAATGTAAACCCAAATAAGGCTCCAAATCTGACCTTCTAATCTCAGATACAACCTCACCGTGATCATCCTCATGAAACTTATAAACCATAACCCTGTCATATCCAGTAAGCTTCTGCACTTCCTCAACAACTGTGTCACACAACAAGCCAATATCTTCCCCAGGAAGAGATTGCAGCCTTGAAATAGCCCTCACAGCGAGCTTCTGTGATTGAACTGCCCCAGCAAGTGACAATGCTGGATCACTCAACCGCGCAGGCTCCAAATCAATCACAACTCCAACATCAATCCTATGCAGTATGGCATAAAATGGCTTCTGAGTTGTCCTTGCATAGACCCAAATTGGGTTCAGAAGCGAAATTTCCCTGGAAGCCACAGCTTTTTCTAAGGAAGCCCCAGAAGAGGGAGTGAAAAGGGTTGTTGCATCAACCCCAATCAAACCCATGAACTGCGTGGAGTCAATTTGCCTCTCCAAACCCAACAATTGAAAACAATTCTCACTGTACCCAATGATCCTAAAAGTGTGTTCCTCAATTGCAAGCATACAACCAAAGGGTTGAATAAGGCTACCCCTTTGGATTTTGGACAGGTATGCAGTCATTTTCTCCCCAGACACTAACCTGGGAGGATCAAGGACCATCCTTGAGTAGTCAAATGATTTGCCAGACACACCAGACTGCTCAAACTCAGCCAGAATCTCAGCATCTGCACTGTACTGAGCCAGTATCTTGTCCCTCTTGGTGTTCATGTTGCTTTCAGCGGATGTGCTCAAGCTTGTTTCTTTCAGCTTCCCTCTACTTCCAAAGCTCATTTCCAAGGCTGTGTGAAAACAAAAGACAAATATATTTGCTTACCTTGTATTGAACCTTCTATGAAGCCAGCCTTATTCTAGCTTTTTACTTGTGTGGTTCATGAAGCAGATATATACATATCAGATACCCTCTACACGAAGAACTGAGAAGAGAGTTTTTATTCGAAAATTGCATGGTTCTTCTTTTGTGGTAAACCGACAATGAATTGCCATATGATATGCACCTCAACCCACCCCACTTAATATCTTCCCTATGTTGTACTAGTTCAGTCCATTTCATGCACATTCCTACCCTCTTACTTTTACTGAACCAACCAGTTTTGACAGTAAAAATAATTGTAATTGGTTAACTTGGAAATGTTGACTTACTTTACTTGTCAAAAAGACACAGTTAGTTTTCCCTCTTTTTCCACGAATCCGGGAAAACCACCGAGGGTGGAGTATGCCGTACTCTTGCAAAAGTGTGTTCCTCTTTTGGAGCAAAATTCTGATTGGCATGCCTAATTAAGCTTCTGTAAATGTAATAAAAAATAAAAAACAGTGTGAAACACTAAACCTTATCTTTGGTTTCAGGTTGTATCTAAATAGATTTGTGTCGGTCCTTTGAAGGACAATAAAATGCAAGTGAAAAACTCGATGGACAGACATAACATGAATCGTGAACCACAAAAACTGAGATAAGAATTGCGGTTCTTAAATCTTTGTTCCATGCTCACCGAATACGACGACGTATGCTTTCACTCTCTTCCCTTATGCGGGGACTGTGAAACGACCTTCTACTATTCTTGAGATGGCAATTCCAATGAGATACTGTGTTATTTGTTTTATTACATGTGTTTAATTAATTAATTTTTAAAATAATTAATATTTTTTTACATATATAAAACAATATTTTATTAAATATATTTTATATTATATGACATAGATTTAATGTTTAAAAACAATTGAATCTATTTAATAAAATAAATTTTAATTATACAATAAATATATAATAAATTTTAATAATAATATTTTTTTATAAATATAAAGATAAAATTTAATAATTATAAAAATATAATAAAATAAGTAATGTAGGTTATCTTAAATATGCATGTAACCTTTTGTTCATAATATATATTTTTGCAAGTTGATTTGGGCCTACTTTTATCTAAATATATAATTGCATCTTGGATCCATAATTTTTATATCCTAAGTTAAATATCTAAAATATTTTTTTATAATTTTTTTTTATCTTAACTTCTTCTTCTATATGTTTACAATTTCTCCACCTCCATCCCTCATACCTTCGTCACTTGACTATTTAATTTTGTTGTGTTCTTACTTTAACTATATTAAAGACCTTTTTTAACAATTAAAAATAAATAATTATTAATATTACGTATGATTTTACATGTTTCTACACTCAAATTGCATAAATAGATTCAAATTGTTCAATCTTATAATATGGTGAAAATGAGATTGAATTCCAAAATATTTAATCTAAAATATATTTTCGGATTGACTTTTTAGGAAACACAATCTAAACACACAAATTCTAAAATATTGTTATGGAAATGTATTTCAGAACGCATTTTCTTAAATATATTTCTAGAAAATTAATTTTAAAAATATATTCTAAAAAAATATGTATGTGTATTTTAAATCTACCAATCCAGAATTCATTTTCAAAAATCAATTCTAGAAATATATTTAAAAAAAAAATTACTGGAATATGTTTTAAAAAAAAAGGTCTAATTTTTTCACTCCCTACAACATGTTTCAAGAAAAAAAAATTTGTTGCATAAATACTAAACATATAAAATTTTGATATAAAATAAAAAAGTTGAACATTCTTATCTATTTCTTGTAATTTTTAACAGAGTAAAAGAGAAAAAATAAAAATATTGTAGTAGAACTTAAAAATCAGCCATTGAATAAAATATAAAATAAACACTAATGAAAGATGAAAATAAGTTTAAGAGTAAAATGATAATTATTTTAATTATAATGATAAAAAAAAAAAAATTATGGGAGTGCAGAAGTAACAACCCACATGCTAGAGTGTAGTTTTGTTTGGGCATGCAGAGAGTTCTAAACACAAAAAATAAATAAAATACCTCTCTCTCTCTCTCTCTATATATATATATATTATCAATTTATATAAATGATGTACTTTTATAAATTTACAAATTCATTTATTATATTGATTTTATAATTATATGATAAAGAAGTTTATTATTTTATATAAATTATATAATTTGATGTAAATTATAAATATTTATAGTTATATTATTTATAATTTGGTAATTTTAATTATATATAATTTTTAAAATTATTACATTTTAATTTAAACTTAATAAATTATATAATTTTTTATAATTTATAATTACAAATCATATAATATTGTTTATAAAATTTATGGAAATAATATATTTATATAAGAATATATAATTTTATTAAAGATTTGGTATATTCATTCAAAGTTATTTTTTAAAACAAACAATATTTTTTAAGAAGTGTGCATAATTTTTCTTAGTGTAATTTGTTGTAAAAAAATTATTTATTATGATTTTAATATATTGAAATAATTTTAAACATAACCAGACACACTCTGAAGATTTCTTAGTGTAATTTGTAGTAAAAAAAATTATTTATTATGATTTTAATAATATTGAAATAATTTTAAACATAACCAGACACACTGTGAAGATTAACATGTTAAAAAATACTTTTAATGGAAAAATTATTTTTACTGTATACAACTACACATAAATTTTTACTATTAGAAAGATCAATTAAAAATAAAAAAATTTTAGTATTTTTTTTTAAAGATAAACACACCCATAAAGTATATATATGAAATAGAAGTTGAGCTCAAACTTGAAGAACGGGGAAACAAAGAAAAAAGTGGCACTCCAGATACCAAAGATATAGGACGTGCGTGGTAGACGCGCCGAGTGGCGCGTGGGGGAATCCCTCCCCGCCATCCAAAAGGTCCTCTCTTTCCGCGAAACAGCACGTGTCAACGCGTTACGCTGAGCTGGTTCCACGCGCCACGTGGTTCTCTCCTAGCGGTCGAGGGCACAGATCCCATCCCAGCCGTCAGAACCATCATCCAACAACACATATACTAATTGCAGGTTCATACAGTCCATTTCTTTCTCCCTCTTTTCTCACTCTGACCCAAATGGAGCTTTAGAGAGAGAAACTAAGGGTTGCTTCAGTTGCCACCACCACACAGGTAATATTCCTCTTTCCAATTTCAGTGTCAATTACTCTTTCACTTTTCAACATTTTTTTTTTCTCAGCTATAATTGTTTTACCAGTTTTTTTCTCATAAAAAATGTCAGGAACCTTTTTTGATGTTAGTTATGGTGGTGATTAAGTGGAAGTTCTACTTCCTTGTTATGTTTTCAGTTTGTGGTGTTGCAAGACTTTTGTGGTTAGGTTTTATTGTGTCTTCCTGTGTGACAATTGCGATTTGCTTGATTTTTGCTGGTACAATTTTTGGAGTTGACTTCCTATTTGACTCCTCAATTTGTGAATTTTGTGTGTTATGGGACTTGGGGTTTTGGGTTTTGACTTTTCAGTCATCTCGTGTTTGGGGGCATGATTGTGTTGAGAGTAAATTCATTTGATGATTGTTATTCTTAGAAGATCACTGCACAGTGAACTTTAGACAGTGGTTAAAGATATTTATTTCTTCTTGTACGTAAAAGTAATTTACTAATCTAGTTTTATAACTCAGAAGAGACAGATTTTCCTTTTTTTTTTTAATAAATTAGTTGTTTGTGATGTGAGTAATATTGTTAAGACCTAAGAAGCAGATAAAAATGGACTTTGTCAAGATGACACTCTCAAGGATGCAATCTCGAAATAATTAGGACTAATCAATTTAAACTTGATTTTAATTTGTTCTATGTTGATTGATTTTTTTGATTATGTTATGGTTCTGACCATACATATGTCAAGCAAGTTGTGTTTAAAGATGCTATTTTACATGGAGGTTGTATTTTTCCTTAGGCTTCTTTGCTTCTTGGTGAAATAATTTTTTGGAGAGGGATTGTTAACTCTATGATGTGGAAGTCTTTAATATTCTTGGACTCTTTTTTTTGTATGTATTTTTACCTCTACCTATTATATGATTGAAAATTTAGATTTTTTGTTCTCTTTTTGTGCAACAGCCTCTGCTGCTTTGACTGTCTAGAGGGACCTTGGTTCCCCACAGATGTGCCCAGAGCAAGATTGTTGCACCTATTGTAAACACAAATCAAATGCCATCCCTAAAAATGAAGAGCAAAGTAAGCGTGAGCTGTTTAACAGAAACAAAGGATCTTCATGTGTGTCCGAAATCAAAAATAATCTCCAAAAGCCCATGTTCTAAAATCACGATTTCTACCCAAAAGGCTGAAATAGACACTACCTTTCAAAATTACCTAGATGGTAAGCGGCAGTTACTAATTTGTCTCTTAGACTTTATCAATGATTTGCACATTCCATTTTTCTTGTTCTTTTTCAGCTTACCTTTTGCTATTTTTGACATATTGTATAATAAGCTACTTATTTAATCTTCCATGTGTGAATAACTTACATCACATAAACTTTGTAATGTTCGTAATTTGCACAATCTAACAGGTTATAGAATAATTCATGATAATCTACCTTGCTAATAATTATCTTCATTTTCTTTTCTTGATTAAGAAAACAAGTGATATGTGAAATACATGACTTTTGGCATTGAATTTAAGAACATCTCAATATGTGTTCCTTAGGGATGTGGATCCTCTCATGTTAGTTTTTCAATTGACCATTTCATGTGAGAAAAGGGAAAAGACATTAAGGCTTTCCTGCACTGGGTGCTACACCCCTCCTGCAGCTCGGAAATTGTCCTATGTTATGTCAATCTCTCAGCACATAGCATAGTCATGTGGAAAATTCAGGATGAGAAGATCTGAATCCTTGGTGTAAATGACAGATGAAAAAAAGGAAGACACGATAAAAAAAACATACAGATCCAAAAGTGAAGCTACTTTTCTATCACAAGGGTAGTCCTTACTTATAAAATCTGACTTACCAGTCTCTGCCTAGATCATGTGAGTTGAGGCTTCTCAGCCACATAAATGAGGATGTAAGAGAGAATTGTTCTATGAGATGCGACTATGGATTACAATCCAAGATGAAACTTTAAAATTTGGTTTCTGATAAGCCCTTTATGTACTTCCAAACAATAACCTTTAGGATTCTTCATGGTCATAAATTTGTTCTATTTGTATGGTGTTGGAATCTTTGATCAGATTTTTCCAATGTGCAGCTATACTGGAATCATTAAAGTACAGCTATTAATTAAATCATTATTAAGGGCTTTTCTAAAAGTTTTTAATGTTAGATTATTGAATAGATAAAATTGTTTTGGTGAGATTCATTTGGTATAAAAGAACTAGTTTTTAATCTTTTGACTGAATAGAGTTGACCAACTATAGAAATTTGTATCCATTTCTTGCTGTTGTTTTTAATATAATCTATTTCTGGCTGTAATAATAGGTATTACTTTCTGAATGCATACAATCTTCCTTATTTTATGGGTTTGTGCTTAAATTTATGCTGACATTATTTCAAATACTCACATTTGATAGTTCTTACTCTTTCTCTATAGTTTCCTCAAGGATGCAGCCCAATGACGTTGCATGTGATCAGTCTATTGACAGCAAAGAATTACTCGATAAAGAAAACTCTGAATCCGACCTTCAATTTTCTGTTTGTTCTTCTGTCCTGGGAAAAACGGTAGAGTTTGCTTTATTGGCTTTAGACAATCTTTTTGGATGTTCATTTCGTGTTTACTTTACTAATAGCTTGGTGTTAATCACTACAATGGTCAAGATAACTTCCACAAATAGAGGGTGGATTTTTTATAAAAACCTTCATAAATATTGTCCTAAAATTAATCCATGGACAAGTGGCTAGGCTGTGTCAAAACTGAACACTTTATTGGCCTTGATAATTTTCTGGTATAATTTTAAACTCTAAAAGGGCTGAGGGAAAATAAGAAGGAAAAATGAAATGAGTTTTTCCATAAGCTAAAATTAGCATATGCATAAGCTAATTTGCAGAAACTCCCTCATATAGCTTTTCTAATTTTTTTTTTTTTTTTAACTTGTACATGCTTATTTTAGCTTATGGTAAAACTTCATTTTTTTTATTATTTGATTCTCCTAGAAGTGATTTTAGTGAAAATTTTCTTAATAAACCCATCCTGGATTTGTTTTAAACTAGTTAGCACCTCAGAGTCAACTTAATTTGGGATGTACTGTAACTGTACTGATGCATCCACGATATGTACATATATATAATGAAATTCTTTTTCGGGATCATTTAAGAAAAATGGAAGGGAAATTATTTTTTCAATACAAGTAGCCCAATACAACCCAATATATATAGTAAAATAATAGTGATTACTGCTTCATTGGATCTTATGTCTCAATTAAGAAGAGTCGTGGAAAGAACAAGTTCAAAATCGCAATCAATTTCTTTTTTCAGATCCTGCGGGAGCTCTTCCCGTGTGTCATAAATGGCTTACTAATAGAAAGATTCCTAGATCAGAATGAGAAGTAGATAACTGATATATATATATATATATATATATATATATATATATATATATATATATATATATCATTGTCTCCTAGGTAAATGAATTATGCCATTCCCCAACTAAAGATATTTCTAGAAGCTTTGTTTTTGGTTATAGTAAGAGCATGTAGGAACTACATCTGGAAGCTTTGAGTGCAACTTACCTTTCCTAAATAAAAGTTATGTTATGCCATATGATACCTAAACAGGTTGAGAGGAGAATAAAGGATTGTTGGTCCGGGATCTAATGCTTCAATTCAATATCGAAGCTAAATAATTTCCTTGACATTTTTAAAATAATAGATTTTTATGCTAATGTTCATAAGTTGTCAATCATTACTCTCTATACATGTATCCATGAAATTTAAACTTTACTATAATGCACTGACAACTCTTTCTCTTTTTTGTAGGAACTAACCAACCCCTGCACAGCAAGTTTGGAAACAATTTTTTCTCCTGCTTTTGAGCCCATTGAAGTCCATTCACAACATTATACTGAAAACGATGCAGGTATGAGAAATGAGAATAATGAAAATAAATTTTTAGACTTTATTGGTATGGTTGAGATAAAGAAATAAATATACATGACTTTCTTATGTGATTTTGGTTTCTGACTAACTTTTAATCTTGCCATCCATATATCATTATATGATCTAATTTTAGAGTTCTCACATTTTTCTAAATGAGAAATGTACTAGTTCCTACATTTAACATATATTAGTCCCTCACAGGAATAACGTGTACTGAAGCATTCAAGTTCTGTCATTTTTGTTAAATACAGTTGTTCTAAATGAATAAATTTTATGTAGGGACTAAAACAAAAATTTGCATTATTTTAAGGGAACAAAAACATATTTAAACCTTGAAACAATCTTGACCATCTGTGAATGATTGTTCTCACCTCTCTCTTGATAGGTCCCATGTGTATATATATATATATACACACACACACACAAACACATGAATACATTTTTTGTAGGGCTTAACACAAAATATTGCATTATTTTAAGGGGACAAAAACCAGAGCAATAAATATCAATGGGTTTAAACTGGACATGTAATTGACTTGGTAAAGACCTTGATTCAAGGTTCAACATTCGTACCAGTAATCATAAAATTAATATTTGTAATATTTTATAGGATAAAATAACATAAAAATGTTTCATGTTCTATTAAAAAATATTGAAAAATACCAGTTTAAACTGTTTTTTACCAGATTGCTTGGTTCTTTTCCTGTTTAGTGATGCTCCAATTTTTTTTTTCTGGATCATACTCGGTTGGTTCAATTTGAGCAATTCCCACTGTTTTTATAAGAACAATGATAAGTATAGATCATTTTATCATATTTAGAAAGTCAAGATTAAAAATAAATTCACATGACTTTTTAAGTGTTCATGTGATCACTAACTAATTTTCAATTTCGACCATCCCTGCTTGTTTTACACTTAATATGCCCTATATTTATAGTTGTCACATTCTTACAATAAGAACTGCTCTCATTTTATATCCCGTGTGTGTATTGGTATATATGTATGTAGGGTGGGAAGCCTTAATCTTCACTATCGGCTAGGTCATTTGAGTGTTAAAGAAGTCAAAGAAAATGGTTCCGTATTAGTCCTCAGTTGTAGTACTTGGAGTGTTAATCTTGTTAGCTTGGAAGCATGTATGTTTTGTTTTCCCCAACAGTGTCCAGTCACAATAAAGTTTATGTAACTGGGAAAGAATGCCTTCATAATCTTACAGGTTTTATTATGTAAGATTGACAGGTTATACAAAATAAAGTTTTCACAATATCTCTTTGGTCCTGTAAACTCATATAGTTAGGATCCGTTACTATTTATTTATCATTTTCTCTTTTGGCCAAATCTCTAGCTATTTTCTGCATTGAATAACTTAACATTATCTATCACGTTGATACTATGATCCATATACTTAAATTTAACCAAGTCTTACTGATTTATTGTCTACCAGTCTTTTTGTTATTTAATTTCAGGGATATGTATAGACAATAATAAGTAGGAGTGACGTTTCAAAATTTTCCATACAATACAACTCCAACAAACAATTAGCCATAAGCCCAAAAGTTTGATGCCTGGGCTTCCTGTTACAAAATACCATATGATTTAAATTGTTAAATCGTTCCATGTGAAATTTGCCCCCCTGTGCTATGCCAACAATTTCTGTTGCATTCATGCTCTAATGCTATACATTTGCTTAGATACCTATAATAATGACAGGGCATTGGAAGACTTTGAATTTGACATATCAAGATTGTGTTTTGCTTGGAAAAGTTGAAGATGCATGATAGTCATAGGTTTAACTCTGCATGTAGTCATAGGTTTAACTCTTCATGTAGTCATAGGTTTAACTTTTCATGTAGTCATAGTAGCAAAAGGAAGAGATGCATGATAATCACAGCGTACTGGTTAGGGACCTGTATGTCGGTTACAGTGCTTAAAATAAGATGCACCAAAACCTACCGGTACTCTGAACATAACTGGCAGCCCAAATATTGTCACCAGTTTAAGAATGCCTACAAAATCAAAGTCTGTACACCTGACTAAAACATGAGTTTGAGACCCAAAAAAAATTAGTGAAATACCCCTATGACTGAACATTAAAATTTCTAAACTGTTTCTTTTAGAGGTGTTTGGTTCTCAAGTTTATTTCTTTTAGATTGAACTATCTGCATCACAATTTGGCTCTTACTTATGACTATTTGATTGCTATTATTTATTTGCTAACTTCTTTGATTCTATTTCAGGGGGCACTGGCAATACAAACATGGAAGGAGTGGGAGCTGATGAGGGAAGAAGCATATGTGGATATGAAACATGCGATGTATCTGACTTTTACATTTCTGACATGATCATTACAAGCTTACCCTTTGGTGGAAATTCCTTTGATGATGATATCAGCGAAACCAACTGCCTATCTGATTATGGATCTGCTGAGCCATCCATGTTTACTGCATCTGAACAATACATGATCCTGCCTGCTCTTGAAGATGATATTAAAGTTGGCAGTACTTCTGATATCATATCATTTGAAGAATCTTTGATGGTTCGAGAAAGTGCTAGTTTATATTCAGCAATGGGTCAGATAAGATCCTGCAATCAGGAGTCTGATGTTAAAAGTGACTTGGATAAATCAGAGTGTTTTGATCCGCAGTCATTTATCAAGAATTTACCAGAACTATCAGAAATAGAAGTAAATGGACAACCGACCCTAATTCCTAAGCAATCTCCAAGAAGAAAGTCAATAACTCTAGTGCTTGATTTAGATGGTAAGAAAATAAGTTAGCATGTCTCCCACGGAATATTAATAATCAATACTTATTTAATATAGCATTGATGTAAACTGACACCATTGATTTAAATGCTGTTTACATCCAATTCACCACTTAATACATTATGATTATATTTTGCTTTGATTCATGACTCCCTTTCTTCACTTTTTAATTGTTACTTTTTCTTACACAGATTGGCCTTTTCATCATGAAAATATGTCTATTTACTTTTGATCTAAGAATATATTCTGGATGATTTATCTTTGAGTTCTTAATGCTTTATCCATTCAACTATTTTTATGTCCATGACATGGTAAAGCTAATATATTATTGACTCCTAAATTGTCACAATAAATGTATAATTGTGCGCCCCTGAAGTTAAATCTATTAAGTTTTATGCTTTTCAAATATAAAACATTTAAATATAGTGTGAGATTCTCCAAATAGGGTTGAAATGATCACCAGGGATTAAAGACCGAAGGGGCTTAAGTGTTAAGGGATTGAAGACGAAGACTGGCAGGACCGGATTGTCTCCGGGATTGAAATTAGAGCCAGATTATCTTGGACAAAATCTAGGGCCAAATCACATCTAGGATAAACAGCAGTTGGGCTAGTTCCTTGATCATATTCATCCATGCAAACAGAATATATAGCCTCAATCAGGTTCTGAAACAAGTTCTAGGGAACACCATTATGAGGAGTTTACTCTGAGCAAAGAAAATGGGGTAGGTATACATGTATTAGGGGGTTTTATACGTAAATGAAAATACTAATGGTGCAGCTAAAGATCAATCTATTTATAACTAAAATGAAAAACATTGGCGGGATTATACAAATACTAAACTTGAATACTCACTTAAGCTTGGTTTGGTATAGATGAGAGTAATAATAAGTAGGATCGAAACAAGTTGGTAGAGTAGAAATAAATGAGAAATAAAATAGAAATTAAAGGTGTTTGATTAAAGCAGAATAGAGAAAGGGTGAGGAGAAAGATAGAGAGATATGTAAAAATAGGTGAGGAATTGTACAATGTCCTACCACATTTTATTTTATTATTTATTATTTATTATTTTTCTGTTTTTCTCCACCTATGATTTCTATCCTCTCCTGTCCTTCCCTTTCCTCGGAACCAAAGCAGGGCTGACTTCTTTAAGCATCTCTACTGGACGATATTTCTTTGTTTCATTCATTAAAATCAGATTATCATTTTTCTGAATGTTTTTTTGCAATATTTACAAATGAAAATACATTTTACCTGAGCCCTCTGCCATGTTTTCTTGTATCCAGAAACACTTGTTCATTATCATTCATAAAAATCAGATTTATCATTTTTCTGATTGTTTTTGCAATATTTAGAAATGAAAATACATTTTACCTTAGCCATCTGCCATGTTTTCTTGTATCCAGAAACACTTGTTCATTCTACACTGGAACACTGTGATGATGCGGATTTCACTTTTACTGTTTTCTTCAATATGAAAGAATACACAGTGTATGTAAAACAGAGGCCTTATCTCCACACATTCTTGGAGAGAGTATCAGAGATGTTTGAAGTAGTTATTTTCACGGCCAGCCAGAGCATATATGCAAAGCAACTACTTGATATATTGGATCCTGATGGAAGGTTTATCTCTCGTCGAATGTATCGAGAATCATGCCTTTTCTCAGATGGAAATTACACAAAAGATCTTACTATATTAGGTGTTGATCTTGCAAAAGTTGCCATAATTGACAATTCACCTCAGGTACATAATCCGTTACTCACTTTTGTTGGTTCAAGTTCAACTACTGTCTTGCAATGTCTGTAAAGTATTCAATTCTGACCACATTGTTATTTTGAGTCTGAGGGTAATTAAAAATATTTCGTATTTCCAATTGCTCTATATATTAGATGATTTACCAAAAGGCACATATAAAACTAGGTATATCAAATTTTCTCAAGTTATCTTGTGGACTCCTGCAGCAAGCATTAGGCTATATCTTTTGCCTAGACAATGATACAAAGTCTATATCTTTTGCCAAGACAACGATACAATGGAAGATACTTGAGATTGCTTACAAGGAGTCAATAATAACTTAATAACCTAGTGTTTTGAGTTTGGATGAAAGGTAAAGAGAGAGATAGAAAAGGAAATTTACTCAGACCTAGTTTGGAAGTTTTTAAACAAGGGGAAGGGAGGAGGAAGTGTTTCTTCTTTCCCCCTCAAAATTGGTCTGGTTTAAAAGTTTTATTTTAAATAGGAAAATAGTCCTCATTCTCTCCACATTCTTAAACATCCAAACAAAAGGAAATAACTCTCTTCGATCCCCTTCTGTCTCCTTTCCATCTCTCTCCACACTTAAAAATATCTGAAGGCCTATGTAGCCCTGGATGGGGGAGGGGGAGATAATATTTTCTTCATTCAATATGTTTTGGTGTTTAATCCTTTCACTCTTATATCATGCATTTCAGGTTTTCCGGTTGCAAGTGAATAATGGTATTCCTATAAAGAGTTGGTTTGATGATCCATTAGATAGTGCACTGATGTCACTACTTCCCTTTCTTGAGACCTTGGCTGATGCTGATGATGTCCGTCCTATCATTGCAAAGAGATATGGTAACAAAGAATAAGGTTTCTCATTAGACCAAATTTAGCTGATCTTCTTTCTTCTAGGATTATGAAAAATTTGGCCTCTAATTAGATGCTAAATCCTCCTTTCTATTTGAGTTTGAGATGAATTAACCTATAAAATAAACTATTGGTTATCTTATTGTTGAGTCCAGAATTGGTTCCCCTTTCTTCTCAGTTGACAAATGTGGAGTTCTGTGTTTCTCTCGAAAGGTAGTTGTAGCATTCATCTCTTTGTCTTCACTTCCTCATGTTAGTCCTTGTACAGTTAAAGTTTGAATATTCCGTGGGGGTGTACATGAAATTTATCATATTAAGGAATATAGTTCTGAGAGTTACATATTTCATTTGTTTTCCATTCAATATAATGGCCAGATTAATTTCCATGTGTGCTGATAGAAATGGAACCTTTTATTAAGTTTTAAATGGTCTGTGTTATTATTTTTTAATCTTTTTCTTGTCATATACTCCTTTAAGATTATGATTCAAGTATTATTTTATGGGCATTGATGCAATGAGTAATGGTTGTCAAAAGAGACAAATTTAGTTTGATATCTTCAGAAATACTAAATTATTTGTTCAGGAACAGTAAAATACTAGGAAAAACTTTATGGCAAAGTACAATAAATTGAAAAGGGGCTAAATATTTGAGCTGAAATTATAACTATTAAGTTAACAATTCTATGGATAAGATTGAATAGTATTTGTTTATTAATCTTTCAAACAAAAATTATCATCCATAGCCAACAAATATGAGACATCTACTTAAACAATCCAAAGAAATATATGATCATACATATGAAATATCAGCAAGTTCGTGAGAATAATTGAATAGTATAATTTTGAGGATAATTATGATATAACAATATTATTTCATTTAAGGTTCTAGTTGCTTTTTGAAAAAATAGCTGAATACGAATGTCAAATTAATCCATTCCTTATCTAATTCCAGATAAATAATATTCATCATCCTACTCTTTATGATTCAATGAAAAATTATCTATGCATCCATTTTTTCTTTGCTGTTGAGATAAAGTATTAGCCCAGGAGATATAATACAGATTTGATTTAGGTAGTATGTAGCCCAAATCTTTTATTTTTCTCTTCTCGTTAAAAAAGTTTGGAACACATTTTCTTAAGAGCTCTTAATAGTTATTTTATTTTTAAAAAGCTATGTGGAGTTTTCAAAACAAGTTGTCATCGGCTCTCTCTCCTTGTTCTCTCTATTTCTCTCTTCCCAATTTCTCTCTCTCACTCTCTTCCTGCACTCTGTCTTCCAGCTCTCTCACTCTCTCTGTTCCCCTGTTGTCTCCCTGCATGCTCATGAGTTGTCTCTTTTAAGCTTGAAAAATTGTAAATTTCCAAACAAGGAATTTATATTTAAAGATCTTCTTTTGGGCTTTAACTTTAAAGTAGTTCTTAAGCTAAAAAAAAAGTAAAAAGTTGGGCCAAACATTGCCTTAGATGACTTTATTTCAATTTAAATCGTATTTAATTTGATTTTATGTAAATAAATAGTCTTCTCTTAGGAGATTTCCTGTACATAATGTAATTCGGACCATATCTGTAGCTTGAGCTCCATTTCTTCCTTATTATGTCTCCTCCTTCTATCTATATATTCATGTATCCTTTGTGCAGTTTAATAAATCAGAAATGTACATATTCTTTAGTCCTTTCCTCTGGTCCCAAGGCTAGCTTTATATATCCGTGTCATTTGATATCATCTAAACATTCATACGACCCTAGTACTTTGCTGAATGTATTCAAAATCAGGTCATGGCTTGTGTCTCTGGATTTATTCAGTTCTGTCTGGATACTCTCGTATTATGCTATGCATAGACATTATTTATGAAATGGGCGGCATATCCCATTTATTATGGCAACGGGCCGGGTTGTGAAAATAATCAAAAGAATAGATAAGGATGGGGAATGAGAAGATCCTGTTTTTGAGATTTCATGTTAGGACTATAAAGTATATTCTTTTAAACTTTTGATCAAATGGTTCTTTGTTAGGTAACCACCCTAGTAGTATGATAGGTTAGTTACTCATTAGTTAGTAGGTTCAATAGTTTGAATAAGTCATGTTGCCTATAAGAGGGGAGGGAGAGAAATAGTTCATCTTGTCATTTGGGATAGGAAATTGGGGCCTATTGGCATTGGTAAGTGTAAACCCTCAAATTTCTGGAGTATGTGCGTTCTATTTATAAATTGGATGTAGTTCTTCCCTATTCTTTCTTGTAAAGATACCTGATTTCTACGGACTGGTATCAGAATATTGTATTGGAGCTGTGGCAATGAAGTTTTTGAAAATGATTCAACCATTTGATGGAAAAGAGGCGCAGATCAATCTTAGAGCAATATTTGAGCCCATGGTGCTAGAAAAGGAGTTATCTTAGGCTGGAATGGCAGTGTTGTTCTAAATCAGTGGCTTTGCTGCAAACAGAGTAATAAAAAGGAAATTTTGGTTGACCTTTCTGAAGGAAACAGTCAAAAGATTTTGTCCAGAGAGTGGTTTTGATTAATAGCATTGAGTTTGGGATGAGAAGAACCATGGGAGTCAAGACACAGATGCAAGGGTGAAAAGCAAGAACCTTTATGTTGGAGATGAGACAAACCATGGTGAATAAGAACCAGCAACAAAATTAAAGATCTAAAACCAGATCAAAGGTTGGGAATAGATATCAATGGGGAGGAAGCAAACCAGGTGATTGAGAACAAGAGAATCCGTTAGTATGAGAATGGAGGAAGAGTGAGGTATGGTCAATGCTATTTTGGAAATGAAGATGAGGGTGCAGAACAAAGTGGTTCTGCTGCCCCAAACATTAACTCGGTTCATGAGGCACAACAATTAAAGGCTTAGGCAATATCTAGCCAATTGACAAAGATGTCCCCAGCAGAACTACCAGACTAAGATGTTTGTATTGATGCGATGACAATACTGGGGTCAAGAGACGAGGTGGTTGCGGTTCCACAACCGAATATCATTAGAACATACAGGAAGGGAGAAGGAGCTAACCCCAACTCATTAGTCTAATTAGTCAGGCCCATATGATATATTTGTTCTGTTGTTCCAAGGTCAATACAATGGCATTAGTTTCGTTTTTACTGTGCTTGCAAATGGGGCTTGTGGGCTGAGCTTTTTGTCCGATTAAATGGGTCAGATCCAACAAAAGATAGTAAAGGGTTGCTATAGATATCATCTTTGTTTCACGGCCAAAATTATTACAATAAACAAATCATTGGAGAAGGATAGAGGTATTCAACTATTTGAATTTGACCAAGGGCTTGATGATATTTTGGGTCTGCTGCAGTGGTTTGATTTGGCTTTGTTATCATACTTCAAATAATTGGAACCCTGGTGGAACTTGCAGCTGTAAGCGATTTCACCTTCAGGACAATGTGAATGCGTTTTACTTTTAGCGGGGGAGTGTTGTTAGGTGACCCCCATTGCGATTAGTTACAATAGGTTTGTTATCCATTAGTTAGTTGCAGTAGTGGGTTAGTTAGTTGGTCTGAATAAGGCATGTTGCCTATATATGACAGGAGGAGTAGAGATATATCATCTTGACATATATGGGACGAAATTAGGGTCGTTGTCATTTCGAGAATTAACCTGATAATCTTCTTAATACACTTGCAATAAGCTATTAAGTGGTCAATAGAAGATTTTTCCTTTGGTTTCTGAAACTTGTAGAAAAAGTAACAGTCAATAATGATTTATCAACATTCCGAAGGATGCTTATACTGTCTTTAATTTTCTGCAGATATATGATTAGTTATTTTAGTGATCAGGTTGAATGACATAAAAGCATATTTGCATTGCCATTCTAATAAACCACTTGAGTTTTTCCATAATTTGTGTTATATGAATGCCAATACTTTATTAAGATTTTAAAAAGGGTATCCCTGTTTATGAGGCCCCCACATATCTCATCATTGTGGGGTCTGTGCAGACTTAAAAGTCTGCTCCAGATCAAGATAAGATTGATTAATTTATTTTGATACTACATGATGGGTTTTGTAGAAGAAGTGACATTATTCATATCATAAGTGAAAACTGTCACGTAATTAAGAGAGCAGTAGTGTCATATTGCACATAGATACTTAAGGATCTTAGTTCAACATTCATAAGAATCTAATTGTCATTTTATCTTATTTATGCTACATTTTATGTCCTCAGCTTCATCATTGTACATTTATTGATGGCATATATTGGATAAAAGGAATGACGTGTGCATTGGTGGTTAGCTTTTGTTTATATATCTGTATAATAAAAGTGCAACCTGATACCATGTTGATTTGAAAATCATGCTGCAATTTTAAAATATGAATATTTGAGCATATGTACTTGGGATTTACGTGGATTGAGCTTTAAAAATATATCCACCAATTGTTGGCTTAAATCCACAGATTTGTGCATCACCATTGTAAACATAAAGTATTTTGGCCGTCTATCAGGTCTGAGTTGGAAGTCATCATCTTTAATAATTTCAATTGAGTTGACAAGATCTGGGAGGTAATAAGCTAGCTTCCTCGTATTTTACCTTATTTCTTTAAACTTCAAACTAGTATAAATTTCCATTCAAGATTATTCTATACTGGTTCAAGCAATCATATTATATATCAACTAAGTTGTTTTCTAAGCTTCCAATTGGTATGTTTTAATGCTTATCTTGATAAGTAGACCATTTCCTTCATATGTATGAAGAAATTTAATGTAAATGAGGAACACAGTTCGCACAGGTGGAAAGAAAATATTATAGTTTTGTAAATATCCACACTTTTGGCTTTACTGCTATATACTTGAAATAAATTTACTCTAGTCTTCTTTTATGATGGAACGTAGGTGATATAAGAAGTGTCATTTATTAGGACTAACATTGGTTTATATTAGAAAAAAGACTTAAGATTAAAATTACCTGTATGACAATGAGCTTGTTTCAATGGTTTACAAATGGATAGGAGATCCCTAATGCTTTGGCTGGCGGATGTTGAAGACTCCTGTCTATAGTTTTGTATCTTCCGATATATTTTATTAAGCTTAGATGTCTTATGCAGCCATATTAATGTAACCGTCTTCAGAATATCAACTTATAAGTCAACTTAGGGCAGTGGATTTGTCTGGTAATCTAATGTGAACAACAGGTGATATTTTCCAAAAGGAATAATATTTTATTGTCATTAAATCATCAGTCTGCTACAGTGGACTGTTCAACTATGTGATCGAATGGAAAGATTGGAAGTTAAGCATCTGTATTTGTGCATATGATATCATATGTATGGCTTGTGTGGTTTATTCTAGAAGAGAGGTGGTTTTATCCTTTAGGTTAGAATTTTAATTTCATGGACTTGGCCTGTATTAAATAGCTGACTATCACTGCTTTAATGATTGTCTGCTATTCCTTGCTATCTTCATATGCTTTCATGATTTTGCATCCATTGTCTGCAGGGCTGTGAAGAAAATTTTATTAGATTATCACTCTAATGGCTGTTTGATAGGTATGTAAATTTTGATTACACAAGAATCCTGAAGATATTGTTTGACCTTCATTACCTGAAGCAAAGGTAGTGTATAAAGTTGTAAAATCTAACTTGGAAATTTTAAGACTCTCTAGGAAGGTTGTTGTAGTTTTTTGTTTTTATTGTTTCTTCATCTTTAGTTGAATTAGAATATGGTCATTTAAATGGTTGTTATGATTTATTTATCTATTTCATGGGTACCTGATATGGTTTATTATATTTTGAACTACATTTGAAGCATTAGAACTTTGGGACCAATTTTCTGTAATAAAATTTAACACCTTTTTATTTCGTAAAAGATATTTCAGACTGTAGGGGTGCTTGTTGAAATTTTTGGAATGTATAAAGAAACATCCTAAAAATTTAAGCTTGCCATCAAACGAAACACATTCGAACCACGTCGTTTCAAGCTCATGTTATGTGATTACGTTGGTGAGGTTACTTTAACCAATATGCAGCTTGTGAAAATTCTGTTCTGAACGTACGTGTTCATATAAGATTATTTTTCAGGGGAAAAGGGTTTCAGTCATTTTGTTAGACACTTAATTATGATTTTAGAAAAGTGAAATAAGTTTATTATGGTATTCACCAATTACCAAGATATGATTTGGTATAAAAAAATTTCTACCATCGTCTTATGACCTCATTATCATTTAAAGGAAACGCTAATTGCAATTCCTGACATGGTAAAGGGATGTAGGCTAATTACAACTAACTATTTTATAACGAGGTTGAATTTCGCTGAAAAATACTTCTTCGCAAGGTTGGTATTTCAAAGAGTATTTATCATACGTGAGGTAGTGATTAATATTTTTTGAAGGAAATTTTAATGCATAGTAATGTTTATAGTGATTCCAACCCCAATAAGTATGAACTAAATAAGATACCAACCATGACTAGTTCACATAATACAGTGGCAGAGTGAAAAAGAAGCATTGTCTAAATGATGTAGCTGGATAACTGGTTTTGAAGCTATCTGTTGTGATCTGTCTGAAATTTGTCTACGGACTGTTGAAGTGATGACAAAGTTATCATTTGCTGCATATTCTGCATTGGAAATCAATATTCTGCAGTGGAACATCATGGTTATAGGATTGCATTGATTGCACAACTCTATTGTAGTTGCAGAGTGAGGACTCTAGGATGTATTGATTTCCAGGAAAAATTGCAGTACCACCATTCATTGCTGTGGTACTTCTTCCAATCATTTTGTATATTCTCTCATGTCCTTATAAATTATTTTGAATGTAGTTAAACAAATTTCAAAACCCAGAAAAGAATAAAAAAGAAAAAGATAGTAGAAAATATGATTGATTGAATTAAAACTAAAGAGTGAGCAAAATAAAAGTATAATAAACTTATTTATTATTAATAGTTTTTTTAATATTTTAAAAAAATATTATGTTTTTTTTATAATTAATTATATAGGTAAACATTACATAATATTTACGTAATTGATTATGTTTAAAGATATAATACATTGTGTATATTTTTTTATGTTATTATGTTTCAAGGAAATAAGTGTTTTTTCATCTTAATTTGTGTAATTTTTTATATTGGAATACATTAAATATTAACACTGATGATGTCATGTTATCAATCTCGTCAAAGACATGTTTCAAGTCCATCACAATACTTCTTGAGGATAAAAAAGAGCATGTTGATGTCCAATTCTCTTTTTTTCATCAGTGGGAATGTTATTCCCCTCTCCAACTAAAGTTTGTACACGTTGAAAGACTAACATAATCATATTGTTCCCATAAGTGAGTAGCTTCTCTTCTTTGTCGCTCAATACTATCACTAACTGTCACTAAATAAAGAATAAAAAAAGAAATCTAAAAAAATTAGACGATTAATAGAAGGATCAAAATAAAAATGCCTCCAGAGAATATAGACAATTTATATTTATTCAAATGATAAAAATGGAGATGTTACTTTTTTTTTTTTACAAATTAATCATTCTAATTATATATTTTATTTTTATTTATTATAACTTGTATATTATGTTTTTCATTATTCATCTTATCAGAGAATAATGATCAATTAACAAGTTTAAGAAGGAGCTATTTTTTAATTTTTTTAATTTTTGTTATTCATTCTTGCTAGTTAGTTGTACTTATTGTTATTTGCTATTCTTTGTTGTGTGTGATCCTATTTTAGATCAAAACTTAATAAACGATTTTTTTTTCACTATCATCCTATTAAATTCGTAATCCAAAAATAATATCATTCTATTAATATTTACACTAGTACAATTTTCTTACACAACTCAAATTCGATTTCGAGGAGGCCGAATTCCACTTCACTAATTAATATAATTTTTAAAATAAAATAATATTTATTAAATATAATAATTAAATATAAATATATATATTTTATATAAAATAAATATATAAATATTATATATATATATATATTTTAATTTTTATTTATATAATTATATGAATTAAATATAAATATATTTTTTTAAATAACATAAAAAATTATTTATATAATTATATTATTAATATATTTTATAAATATAGTAAAAATAAATATATTTAATACATATATATATATATATATAATATTTAAATATTTATTTATATTTTTATAAATATAATAAAATATAATAAAATTTAATAAATATATATTTATATCTTTCTATATAACATTTTTACATAAATAAATTATATATATTATTTAAATATATTTTTAATATAAAATAATTTTAATAAGTAAAAATAATATTTTTTTATAGAAATATATAAATAATTTTATTATATTTATTATATATTTTTATTATATTTTAATATATTTTTACTATATTTATAAAAATATATTAATAATATAATCATATAAATAAAAAATTAAAAAATATATATATATATATAATATTTATAATATATATATATATATTTAATTATTATATTTAATAAATATTATTTTATTTTAAAAATTATATTAATTATTGAGGTTGGAATTAAGTCTCCGAAAACCGAATTCCAACTATGTATGTGAAAATGGTGCTAATCGGATAAATATTGATAGAATAATATTATTTATAAATTATAAATTTAATAACATGCTAGTCAATTAAATATTAATAGTTAAATATTAATAGAATGATATTATTTTTGAATTATAAATTTAATAACATTACAAAAATCAACAATAAACTCTTAAATATTTCAATCCTAGGTCATTGTACAGGGAGCAACTAATCATACATGTTCTTCTTTAAATCATTTTCAAACTTATTTTAAAATAAATCTCATTGATATTAAAATGTCACCTCACAACTTTCCTACATTGTTCAATTTTCTACTAATTTTGTTATCCATCATGTTAAATGTTCCACAATTTAATTTCAATCACATATATTTCTTAATCATTTTTAATGATTTAGTTGTTATATTTGATTCGTTTTGTTAAAATCAACTTCATAGAGAATTAATTTGAAACCAAAGTAAAATATTTGAGATATAATAATTCACTTGAATTTATGACTAAATATTTCTTTGTGTAAAAAGAATTTCACACTAAACAAGTTCTGTTGCCACATCTCAACACATTTTGAATATGAATATGACAAGAACAATGATCATATTTCAATCTCACATTTCAAATAATTTTTGGTCATATGTCATTAAAGATGATGTGTAAAAAAATTGAAGAAATTCATGTTTTCTATATTATTTTGAATTATATTTATTATAAAATTGAAATAAAAAAATAAAAAATAATCATGATAAAAATTTGAAGAAAGGGATGATAAGTGGTTATGGTTGAAGAAAATTTTCTGAAACATTTCTCTTCTGATTTTTTCTTGAGGTTGAATTGTGAGTTGAATTTTGCAATTTGTTAATGCAATTAGAAGGGTGTGTTGGTTGATTACTTGGATAATCAATCTTTTCTATTAAATAAGATTAATTTGAGAAATATTTTTTACAAATATATATATATATATATATATATATATATATATATATAAAGAAAGTTAATTAAATGAATAACTCTTTAGACATATATTATTTATTTCTTATTAGATATAGTTTTTTTAATGATATTTCTATTGAAAGAGATGTAATTAATTCTATTATTGATAAATAAGTTTGGTTTTTAAGCTTTTGCTCATCTCTATCTGAAAAAATATATATATAATTTCTAAAAATAAAATTATATTTTTTTATAATTTTTTTAATTTAAAAATACATTAGTTTTATCTTATAAAAAAATTAATTTCATTTTTTTTATCTCTTTAATTATAAAAAATGTTTTTCTAAATCATATTCGACCAGATTAGAGTCATTTAGACAAATATGGAAAAAATAATTAATAATATTTTGTAAACTGGGGACATAAATTATTTTGGAACAGAATAAGTGCTAAAACTGTACATGTTTTGAGATAGAGAAAATTGTTTCTATAACATTTTTTTTCTATTATAATAAACTTGATTTTTTATTTTAACAAAATTAATATTTCAATAAGTAGTCATTATATTAAATTGAACATATTCTTAATTATGCATTATTTGAATTTGATTTGTAAGTTTAAAATGTTGATACATCATATCAATTTAGGTTTGATCTTGATTTTTATAATTTATTCTTATAAATTCTTTATTAATTTCACAAATTCTCTTTTAATTTTGTTTTTTTACAAAATATTCTTTACTACATTTGAAACTCATGGGTTGGATGGGTAAGTTTATATGGTAAAGTTTTTATAATTATATATTAATTTCAAAAGCATATTTAATAAAATTGAAATTTTATAAAATATTAAGTGATGTGTTGTTATGTGTAATAATTTTTATTCATAAAATAATTTTATTCAACTTAAAAAAATTACCATGAAGAAATATTTAACATTGAAGTCTGCAGATTTAAAAAAGAGGAGTGTTGAGAATTCAAATTCAATTTTAATTATGGTTTAATTCAAATTTAATACATTGTATCAAATTGAAGATTATGATTCTAAAAATAAACTATATTTTAAAATGACTGTAATCCTAATTAATTATAATTTACATTTGATTTTAAATTTGTATATCAAAGCAGTAAATATTATTATTTTGTTTTAAGTGAAAATCCACCAAGATTATAAGAGTTAATTTAAATATTTTCTTTCTTAATTTAAAAAAATTATCTTTTATTTATTTATTTAATATAATAAAATATTCATTTTTCATAATAAAGCACCCTGTATGAATTTGCTAATTGTTCTATAAATATAAATGAAAAAATTAAAAAACTTATTATGAAGAAAATATCATGAACTATAAAACATATAAAATAAAATTTATTCTACAACCGGAAAAGATTACAAAAATGTTGTACTGTATGATGTGGTTGGATAACTGATTTTGAAACTATCTGATGTGGTGATGTGTCTGAAATTCATCTATTGATGGTGGAAATGGAGGCAATGTTACCATTTGTTGCAGATTTTCCACTTGAAAACCAATGCTCTGCAATGGAGCATCATAGTTATAGGATTGCACAACTCCATTGTAATTGCAGAGTGAAGACTCTGGGTTGTACTGATTTCCAAGTAAAGTAGCATCATAAGTAGTAACATCATTCATGGCTGTGTTACTTCCTCCAATCATCTGTGCTTGATGTTGATTACTCCTCCAATGTTGATTCATACTTTGAATTTCACCAAGTAGATTACAAATATTCAAAGACTCATGGAGTAGATCAGAAGGAACAAGTTTATTTGAAGAATTTCCAAAAGCATCAACTTGGCTACCATAATCTTGTGAACCAACCACATGATTGGTTGTGTCAACCACCCCTTTGTGCTCTGCCTCCAAATGCATAAGATTTGAATCAAAGTTAAGCATTTGGGATTGAGAACTAGAACCCTTTTCAAATTTGTGCAGGTAAGATGCTACAAGATTACCATCAGTGAGAGGCATCACAGGAGAAAGACTAGATTGATTTTGAGAAATGTTCTCCATGAAACCAGGTTGGCTTGGGTTTGGCAGAACACACTCTGGTTGAACCAAGCATTGCATGAAGTTGAACTCAGCTTCATTTTGTTTCTTGCATTTGAACATTTTGGTTCTTTGATTACAAGCTTCAAGCTTAATGTCCAAAATAGCAATGAAATTCCTCAATTCTTCAGCACCTAGGTTGTCAAAACATGGATGCCAAGTTGGATATTTGATCTTGAGAGTGTCCTTTTGAACTTTGGAAATCTCAGTGTCAACCATATTTTTCCTAATCTCAAAAAAGGTACTGAGATCAAAGTTTTTAGGAATTCTGTCATACATTATACTCTCATACCTTTGAATGATGGAATGCATCTCATTGGGGTCTTGGGGCCAAGTCAGTGGTGGAGAATCACCATTGCCATCATACATAATCAAGCAAGTTCTCACTCCACATACTCTAGAAAATTCAGATATTGTCTTTATCAGTCCCTTCTTCCTCTTCATGAAAGCTAAATCACGTTCTCTCCCATTTGTGATGGGTTTCAAGATTAATTTTGGACGACCCATATTCTGAAACATGCACATACAGAAATTGATCAACAAAACCAAACCTTGGAATCCCATGTTAGAGAAAGAGAGCAAGATCAAACAGACAACTAATTCATGAATTGGATGTTCCAGATAACATGTTCCACAAATTTGATAGAAAAATTATCAAGAACAATAAAACATCTACTAAAGTGGTTAGAGTCTAATCTCCCTAATAATTTCATAGAAGAAAAAGAAAACTGTTAAATGTAACAAAACTAATGATGGAAAAAGTTCCTTACTTTGGACAACTGATCTTGAAAACTTGTAACTGCAAGAATGCACAAATGAATAGAGAAACAAAAGTATGTGGAATATATATAAGAAATATTCAATGCCAGTGCATCGAACATTATAATTTTATAGGCACTAATTAAATCACATGTTAAAATCAAAAGAGAAAAATCACATGTTATTATTTTACATTATTTTTTAATGTAATTGTTATATAAATAAATAAATATATATACTATATATACATCTCTTGATGACCTAGATATTCTATAATTATTATTCTACAATTTATTATTACATAAATATTAAATATTAAATCTAACTATTTTAAGAAACAAAATAAATCCTTATATTATCATCGATATTTCTAATGTGCAAATTTGGGAAATATTCATCATTTATTATTTGCATTTCAATTTTAAAATAAAAATATATAATGTTGAACAATAATTTTCAATGGACACTATCTCATAATTCATTGTACAAAATTTATTTCCTTTCCAACCAAAATAGAAAATACCAATTTTTCATTATTGTTATGAAAAGATCTTGTGTAATTTGTATAAATAAAATACATTAATGAAATTATATACTATTATTTAATCATCTGTTTTATTTTCTGGTTAAATATCTTTATATTGGTTTAGTTAAGAGTGGGTTATGACATTTATATTTTTATAAATTTTATGCTATTTTTTTAATTACAATTATGATCTTAAATTCTTATTCTTAAATAAAATATTTTAAGATTTCCTTAACCTCATTAAATCATATGACTCCCAGTTTTTCTAACAAAGAGACATCTAAAACTCTTATTATATGAAAATAATTGTGTCCAAAAAGGTGATAAAGGATTTAGATTTAATTTTACTTTTAATTAAACTTTTAAATTTAATATATTGTATTGGTAAACATTTTAACTTATGATAAGTTTTAATAATTAATTTTGATGATGAATATTACGTATAATATCATAACCAATTGGGATAAAGAAAGTAACTTGCTAATTTTAAGGTCAATTTATTTTGATCCATTTTTGGTATAGGAAGAGTTAAAACACGATAATCTATCTTAAAAACAAAGATTAGCCGAGAAAGATAAAGATTAGTAAATAAGATTAAAATAAAATAATAAATTAAATGAATTAATCAAGTGATTAATGTACATGAGAGAAGACATGTGATTTAATTAAATTTATTATAATTCTTAAAATGCTTTTGTATAACAAAAAAATTAAAAATATTTTTTGTTAAAAGATAATTTTTAAATATTTAAGTTTTTTAATTCTATGTAAATATAATTTTATTTTGTTTTAGTCATTTTAAAATGTTTTGCTAGTTTAGATACTTGTATTTTTTTTAATGTTCTTTATAGTGTTTTCTCTTAATTATAATTAGTTAAACATTAAAATGAAAAAAAAAACTAAAGAATAATTAACATTAAGATAAATTATTTTTTAAGTAAATAATTAATATATTTACTAACATGTCAATGATTTGAGTGGTGGTGTTGGACTCACTCCCCTAAAGTAAAGTTTTGAATTTGAATTTTGTGAAAGAAAAAAAATGTGGTAGGAATTAGGTTGATAATAAATAAAAATAATATGATTATTGATAGTTACATATAATATTTTTTTAATATATTATCACGAATTATTTTTAATAAAACCATACACATATTTTTACTTGCTAGCTATTTTGAAATAGAATAAATTTAAACAATAAAATAACCTTTACAAAATTGCTAATAAAAATCATAATAACAAATTTAATAGCATCGGTTTAAAATAAACTATAATAATTAATTTTCTTTATCAAAATTTGGTTAAATGTTATTTTTATAATGATGCTTGGGAAACTTTAAGGACATTGAAATATACCCTTAATATTATTATGGTTAACAGAAACTTAATTGACATCAATATAGAAAAATCCTTCTTAATAATAACAATTAAAAAATGTCCTATATAGATTTTTACAAAAATAGTAGCTTCGAAATTCACCAACTAATATTTTTGAATCATTAAAATATTTATTAATATTAAAATAATTTTTTATATTTGGTGTAATTAAAATATAATATCCAAATAAAAAAATTAAAATTTAATAAATTTTAATTGCTTTATTAAAAAAATATTTAAAAATGATATAAATTACAATAAAAGTAATTCATTGTTAATGTATTTAATTTTTTTTAGAAATTTACATATTCAAACAAAGATAAGTCTTAGGTAGGGATGACAAAACGGATTAGTTATGTTTTGATCCGCTCCGCCTTTGATTCGTCAAAAGCGACACGGGACAGAGCTAACCCATTATAGTTATGGTGGACTACGAGTCTCAGCCTATCCCGTCAAAGAGCGGACCGACCCATCATATTTTTTATTTTATTTTATTATTTTTAAATCAAATCTTTCAATAAATTTAATAATAAAATTATCATTGTCTACCATTCAATATATATATATATATATATATATATATTTTAAGTTAATAATATAAATTAATTTATTATTTTAATAGATTATATTTTAATTTAATTAAAATTTATATAATAATAAATACACGTACTGTAACACTCGAAAACCTTTGGGATGACTACTCCACTGGAAATCCCAAGAGCATTGGTACAAGTTGACGTTGCAGTTTCCTTGTTGTAAACAAGGTTTATGTCATGCAGTTTGATACCCTGACACGGGTTGCTTTTGCTGCAATCGAAATTGATAGCTTCTCTGCTTGCTGAAGTTCCCTTTATGTTTTCATACAACACTTTGATCATCTTCACCCCAGAACTCTGTTTACCAGCACAGTTATTTGGTCCGGGACAATATGTTTGATCAATAATGATGGGGTTTTGGGCATTGAGCATGGTGAGTTCATGAACACAATGTCTTTTGCATACCCATGGCTTGGTCGTGCCCATGATTTTATCCTAACCCCGTTTTGTGTTCGGTCGAAGGTTGAACTCATCACTGTCACATTGTGAACTCCAGCCTCATGTTCAAACTTCCCCAGACTCCCAATGCTGCAAAACCCACCCAAAATGCATATATAAAACAAACAAACAAACAAACACTCATGGATCAAATGCAAAGAGAGAATTTGAAATACCTAATGCCATGTCCAGGGTCACAATTGACGTGCTCAATCCACACATGGGTGTTGCCGTAGCTCAAGGATATGCAATCATCGCCAGTGCCTGTGGTGGCATGGCTGACCGTGATTCCCGAGGAAAGCAGCACGTTGATTCCATCTGTGTTAGGGCTTGTGCTGGGGGCATTGATGTTCACATGTTCAAACAAAACCTGCCTGCAATGGTCCACCGCAAAGTGTATTCCCTGGCTGTTCAATGATGTTAATCCAATTACATTCACATTGTTGCACGTGTTCTAATCCAATCCTTATTTTGATTCTAATTATTAATCTTAAATGTAATATAATACTCGTGTATAAACTTAATCTAATGTTGAAAAACATGGTGCAAACTAAATTATAATCCTGATTTTGATTATAATTATCAATCATAAATGTAATATAATACTCAAGTATAAACTTAATCTAATGTTGAAAAACATTGTGCAAACTAAATACGAAAGAACTTGAATTAACCATAATGATAATATTCTTTTTAGAGTACGTTGATCTTATGGTCTTCTATCCTGGAGAGTACATGAATTTTCCTCTAGATTTTCTCTCTTGATGGAGATAGAAAAAAGGAACGAACTGAAACTTACGTTCTGTGTGTGCTCTCAAAAGATGATCATTACTCTTTAAATAACTAGAATTAAGTTAAGGTTTAATATTTCCAATTTGACTCCTCGTCAAATTAGAAATTACTCTATAATATCTACACAATTTTATGAAATATATATTTTTTAGCCAAATATTTTAATTTAGTCAAATCACTTTATTATTTGACTTAATAAATAATGACTCTAACACATTTAAATTATCTATCATATATATACATCACCTAATATTTACCAACAACACCAACTCAAAGATATTGACTGCACTTCATCACAAAGAAAAACTCATTTGTAAGTTATCAAAAATCAATTCCCTCAAGATACAAAATAATGGGGTTTGAAATTCAATTATATGGAAGGACATACTCTTGCTCCAATGGGACAACTCTTGACATTTATTTTACAATTCCAGTAGCTCTGGCCCTTTCCATCAAGGGTCCCTCCAAGAATTAAAAGGCCACTAAGATGTCTGAACAAGATCCAAACTCCAGAATTACTAAAGGACCTATAATCTGAAGGGGCAACAATGGTGCCATCAATTTGAAATTTGATCTTGTTCATACAAGGACCCGAAAAATGTGACTTGTTTCAACAAAAAACTTCCTTTGGTACATAAATCGTGGCTAGTTCTTTTGATTTACATGCCATAGACCATGCCTTAAGAAAATGTATGGTAGATTCCATCTTGCCATTGGGTTTTAGCCCCAAGACTAACCACATTGACAACAAAAGCATTACAAGTAATGGCAAAAAAGTTAAATATTGATAGAGAGAGTACCAAGATAAAATAGTTTGTGTAATGAGTCATGATAATGATATTTTGCTAGGTTTTTTGGGAGAGAGTATATACCAATCTATCCTATTTATTATATTATATACATACTATTCAAAACCTCAAAAACAATATGTATAATTAATTCAATTGTAGATTAAGGTAATTGTTTAACATACAAAAGAATATTCTCATATTGTGGAGTTTAAAGTGATAAAAAGTAGAGTGGTGATATTTTGATAATCGAAACTATACAATTCTTCGAATAACTCATTTTTATTAATATAATAATCTATAAAATGATTTAATAAAAATAAAATAAAACTATTATTATAATATTAGAAGAAAATTGTTTATAGAAGTTATATGAATTTGGGTTGTCAAAGTATCATTTTCCTACAAAGTATAACATACGCATACATGGAAGGAGTTTGTATGCTAGATTTGGGTATGGGTGTTTTAAGATTATTCAAAATAATTTTATTTGAATTTAAATTATGAAACAACATTTTACTTTATCCTTTATAAACCAAATATGCATTAAATTTTAACCGAAGATTATGAAATGGTATAAATATCAATAATTTATTAAAAATAAAATAAAAGTAAAAAAAAATAATTAAGTCTATTTGATTTTGTACTATAAAAAGTTATACATCTTTAAATTACATTTAATTGGGTTTATAGGTGATTATGGACAATTTTAAATGTAAGAATGTTTTCATACTAATAACATTAGATGAGGTTGAGATAGTTTAAAATTGTTTGCATTTAATCTATCAAACACATATAATATTTATGTTTATACTTAAATCCAAGACATTGTCATTAACTTAAAAATGTGGATTACAAAGATATACTAGTCTAAAATAAATAAAATAACTTTTAAAAAAATCATCAAGCATTAAATATTATAATGTGTTCAAAATTTGGATTTAAGAGTGTCTTAATAATAGGTCAAATACTAAATTTTCTTATATTTAGTCTAACTAGTGAACTTTTTATATACTAATAATAAAATGTGAATTACAACACTAATATAAAAAAAACCACACACATAATAATTGTTCAAGATAAAATAAATTCAATCATTCAACATAAAATAATAAAATGTGAACAAATTTCCACTTAAAAATGTTTTTAAAATAATATTGACCCTAATGGAGAACAAGTACAATTAACTAATAAAAATTGAAATACAACAGAGTATATTCATTTAAGAGACAAATTAAAATTATTGTTCAGAATCAAATACTTTAAATCCTCTATGTGAATTTAGCTGGACCAAGTAACAAAATCTAATGGTCCGCTCACCTATATTTTAAAACGGGTCAAAATTTTTGGTCTAATCTAACATATGTTAGGCCAACCGGGTAATAAGTCATTTTTTATCTAATTAAAAATATTTTTTTATTTATATAATTTTTTTCAAATTTTGTTTGAAAAAAATATGTTATTCATTTGTTTATTTAAAATTAACTCATATCTATTTAGAAAAAAAAATAAAAAATCAAATGTATAAAATCATAAAAAATAAAGATGTAGCCTTGAGTTAAATACATATTCTGACAGTAAATCTATTATTTTTTTTCTTTTCGGTTAAATATACGGTATAAAGGTATGTAATTTAAATGTTTCTAATAATTGATTTAAAATATCCTACCAGAAATATTATATAAGTTTTTTTTTTGTCATATAACAAAATATATGATCAAATTAATTTATTATACATATATTTTTTAATAAAACAATATTATTTTTATTTTATTGGTAAAATAATTATGATTTTATAAAATGGATCAGCCCATAAGTTTACGGGCTAATCTAACCTAAGTCCATTTAGGCCTTGCCTAAATAGATCGAGTCAAAATTTGTTTGGTTCTATTTAAGTCATAATTTTTTTCATTTAGTGTGGTCTATTTTTTGTTTTTTCGGATTGTCCCATTAGACTAAGTCTACTTTGACATTCTTGTTCACTAGGTATGTGTTTAAGTTTTAGGTAAGTTGGCCTTTATATTCAACTCAAACCATATTTATTTTTGTGGACGTATGTCTCTACTAAAAATATAATATACTAATTACAATAATAAATATTTTATGTAATTAGATAGTTATAACAAATGCAAATTATGACAAGTTTTCCTATTAAAAATAATTTTTTTATTTTATAAGTCATGACAAAAAGAACAAAACTATTCCAATTTTTTTTTAAATAACACTTTGCATCAATTTTAAAATTAAGTGACTAAATTAAATAATTTATTAATATTGAGATAAAATTAAATAACATAATTTATGTAATAAAACTGAAAAGGTAATGAAGAAATTAAGTCTTAGATTAATTATCCAAACAACGTATTTTAGTGTGAAATGTTTAAATTTCTTTTGAAAAATTAAGCATCCTCACCAATATTTATATCCAAACACATTCTAAGGCATATAGTTACTATACTTGAGCAAGTTTAATATGCATGTAAAGATAAAAAAATTCAAAAGTAAACCCTTCACAATATTGCCTAAATTTCAAATGTAGGTTTGTTTATAAAGATTTAAATTTGAAATAAAAAAGGTATATTGTTTATATATTAAAATAAATATTTATTATAAATTGTAACGAGGTAAAAACTGACCGTTATCATATGCAGTGTATAAATTAAAATACTACCAAATTATATTATTTGATTTTGGTGCATGATATCCAAGATTGTAAAAGAAGTTAATACTTTTAAATATTTTAATTTAATTTAAATGTATTAATGGCTTAATTTTTTATATTTTTTAATAATTAATTCTTTTAGTATATTATTTTGAATCAATTGAGAATATATATATATATATATATATATATATATATATATATATATAAAATAAATTAATGAAATAGAATTGAAAAGGAATTTCTAGCAGCCCAATACTTAAACAAAGACGACTTCATGGCCCAAAATGCAAAGTGGAAACACGGGTCGGGGTTAGGGCCCGGTTTTGCAAAAACCCTAGGCCCATCTTAATATCTTAATGTTATCTATAAATCTTGTTGAGAACCTGGTTTATTTAGTTTGGAAACCCTAATTGGGAGGTGAGTGAAAATGGCGGTACCCTTGCTCTCGAAGAGGATCGTGAAGAAGCGCGTGAAGAAGTTCAAGCGCCCTCAAAGCGATCGCAAGATCTCCGTCAAGGTTAGTTAGTAGTTCCTATCCACATTTTATGTTTTTTTTTTTTTTTTTTTTTAATCTGTGAATGTATGTTTATTTTTGCCTCCACTATTGATTTTGAACTGCGTTAGTGAAGTTCATTACAGTTATGATTGTTAGTTTTGTTTGGATTGAAATGATGATAGTTGTTGTCGCCCCAGTCTTAATTTGCACCATACGGTGTAAGATGGTGAATGACATTCTTTTCTGATCCTGTTTTACAGTTTAGTTTATTAGTTTTAGGTTTAATTTGTTTTTTTTTTTCCCTTCAGAATATCTTCGTTTTTAAGTGATGGGGATGTCAGGGTGTTTTGCTGCCCATTTTTGCTTGTTATCTTGATAAACTGATTAATTTTATGTTTTATCTGAAGCACTCTGCTACTGTCCACTATTTCAGTTTATTGAGTATATCTTTAAATGCAATGAGATATGATGATATTTATCCATCAATTCTGCAATGTGAATGATGATCATAAATCATGCACTACCATCTGATCTCTTGCATGTTTTGTTTATTGTATCTCTAATGCTATTTTTCATTTTGTCCATTTGAAGGATGCTATTACATTAATTTTCAGGCCATTGTTACCTAATCGTGATTACTTTTTCCTCCCAAATGACTCTTGTCTGTTACGCTAGGGCCTATTGTTGTTTTGCAATCTGTGATGAATTTTTAGTGTATTCTGATTAATCAGTGATTATTATTACTAAAATCACCATCTTTCGGCTGAGATTGCAGAATGGTACATAACTACTAGCTTTCACTTAGTATGAGCCTTCACTCGTCATTTTTTTTTATTTTTCTTATGCCATGTTAATTAAGGTTGAAAATTTCCTCTTAAATTAAAGCAGAATTTTACTTTTTGTGGTAACATGCTTGTGAAGCCCTTCCATCTTAATTGTCTTGTTGAGCTAGTTGCTTATGTTGTAACGTGAGTAACAATGTTTTACATTTTGTGTTTTAACAGCCAAGCTGGCGCAGACCCAAGGGTATTGACTCTCGTGTCAGGAGGAAGTTCAAAGGATGCACTTTGATGCCCAACATTGGTTATGGTTCAGATAAGAGAACTCGCCATTATCTTCCAAATGGTTTCAAGAAATTTGTTGTGCATAATGTGAAAGACCTTGAGCTTCTCATGATGCATAACAGGTAAAAATTTGGAATAGTCCATCCCTACCTCTATGAGATTTAATTTTACTTTTTAATTTGATGAATACTTTACCTAAGGTTCACAATGTACACATTTACTGAATGTGTTCTGTTTCTTATCTTAATGTTAATTCAGGACATACTGTGCTGAGATTGCCCACAATGTATCCACGAGGAAGAGAAAGGACATTGTTGAGAGAGCTGCACAGCTTGATGTAGTTGTGACAAACAAAACCGCCAGACTACGGAGCCAGGAAGATGAATAGATCCCAATGTTTGGGAGTCCAATTGATATTTTGTAGTGAGCTTCGTTTGACGCCCTTGGTAGATTTTGATTGCTTTTTGTTATTTTCTCTGCCAAAAGATGCTGCACATCATACATTTATTATGTTGCTTAATGTTTACTGTTACAAATTATTTTACCCAATTTTGAGTTAATATTCAGTTCTATTTAAAGTTAATTGATATTTAAGGCTGCATATTGCTGTACCATTTCCAATAATGTGGAGTGTTCTTAGTGACGATAGCTAAACTCGCAGTATTTTGATAATCAGCAATATCAGGTGTTAAGGGTTTTTTGTATTCTTGGTAAACTCAATATCGAGTTTAACTTTTGTTCGATATTGAATGCTTTTGAATCTCTTCCTTCACGATGTGGTGTGATTGTTCTGAATACGTAATTGGTGTTTTAGATCTTTGCATTGGCTAATACCCCAATAGCGGATGTAATGGAATCCATTTTAAGATGAAAGTTTTGGTAATCATGAATTTATAGATTAAAAGCTTGTTTTTTTTTTTTTGGATTTTGGAATGTACTAATAAATGTAGATTCTCTAGTTCTCATTTAATCAAATGATTATTAGTGTTTATTAAAGCGCGATTTTATCTGTGCTTTCTGTCTAGAACTGGGATGGGTCAATCAGCTTTCAGGTTACCAAAATTAATAACAGAATAGAATAAAAAAAAGTAAAAATTTGTAATTATTAAACTAATTTAGATGGGTAAATTTACTAAGAAAATCTTTTGTCTGGACTCAAAATTGCTCTTAGGGGCATGTTAAGTTTGGTATTCTTATTCCTTACGAAAGTAATGATATAGTTAAACCAGGGTTTGAAAGATTACCGTCTCTAAATTCAACTGAGATGCCCACATTTTTTTAATACAATAATTATTTTTATTTATTATATTTTAATTAACTGTGTTTTAGAATATGAAACATCAATAATAGTGCCTTACAGAGATTTTATTTAACCTACCACAATATACACTGAAGACACTTCAAAATCTAACAGAGAAGCCGTTTGGAATAATCGTTGGGAGAGAAGAAAGGTACAAAACAGAGTTTAAAAGAGATGGTTAGATTAATTTTTCTTTTCGAACCATTTTTTTAGGCCACTTTGAGAATATTTTTTTAAGTATTTTTCACTTCACTGAATTTTCTTTTAAAAGCCATTGTAATGTAAAAATGCGCGACAAAGCGAGAGAAGGTTAAATGTTTCCATTACGTTTTATGTAATTTTAGGGGAACATTAAAAAATCCTACAACCATTATATTCCATTCCATTGAAACAAAGTTCGTGCACGGTGCTCGTCGCCTTCCAAACGTACCACAGCTTGCAAATTTTAATAAATATGACTAAATACTATGCCAGTTTGTTTAACTTTAAATTAATTTTTATTAAATAAAAATTTTCAAAATAATTGCTTATTAAAAATTATTAAATAAACACTTATTTAAAAAATAAGGACAAAATTAGCCAATCAATCCTATACATAACTTAATCTCATAAAACTTTAATAATATTGTCAATTATTTACAATCTCATAAATATTTTTACTAATTCATTTACATAAATGAAACATTTATATTAGTTTATATATGGTGTAAATAATGCCAAAAAATGACTTAAAATATTGTTAATCATTATAAGTGTTTGGAAGTGAGAAGAGTCTTGAAAAGGCAAAGAATATGAGTTGCCTAGGAAAAGGAAAAACTAGCCCCTTCAACAAGGTACCAATACTATAAACAAACTAAAAAATGAGAGGCAAGTAAGAATCAGGATTAGGCATATTTGGTCTTGCCTTGAACTTGAAGCATGGGGTATTCATTATCTTTACAACCTGCATAACCCTTTTGAACTAGCAGTCTTAGCAAGTAAAGAACCAAACCTTTCATCAACTTCTCATCTATATAACACCTTCCCTCACTTCCACATAACACATCCCACTTCCTATATTTCAGGCTTTCACAACCTTTTAGGTTTCTGAAATTCCCCTACCTCTTTCTGTTTGTTCCTTCCAATCAGCCTTTTTCCTTGTCTTAAAAAAACCTTAGTACTTAGATGGCAAACGACCAAATGAAGCCCATTGCCACCCTTCTTTTGGTGCTGAACTTTTGCATGTATGTCATAATATTAGGCATTGGTGGATGGGCCATGAACCGAGCCATAGATCATGGCTTTGTTATAGGTAATGTATCCAATCTCACCATTGAAAAAACAACTTCTAGTTTGAGTTATAATTGCCTCCAATCATGCATTGCATGGTTAGTTTATTGTTTTTATATCTATCATGGTTTCTGATCAGTTTAGTTAACAGTATAAACTTTTCACACTGATAATACATAAAAATTAAACTATTCTATTTTTATCTTTTACTTTATCATAAAAAAATCGTTTTGTGAATGCTTCTTCAGTTTGTGTGAGGATTTATATGTGCATGCAGGTCCAGGATTTGATCTACCTGCTCATTTTTCACCCATATACTTCCCAATGGGAAATGCTGCCACTGGATTCTTTGTGACATTTGCTTTGATTGCCGGAGTTGCTGGTGTTGGATCATTGATTCCAGGAGTCAATCATGTCCGTTCATGGACTTCCGAGAGCTTGCCATCTGCAGCTTCAGTGGCTTCCATTGCATGGGCTCTTACTGTTCTTGCCATGGGGTAATCTCTTCTTCCAACTTCGTACACTAAATAAAAGCAAAAGGTCATATGTCTTGGATAAATTCATATATATTATATCATTCATGAAGCATTATACTAATATCAGTATGGATGATGGTATAAAATAGTTGTTTGTAAGGTCTATCCTAAAACTTTAACTAGGTATTGTGTGAATCATGTCCATAAACCAGAAAAAGTCATATCTATTTCTGGTGTAAAAAGGCAAAATATTGAAATTTTAACCTAAAATCTGGTGTATATGTTATCTAAATCTCTAAACTCCTATTCTATAGTTGTTTAATTTTTTTATTAATAGACAAAGGATTTATTAACAAAACAACTTTTGTTTTATCAAAGGTACTGATATGACTAACATAAAATTTGTGCAGTTTTGCCTGCAAAGAGATTCAGCTCAACGTGAGAAATGCCCGTCTGGTAAGATTCAAGAATACTATTTGCTTACTGTCATTTTGTTATGCTTGAGTTTAGATTTAAAATTTTTCATCTGCCAAAAAGTGCCATTTACAAGATCTTTGGAATGTGGAATTTTTGCAGAAAACAATGGAGGCTTTTATGATTATCCTTTCCGCTACACAGCTTTTCTACATAGCTGCTATCCATGGTGCTGCTGGAATCAGGAGATAAACTTGATAATAGAGTGATGTCATGTTGTGATTGTCCTTCTTTCTTTATTTATTTTTCTCCCCTCTTCTTTTCTTACCCTTGATTTATTTATCTATTTTTCCAACAAAGTTACAAACTGGTGTGATTTATCAATTACATTATTGGATTTGTATTGATTCAGAATAAGTTGTGTATATAAAAGTCATTGACAAGATCATCTTCTATACCATCTTTTTTCCTATTTTCTTTAATATCGATTACATGATAAAAAGCTACAAAAATATAAACTGATATATATTACCTTCGACTCAAAATTTTAAAACGTTACTCGGTTGTTTCATTTCTACTTTTATACTTAAACTCACACGATAAAAAATAACCATGACATATACTACCATCGTTACCTCCTAGAATATGAGATAAAAGAAGGTCTTACTGTAAAGTTTTGGGACAATCCAATTCTTCCAAAATGAATTCAAAACTCATTAGCCTCGTTCTGAAATCATTCATTTTCAGATTTTTTTTAATTCTTCACTGATAAATTTCTTTTGTCTCTGTCTCGATGGCACGTTCTTATCACTGTGATCTCTCAATTTCATCTACACGAGATGCAGACACATAATTCATGTTGCTTTGTAACATGGGAAATTTAACAAGCTTTTTTCAAAAGAATTAAAATTAAAAAAAAAAAAAATGGTTACCCCACAGAGACAAGCATACCTTTGTTGCTTTGTCACATGAGTGTCAGGAAATTTTGAAAAGAGATGAAGCATTTCACATGACACCACACACATCATGGGAAACAAGACAAGTGAAAAAAATAGGTTGTTGCTACAAAAAAACCCTACGCAGTGGCATACGCACAACCAAACACATTTCTTCTTTCAGTATTGAAAGTTCAGAGACAAAGTGGTCCAGTTCTGAGAACTTTCATGATGTTCCGTTTGTTATTACTGTGTTTCAATGAACAATGCAAATTAATTCAAAATAAAATTATCTTTAGTTTAGATTATATGATTTATGTTTAAATCTTCTTATTTTAAGGACAATTTATTACTAAAATATTCCATCCAACACAAAAATTACATACAACATATTTGTACGAGTTTCTTAATAAACACTTAGAAGAAAAAAAATATTAAAAACGAATTTTTGGGTAAACAATTTTAGAATAGAAAAAAATTAAGAAAATAAATTCACATTAACTTTTTCATAAACTAAAATTAATTTGTTGAAACTCTTTTAAATAATTTCTCTAAAATTTTACTTCTAACTTTACATAAAAATTATTTTCCAATTGCAGAAAAAGTTTGTTTTATTTTTTTTTTTCATTTTTTTTCCATACTTACAAGTTTTCATGGCGAAGTTTGTTCCATCAAACCTTGAACTTGTTTGAACTTAAAATTTGTTCTTCAAGAACATATATCTAGAATCACATTACCTGATCATACATTAATACAAGATCAAGATTAACTGGTTACATATGTACATAAGATGATCAATATTAAATCTTCATAACGAAGTTTCAAGGTTTACATTGTACAAAAGAGGGGAGATACGAGTCTTAGAGAACGATAACAATAATTGTAGACTTACAAAAATGTAGTTTGAAAAGTATCAAGTACTCGGTTATTTTGATCCGAAACTGTTGCTAACACAATTACTTACTACAACAAACATATGATGATAAACCTCATGAATTATGTAGTTGGGTCTCTGCCCATTATTCTTTGGAATATCTTAACAACACATCTACATTAAAATATCACAAAATTTTCTCAACGAAATCCTAAGTTTTCACAAGTCTGATCCATCAGATGAGAGCCCTGTGCTTGTCTTTCTGCATGAGAAGCAAATGGTCAATGTTGTCAACAAAAACTTTACATGATTTCACAATGTATGCTGCTACTACTAGCCCAAAAGTTCTCCAAAATCAGAATTGTAGAAAGAATAAATACAACTAACTATAAATGCAAGGAAGGACTGAATTAGCATAAAAATTTGTTGGATAAATTCCATAAGTAAATTTTGTCAGTCAAGTGCTTCTTTTATCAAAACATGTAAACAAACCACAGGCTTCATGCCTAGACAACTGCCAAGACCACCATCAGCAAAGAAGGAATATTAATGGACCTAAAATATCAATCAGAGAAGTTATCTATAGCTGGTGAAAGAGTCTATATCATATTTTCATACTTGTGTTTCAAGGATCATATTATCCAAGACAAAAAGAAATGGACAAAATATATATATATATATATATATATATATATATATATATATATATATAATTTTCACATATAGAATCAAGTGAAAATGTACAAACGGGATCATTTTGCAGCCCACAAATAAAAATACTCCCTTACCTCAGTTAAAAAACCATTACCAAGATTCAGGGTTCAGAATAGTACTGTAGACACTTTATTTTTTTCCTGGAAGAATCATACCCTCCAAGTGCTACATTCCTATAGTAATCCAAATGACTACAAGGATTCTAATAGATTCAGAATTAATCCTATATGTAGCTAAGTACTTATTAGGTTCATATTCCACAATTCATTTTCTAATGTAGCTAGGATTCCTGTATAATTTTAAGCAAAATTATAATTTTGTTAAATATTATTGACATCAAATTGTCATTTGATGGCACCAACTAACACATTCGATGAAGTCATCAAGGTTCCCGCCACAATTTTCTAATAAAAGTTAATTCTGTGAAGAAGAAGAAGTTGTTTTTAGCACAAGACAAGTGGTGGGTCTATGCATTGTCCATGCTTGAAGACCAAAGGGCTATAAGAGGGGGTATGTTAGAAATATAATATAAAATTGAATAAGTTTTTACCCAGTAGCTTAAGCTTTTGAGATTGTTGGTTCATGACAGATAACATGTAGAGAAAACAAAAGCTTTGTTATAGAATTTTCTCTTTCTTAAATTTATCTGCAGCAAGAATTAAAGCACAATTCGGACAGAACAAAAAATTCAAAGTCATTATATTTTAAGTACGAAAAGCTGGAAAAGAAAAAGGAAAAGTGGAAGCTGCAATGGAGTGAACAATTCCATTCATGTGATTGTGAGGCCAATAGTACTTCAATCAATGAGACGTCAAGGTTACACTAGTGTTCACAGCCCACACCAAAAGCCTCTTGTTAAAAGGCATGAGAGGACAACACTAAAGACTGAGTAATAGTAAACAGCAAGGTAACAACTATGTATATTTCTGCATTTGGCAATCAAGAGAAATCACAAAAGAATTCCTCACACCAAGTATTGATTTCTTTCACCAAACATAGTTTAACAGAGTGATAGCCATTTGATAAATCATAATTAAATCTTCTAGTTAATTGAATTTGACAGGCACAAAATGCTTTCTCATGGTATAAATAAGGCCTCTAGAGATGGGTCAAAAACCGTCATTATTGATACATCTTAGACTCTAAGGTAGTGTTATCAGAACTAGATCGGTTATCAACCTGGTCATGGTACTGAGTCAATGGGTCACTGATTGAACTGTAGTGTCACTGATTGAACTGTGTAAACTGGAATATGTTAAAAAATATATGATTGATAATCGGGTGTAGTAGTTACTTTGAATCTGTTCAAATCCCATAAGGTACAAAAATATATGAATTTGAGTTTGCATTTTAAAGTTTCAACTTTTTCAGGTGAAATTGCAATTGTGTATTGAAGGATGTGAAGTAATTGTACATTGGACAGTGTAACTGTTCCACTCAGTTATTTCTCACTGGTTCATGTCACCTTTATTTCCAGTTTGATTGGATTCTTGGCCAAGTCAACAGAGTGAGTTGCACTCCAATCTGAAGAGCTGTAAAACTGGTCATGGATCAAGTTTCCAGTAAGACCGGTTAGCCAAGTCATACAGTTCTTGGACTATTTCAAAATATTGATCAAGAAGCCAAAAATTTGATCTTTAGCAACCCCAAACTTGAAAATGAATCTTACTACAAGATTGTGTTTAGCTTAAAGCAGATAGCTATAACCTTGAAATAACTTTAAGCCAATTATCTTGCCTGCCCTTTCAACCACAGTAGGCCTTTCTGTGAGATAGTGAATTACAAAATCTATTCTAGATCTTACATATAACAACGTATAGTTTCAGGTCAAGTAAATATTCAAACAGCTATTTATTCTTCTTTAGCCCCAAAACATCAATGCCAACGACAACATTAATTTATGACCGAGTGAACAAATTTGTGGGTCTCAAAATGTACTCTCCTTCTCCAAAGCAACAGCCACAAATTAAATGAAATTTTACATCATTTATATTTGTTTCCTGAATACATTATGATTCAGTCTAATTTTCTAATATTGATTTTCAGTGGGCACAAGTATGTTACCTCCAAATGTTGTCATTACATATCCCATTAATGGATGAAAACAAATAACCAGGATACAACTGATAAATGAAAATAATAATAAATAAAAGATGCTAACATAGAAGGCCATAATGAACTGAGCAATAATTGGAAAATGCAACAAAACCAACAAACTACTCATTGAGAACCTAAAAATAGAAAATAGAAGAAGATCTGACCAGTTAGCACCAATGTAACAGGGTAAGCAACTTAAACAACTGCGAACAAGTAAAAGGAAGCACACACACAGATACATCTATATGACAAGTAAATCTTTTGATGTTGGCAGAGCATTCAAGCTTCAAAAATATAATTTTCCAAGACAAAATAGTTCCCAACCTGAACTTATCTGTTGGAGCCAGACAGAACATCACACAGTCCACAGCAACTCAACCAGGAAGTCTTTTGCATCACAGGTGGAGCTGATGATACAAGAGGCTGCATATTGATTGATTCAGCAAACAAACTCCATAAGTAATTATATATATATATATATATATATATATATATATATATATATATATATATATATAATACACAAAAATAATATCACTACCAAAAGTGTCCAATTAAATAAACTGATATATATAATACATGCATGAGAAGTAAGAACCTGATTTTCAGAGCATTCTGGAGTATCATAATCTTTAACATGTTCTGCACCAATAGTAGATTCAGGGATAGGACTATGAGACACTGATGCTGATACTTCATTGTCAAATTCCCTTGGCTTAGGTTCCTCCAAACTTAGTGTTCTGACATTCTGATCAGCGATTGGATGTTCTTCATCCTCATTTTTCTTCACAGCAAGATTATTTGCCTCTACTTGAGATCCAGTTGATTTCTCTAATAAAGCACTATTATTATCAATGGTTTCCACCTCAGGTACGGACGTCACTGATATAGCTGGTTCAGTAGAAGGTTCTGCAACCAAATCAGCAGTCTCCTCAACTAGCACATTTTGAGTAAATGACGTCATTTTGGCATGCAAAGAATCCATCGATTCAACCAACTCTTCAAATGCAACTGTCTCATTTATTGAATCATGGGACTTATCCTTCGAGTTCTTCACAGTTCCGGATTCATCACTTGGACTATCAGATTTTCCATTCCCATGATGAGATTCTTTGACAGACTCAACATGCCCAGCACTCACATCTTTGCTCTCAGAACCCTCCTCAGATTTCCCATCCCACTCTATCACAATAACACCTTCTTTTCCTCCCTCAGTTTCACCAATCTTAGCATCACCAGGGACCTCTTCCAAATTCTTGGAAGAAGCAGCATCAGATGGTTGAGCAGCTGAAGGGTCCCCATCCTCCTCCTCTTCGTTGAAAGCAAGATCATGGTCTTCATGTGAAGGTGAACCACCATCACTTCCTTTCTCATCCTGGGACTTCACCTCATCATTCCCTAACATTTGTTATTGAATCAATCAGTTTCACTACCATTATCAATCAAACAACCAATTACCCCTAAACACAAACAATCATTAAATCCTTCAGTTACACAGTAAAATCTAATTTTTAACAAAAGAGGACAATTAAAAGTACCCATCTGCCCAAAATGACCAAAAACACCAAAAAGATCAGAAAATTTTGAAAAGGCTAAAGCTTTGTATGCATAAAGTAAAGCAGTGTACAGCAGTACCTTGAAGGTTGGTGGTTGAAGGGTTGGTGTTAAATTCCGTTCCCTTTTCCTTCTTTTTCTTGGCAGCTTTCCTCTTCTTGGCACCTGATGGCATGATTGAGGTAGAGACTAAAATAGGGGCAACCACAAATGGTGGGATGTTGTCCCCTTTCTCTATCTCTCTCTTCCTCTTTTGTGTGGGCAATATAGAGATATAGAGGACTGTACATACAAGTTGCACAAAAAGAAGTAGGTATGTTGAGGGAGGGGAAGATGGAGAGATTTTCTTTATTAATATTATTGACAAAAAAACAGAGATCTTATGGAAAAAATGTTAATAGGAAGATGATGCGGCATATGTCTTCACTGCCTTTAGACACTTGGATTCTGTGACTCAGATTCTAGTATTTTTCATTCTAGATAAATAATATTTAGATATTCGAAGAATAAGAAATATTAATTATTATTATTATTATTAATAGAATGCATAATTTATAAAAATGTTATTTGATTAGACATGATTATTATCGTAAACATAAATAATATTTTACAACCCAAATTACATATAATTCTTATGAACAATTTCCTTTTAATATTATAATAATAAATTAATTTTTTCTATTAAATCATTTTATAATTATTATATTAATAAAAGTGGATTATTTTTAGAATTGTAAGTCAAAATATCACTTCTCTAATTATTTTAAAATTATATTTATAATTTTTTATTTTTACAATGTGAAATTTATATTAAGATGTATATAAAAGTTTAAATTGATGAATAAGTTTATTTTAAAAATATAATTAATTGTGCTTTTTAAATTGACTGGATTTAGTTTTATCATTTATTTTTATTAATATTTTTAAATATTATTTTATATTCAATTAGTTTTTTGCTGATGAAGAATTTGTGATATGAAATTATTTTGAAAGTTTATATGTAAATATTAGAAGAAAAAAAAGATTATAATAGAAAATGCGAGATTTGTAATGTTGGCTAAAAGTTGATAAGGTTTAAACACAACTTCATCGATACAATTTGTGAAGAATTTAAATAAAAATATAATAAAAAACTCTAAGTAAAAGATTGATTAAGAAGACATAATTATTTAGTTTTAAAATATAAAATTTAATAATTTTAAATAAAATAAAGTGACATGATTACATATAATTCAAATTATGAGATTAAAAGTTTATTTAAGTTATGAAAAATAAGAAAATAAAAAATTTTATTCTAAAACATATGAGGTGATGTTAATTCATCTTTGCAAGAATGAAAAAAAAACTAAAATTGATTCCTAATATTATAACATAATAATTTCAAATTTATTATTAAGTTAATCCTTAAAAGTATATTTTAACTATAAAATAATTTTATTAATGAATAGTTTATTTTTTCCTAAATTAAATTCATACATCTTACCTATTAAAAATTCAAATTGGTTTTTAACATATAGAAGATAATATTTTATAGTATATGATCATATAAGGTTCGATCTTTATATTAAAAATTGAGGGAAAAAACGATGATGAGTGACCTTAAGTTTCATTAATTAATATTTAGAGTTAATTAAGAATAAGGGTCTTTCAAGAGAAAAGATAAGTGGGGCATTGGGGACCTACCCATCATTTTATTCATATTATAACTTTTTGAAGTAAATAATTATCATTATTAGTTTTTATGATACAATAATTAAAAGATATAATCTTTACTAATAATTTTGAGATAGATAATATAATTTGTTTATTTAATATATTTAATAATTTATTTTAATATTTATAAAAATAAATAATAGAGAATAAATTATAAATATATTAATAAATTATAAACCATTTAAACATTCCGTCCCTATTTTTATAAAGATATTTTTAAGATTGTAACAATTTTTTTTTCCATTTGAGATATTTTATTTTATAAAAATTTATATATAAAAGTGTAAATTTAATCATGGAGAATGTTTACAGAGACATTATATACTCAAATTAGTTAAAATATAAATAAGACATTAAATATATAACATATAATTATTATATAATTTAAAATATTCATATATTTATAATATTTTACTAAATTTATATTTATGAACATTATTTGTACAGTTTTAATTATCTTAATTAATACAATAAATTGATTACTAAATTTAATTTATTCTTAAATTGTGAATAAAAGTAGAAAAATATTTGTTTACATGATCAATCTTAACATATTAAATATATTTAAATTTTATTTATAAATTAATAGAATCTCTTCTCTCTCTCTCTCTCTATATATATATATATATATATATATATATATATATATATATATATATATATATATATATATATATATATATTCGTAAAATTAAATTATCCTAGGTTTTGGGTTCGTGGGGTGTGGGACAAACATTGTTGAAAGGTTGAGAATGAGATCTTGAGATTGTGTTGCAAAGATTCAAATTTTGGAATCTGTTTGGGAATGAATGGGTTGGGACGTGAAAATTGGACCAGACATTGTTTTCTTTTTGTGTTCATATTCTTTTTTTTTTTTTTCAATGAATTTATTGTGTGAATGAGTGATTTAAGAAAATTGAGTGGTCAGTAATCTGCCAACTCACTTGATGTATGACTCATGAGATATGGACATGTAAACCCTCCCTCTCAGTTCAACAAATGTGGACATATATATTTTATTTTTTATAATTAATTATTTTTTTTATCAATTTTACTTTGTCATATTATAATGGTATTTATGTATCTATGTAAATTAGTTTTAATTGGAATAAACAGTTATACCCAACGAATTAGTTACCGTGGGGCAGTCCGTAATTTTATCCTTTGTTTTGGTACGGTTAGCTAAATATCTAAGCATTATCTAACGGTATTGGTTCTTATAAGAACCTAATTTATGTTCTTAAGTGGGTCTGTATTGTTATATTATATTTAAGTATTTTTTTTAAATTTATTTTAATGATAAATTTTTATAAATAACTCATCATTTAATTATTATTTTTAATTTTAATAATATCTGTTATATCGTAATAATTATAATATATAATTAATTATTAAAATAAAATAAATAATATATTTAAATTAAAAAATAAAAATAAAATTGATATTAGAAATATGATTAACATTAATTAAAATACAAAATATTAAAAATAATGATAATAAAAATAAACATAAAAATATTAGAACAACAGGAACAAACTGAAAAAAAAATTGAAAAAAATAATTTATAATAATATTATTTCTACAAATTTTTATAATATGTGATATTTTAACTTTTCAAAATTGGTATTATTCTAAACAACTCTTGTTAAAGTTGTTCTAAGAACGCTTATATTTTTTAAAATATTTATATATTAAAATTGAAATGAAAATTATTATAATTAAAAGTATTATATTTTTTATTATATTATTAAAGTATATAAATATATTATAATTTAAATTGTTAATTATAATTAATTATTTTAATATATAAATATAATATTTTTTAATTTATTTAATAAAATATTAATTAATAAATAAAAACTTAAATATTATATATAATTAAAACGTATATTTTAAAAAAATTACATATAAAAAAATTTATATAAAAAAATTTTATTAGTAAACTAAAATCTATAATCTATCTGATTATGGCGATCCACTATGCTCAATTCCATTTTTGATGAGCTAAAATTGATACGGATCAAAAAGAAATATACTCACCCGTTTTTTATTCTTGAAAATAAAATTAAAATAACAAATAATTTAAATTAGAATACAAATCCATTTTATGGTTAAATTTTTATTTAAAGTAAATAAATTATAATATGAAAAAATTGTATAATGGCTAGCACATACTCAACCATCTTTTTAACTGAAAATCTCAATTAATTCTATAATTGGGTCAACCATTTTATTAACCACAATTCTCAATTAAATAATTCATACAAAATCATTATATTATATACTTATATGTAACTCTTAATAATAATATAAAGGAAATAAATTTTGTAATCTAATCTATAGTTATTTTTTTAAATTTTAATATGTTAATTAAAATTTAATTAATTGCATTACATTTTTTTAACTCTATTTTGTATCATTAACTATTGTAATGCACATGAAAATATAATTAATTAAATGAATTAAATCTATATCCAGACACTAAAACATTGATGTAATAGTAATAATAGTAATTTAAGTTAATTTTTTTTAATTTATCTTTATCGTGTCCTTTTAAGGTAGAAATAAAAAAATTACAATATATTTATTTAAAAAAAAACAAAAAACTGTTTATAAATACAAGTTTCAACTGAACAGTTAAAAATAATTTAGTAATATTTAAGAAAAGACTTAATCATAAATTGCATTAAATTATAACTAATTAATTTTTACACTAATTTTGTGGTTTTAGGATCTTTTACTAAACTCAAACCAATATTTTCAAAAGATTATTTGAACATATTGATAAAATTGATTTTTTCTTTTAAGTTGGTAAAAATCTATATTTCCATACGCGTGACTTAAATATTTAATTTCAGGGGTATATTTAATTGGAATTTCAAAATAAATGATAATGTGAAAAAGAATTTCATAACTGATTTTCATTATTTTTTTTAAAAGAATTTTATGATTAAAATTTTGTAATTTAAATTTTAAAATATAAGAGTGGAAAGGATTTTATGATTTATATGAGGATATAAAATATAAAGGATTAAAGGATTTATAAAATATAAAATAATAAGAGTGGAAAGGATTTTATGATTTATATGAATTTAAATATTTACTGAATTTTTACAAGCAAGACTTTTTAGATTAAGTTATGATTCTTGATATAATGATACTGAATAAGATAATAATTTGATAATGAATATAATGATAAAATTTTATAATTGAGGTAGATTTAATTAGCAAAGTTTGATAATTAATTCAGGTAAAAGAACAAGTTATTAAAAGATGAGCGTTTCAAAATTATATTATTCAAGTTAAAAAATGACGATTTTATAAGAGATATCTGACCTTAAGAATGAAGAATGGTGGGAGAAGCTTACTGAAATAGAATAGATGGTAAATTTGTCCTAATTAATTTATTACGAAATAGTGCAAGAATAAATTTTATAAATAATATATTAAAAAAATTATTCAAATATAATATTTATTAATTTATTTATATCAATTTTTTTCATATAATTTTTTCCCTTTTTCCTTATTTATTCCATTTTTTTGTTCTTTTCTGACTTATTCTTCTAAATAAACAATTATATTAAAATTGAATAAAATATTTTAAAATTGACAATGAAATTAATTTTTTAACTAATTATTTAATATTATGATAATTTTGACAATAAATAAATAATTTAAAATTATTTTATTATAATAAATAATTATTCATATAATTAAAAATATCAAATATTTATAAGTTAAATATATTTTTTATTTAATAATTTAATTTAATTATAATTATATTAATTACAATAATTAGTTAGATTATGTAATTTTAAAAATATATTTATTAAAAATTAATTTAAAATAATATTTATTTTTTTAATAATTATAAGATTAAAAAAATATTTGTAATATTTCAAATTTATCATAGAATATTTTTTAAATATAATATATTAAACTATAGTATTTTAAAATTATTTTTAAATATTTTTATTTTTTAATATTTTTATTTTTTAATAATAATAAAATATTCACTCTATCAAATTTTAATAAATTATTTTTAATTGAAGAATAAGATAGGATGAGAGAAGAACAAAAGAGAAGAAAAGAAAAAAAATATTAATTGAACACCGAGAAAAAAATAAATAATACGTAAATGAAGAAAGAGAAAAATAAAAAATAAATGAAAAAAATAAAGGAAAATAATTATGTTATGTTAGACAAAATTATTTTTCTTTGTAAAATTTTGTATATAAATAGTAAATGTGTATAATTTGGTAAATAAACTTAGAAAGATTTTATTTGAGTAATTTTTTTTAAATATATTATTTATGAAATTGATTGTGCATAAAAGTTGGACAAATTAATTAGGAAATTAATTCCTAAACACATAGAATGCAACACACCACTAAGTGTATATTATAGTTAGTTATAAGATCATGTCATAGTGAAAATTGGAGTATTTAACCATTAAGGTGTTATCCGTTTTGAATTCTCGTTCGTCACAGTTTTGTCATTAAAAGATTCATCGATAAGTTAAGAGATGAGAGTATATATAAATTATCTTTGACCTCAAGTCCTAAGTGATGCAAGATTCATGAGCGTATCAAAACATAAGCTCCTTAGTCGATGACTAAAAGGTATGAGTGGAGTAATACTCTACTCTCTGTCCCACAGCGGGCGACATATGTTTTTGCAAGACCAAGAGTCTCCCACAATATCAATCTCTGTTGCGCACTTTCGAATTCTAATTGGGGCCTATTTCTGAGTTGTTAGACGCACAATGTCCACTATGCCCAAGTCTATTGATCTAAGGTGTGATCAATGTGTTTGTAAAAGACAATTTGATGCCCCAAGTTAACAATGTTAAATAGTTTTTACAATTGATTTGCTTACCTTTTAATTTAAAACTCCCTGATTCATACTATCATGTTTAGGGCTTACTGATGGACTCTTACTTTTAGGCCTTGTCTAGCTGTGTGTTCCTAGCCGTTACCTTATTGAGAAAGTCTAACCTTGAGGCTATAGTGAGTGTGCCTACTATAGCTTTGTGGCCACAACCGTGAGACTATAATAAGTGTGTTTGTTGTGGTTTTGTAGTCTTAAGAACACAATACACGTGACTATTGTGTCTTGTTGATTGTATGAATATAGTGCACTGACCTCGAGTTCCAGAGAGCCAATTGGTAATGGAGAAATTGATTATGTTTTGTTTGTGAGGTGATCACTGTATGCTCACTTGTTGGCCTTGGAGTGAGAGTGATAATGGGTGCCAATGATTTGTCTAGGAATGAGAATGTCTCGATTTCATGTTCGCTATGATAACATCGTTAGGGTCAATTATCACATATGAGATATTGTTCGCTTTGAGCTCTCGTCCATCATAATTTTGTCCTTAAAAAATGTTTCAGTAGGTTAAGAAAGGAAAGTGTATATAAACTATTATTGGTCTCGACTCTTAAGCGATGTGAGAATCATGAGTGTACCAAAACACAAGCTCCCTAGTCGAGGACTAAGAGATATGAGTGGAACGAGACTCTATTCTTAGTCCCATAGTTGACATCAAATGTTCTTGCAAGGCTGAGAGTCTCCCATAAGACCAATCTTCGTTGCACACTTTTGAATCTTGTCTGGGGCTTGTTCCGATTTGTTAGACGCTCAGTGACCAATATACCCAAGTCTCTTGATCCAAGGTGTGGTCGGTGTGCCTGCAAAAGATATTTTGATGCTCAACTTAGCAATGTTAAATAGTTTTTAGTATTAATTTTCTTACCTTTTAATTGAGACTTCCTATTCTGATGGGCTTCTATTTTTAGGCCTTGCCTAAGTGTTCCTAACCGCCACCCTAGTGAGAAAGTCTAATTAGGAGGTTACAATGGGCGTTCATATTGTAGCTTTGTGGCCATATGGGTATAATACACATGACCATAGTCGTGAGACTATAACAGATGTGTCTACTGAGATTTTGTGGCTATATGGACACAATACATGTGGCAACTGTGTCTTACTAATTGTATGAATGCATTACATGAACTAATAAAACTATATAAACTTACTTAGAATGGGAGAGATATGACACATATTTTGGAAAGTTAAGCAATTGGGATGAAGTTAATTAGGGTAAGATATAGAGCAAAACACATGTCATACTCAAAGTCAATAAATGGAACAAGAGTATGCAAGTATTTAAAAAGGTACTCATATATGAAAATAAAGTTCTCCTCATTCAAGTAAGACTCATCAACAATAAATTTGACATATGCAAAAACACAAACACCAAAAGTTCGACAAACATCTTCTAAAAATAATAAAGGTAATATTAGAGAAGTAATGATCTATTTTATTAAGTACCTGATTGTACATAAGATTTAATATAGGAGGGAACATACCCTCTTAACTCACCTAACAATACTTGAACCACCCTTAATCTCAGTCTTTTGGATCTTAAACCTACTTTGACTAGAATGAGTTCTATGATATAACCCTTTTGTTTAAACAAAAATAGTAAAACCTCGTATCTTCTTATGGGAGTAACTTTCAAAAGGGGCAAATAGACTTTCTTCTGTATTAAACCCATGACCAATAGGATAAATTTTGTGTTTAACCAAAAGTAGTTCAATAAAAGATGAATTGTCAAAGTTATCAAAGGAACTAAAAACAAAAGTAAAAGACATAGAAGAAGTATGAACAAATAGGAAGAAAACAATACCTAAAATAAAAAAGCAATAATAAAGAAAAAAAAACACACTCAACAAAAGAACACGGTGAAATTAAATATAAGAGACAAATAACATAGTATCTTGTATAAGAAGCGAAAGATGTTTCATGGCCATGATTTCACCAAACCTAGGATATGCTTTTAAGAATAATCCTAATGATAATGTATTAAAGGCAATATACAATGCTTTAAATCTTCATAAAATCTCTTATAAATATGTGACAAATGATTTAAAGTGTTTTGGACATGACAAATAAATTGAAAAAACCTAGACTATAGATAGAACATACATCAACTTTAACTTTAAATCAAATATATCTCAGCAAAAACTTTAAGTATACTTTTGGCCACAACTCTAGATCATGCAAACCATAAGCATGTAACATAAAAAATTTATTCATCTTTAACAAATATGATTCTATATTTGAGAGACTTGTATATTAAAGAAAGAATTCCTATAATTAAATATCATTGACTAAATATTTAATATGAATATCTAAATAAAAATAAATTTGATTACTTCGTCGTAAAGAAAAAAAATTCATGAAAGACTCAATTAATCAATATAATTAAATTTAAAAATAATATTATTTGTTACTTAAAATTTTTATAATAATTTATAAATAAAATAATGTTATTCTCTACTTTTATAATTACATTTTTTCATTATCAACTTATATATTATTATTCTTTTTATATTCGTATTGATTAAATATTATAATATTTATATAAGGTTTTTTTTTTCAGAATTTATGTAAACTTCCATGAAAATTTGAGGATTATAACTAGTTAGTTTTATATGATGGACACTTGTTTAAAGGCATTATTTTTAGAAGAAAAAACTTCTTTTGTTTATTCTCATCTACACATCTAACATTTAAGATTATGTAAAAAATTAGTTTGTTTTAAATAAGTATTTTATAAAAAAGTGTAAAAAAATAATATTAACCTCATTCTAAAAAGAAAAGAAATAGATAATTATATTTTGAGAACTCATTTTGTTATAAATATTTATTAGATAACTTAATATAATAATAATAATAATAATAATAATAATAATAATTATTATTATTATTATTATTATTATTATCTTATTATATTGAGTTGTCTAAATTTGTTTTTTCTTTTTGAGATGATCAATCAAGTTGTATGTTTTCGAAACTACGTAGCCATCTTACCGTTAAAACTTCTAAAATTATTAGGGAGAGAGAACGCGTGATTTGTTTGCTACTTAGAAGAATTAATCTCTTGAGTAATATATATTGGTACAATTTCTCTCAAACGACATCGTAGTCGTTTACGATATTAGTTCCTCAGATTCTTTAGGTATACTCTGAACTGTGTGTCGAACGTATGATGTTGTTTGGTCAGTCAGATGCTACACTCTCACCACCATTTGTTTCATTTATTTAACATTCCCAGAATCCCCAACGTTCTACTATTCCAAACTAGGTTTTCCAGCACTTCCTCTTCTATATTAGATCTCTGCACCAAAACCCAGCACCTTCAACAACTCCATACCAGGTTCTTCCTCCATGGCCTCCACCAAAACCAATCTCTTTCCTCCAAACTCATGGATTGCTATGCCAAATTTGGACTCCTGAACTTATCGCAGAAGCTTTTTCACTACACTGAAAACCCAGATTCTGTTCTCTGCAGAGCAATCTTAAGAAATTTGTATCAGTTTGGTGAATATGACAAGACCCTTTTTTTGTACAAAGAGATGGTTGGGAAGTCCATGTACCCAGATGAAGAAAGTTGCTCTTTCGTTTTGAGATCTTGCTTTTGTTTGTCTCATGAACAAGGGAAGATGGTTCATGGGCAGATAGTGAAACTGGGTTTGGATGCATTTGGCTTGGTGGGGAGAACTTTGATTGAGTTGTATGACATGAGTGGTTTTTCTAATGTACATGTATCGGCTGAAGGAAAATATGGAATTGAATTCAATTATTGGAATAAATTGATTTCAGAGGCATCTGAAAATGGGAAAATGGTGGAAAGCTTTCGACTCTTCTATAGGATGAGAAAGGAGAATATCCAACCTAATTCAATTATTGTGATTGACTTGTTAAGGTCTACTGTTGAGTTGAACTCACAGAAGATAGGACAAGCTCTACACTCTCTTGTTGTTGTGAGCAACCTGTGTGAAGATCTATCTGTGAATACCGCACTGTTGTCAATGTATGCAAAGTTGGGTAGTCTAGAAGATGCAAGAATGCTGTTTGAGAAAATGCCTGATAAGGACCTTGTAGTCTGGAACATAATGATTTCAGCATATGCAGGGAATGGATTCCCCAAGGAATCCTTAGAACTTGTATATTGTATGGTTAGATCAGGTTTTAGGCCTGACTTATTCACGGCAATTCCTGCCATTTCTTCTATCACACAGTTAAAGCATAATGAATGGGGAAAGCAAATGCATGCTCATGTGATACGAAATGGTTCAGATTATCAGGTATCCATTCACAATTCTCTTATTGACATGTATTCTGCATGTAAGAACTTAAATATGGCACAAAATATTTTTGGCTTCATAACGGACAAGACTGTGGTTTCATGGAGTGCAATGATCAAAGGATATGCAATACATGACCAGCCCCTTGAGGCTCTCTCTCTTTTCTTGAAAATGAAGTTGAGTAGTACCAGAATTGACTTCATTATAGTCATTAACATGTTGCCATCCTTTGCAAAGATAGGGGCATTGCATTATGTAAGTTACTTACATGGTTACTCGTTGAAAACCAGCCTTGATTCACTCAAATCCCTTAAGACATCCTTTCTTAGTAGCTATGCAAAATGTGGTTGCATAGAAATGGCCAGAAAGCTTTTTGATGAAGAGAAAAGTATCCTTAGAGATATAATCGCGTGGAACTCTATGATCAGTGCGTATTCTAAACATGGAGAGTGGTTTAGATGTTTTCAATTGTACAGCCAAATGAAACTATCGAACATTGTACCGGACCAAGTAACATTTCTTGGGTTGCTCACAGCTTGTGTTAACTCAGGCCTTGTTAGTAAAGGCAGGGAGATTTTCGAGGAAATGGTGGAAATATATGGTTACCAACCTAGTCAGGAACACCATACTTGTATGGTTGATCTACTAGGACGTGCTGGCCAAATCGATGAAGCCAATAAAATAATAAAAACAATTCCATTGTTGTCAGATGCAAGGGTTTATGGCCCCTTGTTGAGTGCCTGTAAGATACACTCAGAGACCCATTTAGCAGAACTTGCTGCTAAGAAGCTTATAAATATGGAGCCCAAAAATGCTGGAAACTATGTATTGCTCTCCAATATATATGCTGCAGCAGGAAAGTGGGACAAAGTTGCTAGAATGAGGAGTTATCTTAGAGATAGAGGACTAAAGAAAACACCAGGTTGTAGTTGGCTTGAATTAAATGGACAAGTTCACGAGTTTCGAGTTGCGGATAAATCTCATCAAAGATGGGAGGATATATATTCTATATTAAAAGTACTGGAGTTGGAATCCGGGAGCATGGAAGATGATCTTGAACTCTTTGACCCTTCTGTTCTGTCACTAAGGGATCTGAGTTTCACAAGAAAAACTCAATCTACGTGACATGATGATGAGATGGAGTTTTTAATCTTAATTGTTTAAAAATAAAATTAAATATTTTATTATGAGTTTTATCGATAAATTATTTAAAATTTTGTCATTGTTATATAAATATTTTATTATTATTTTAAATTAGATATTAGATTTATAATAAAATATTTATTTTTATTTATAAATAATTCTTTTTAGCAATTTTTATTAAAGATGTTCTTTAAGTTGAAGATTATAAATTACAAATTTTTTCTCATAATATTGTTTTACGCTTCATTGGATATTTTTTAGGTGGTCTTCATGGAAGGATAAATGAAAAGAGAAGATAGTTGTTCTATGAACATTTTGCCATTTATTGTAATTGTAAAGGCAAAGTTCTAGCATGATATATTTTAACTTATCTAAATGTGCAATTTTATAAAATTATCAAGCGTGTGCAGTTTTGATTCACTCCATCCACATATTTGTTTTGTTTTGTTTCATTTTGTTCGCGATCAAACTCGCTTCCTCAACTTTCTTATGCATGGTTGTTCAATAGAGAACAAAAAAATTATGCACATCCTGGACTAAAACTGTAATAGAGGGAGAAAAAAAATAACAAGCATCACATTTTTAAATTGTTGATTCATTGGACATAAAACCATTTTTCTCTTTAGCAAACATGTATTTTAGTATCCAATGTATATAACTCAAATAATCATGAAATTAGTCTAAGATTTTGAATTTGTGTTTTCCTAAAAGACTTTTCTAGGTGTGCATGTCTCTTAAAATATAAAATATTTATCCAAACAATAATTAAGACAACTGAAGTAATTATTAATGTAAAAAACTGTTTCTAGTGTAAATTTAAGATTTATCTAAATATAATTCTATGAATCACTTAAACTAGTTTTTAATATTATTCAAAATTTAACACGTAATATTTCAATTAGATATAGTTACCAGTTAATTTTTATATTTAGTATATTTTGAAATATCTAAAATAATTTTTTTTAAACAATAAAAGAAAATAAAATTATATTATTGGAAAGTAAATGTGAAAAAAAAGTAAATAACAAAGCAGATGAATATAATTTATTATTAAGGACAGAATAAAAATTGATAGAAGAAATCAATAAAAACAACTATTCAAATTATAAAGAACTTTATTGAAAATACTTCTTCGGTGTTCGAAGCATTTTTTAGAGCAAATTTTCGTATAATTTGACAATTCTCTTTTTACATTTATATTCCCTATTTATATTTTTCTTATTGTAACCACTTTAAAATAAAACTACACAAATAAATAAATAAAAATAAAAATTAAAGTAAAATACATGTAAACAAAATAAAATAACAAAAATAAAAATTTACAAGTGGTTACTTTATTATAATTAGTTTTTTTCTTCGACTCAAGTTGTCGCCACGTATCTCCTATTAATATGCATGTATTGTAATGGAAAATAACTGTCTTGGCATATCTCTCGATTATGTTGTTTTTTCTCTGTATCTCATCTTTATCCTTTTGTACCACGATTCTCAATGTCCTCTACTCTTCAACTTTTGATGTTGGATTTTTCACACCTATGACATTTTATTTCTCAATATATTCTTTGACTCATTCTTTTTCAATAGTACTTTTAATCCATTCAATCTCACAAATCATGTTTAAGTTTTCCTTTTCTTACAATTTCCTTAAATTAATATTAGTCTTCAATTTTTTGATATCTCCAATTACCAATTATTTTTTTCCTTTTACTTCAATGTTCTCTATTCTTTAAATCCTTGATTATTAATTAATGATATTCTGACTTTTTTATATCTGTTCGTCTTTTTATTTCGATAACATCTCGTAATTAATATTCTATCATTACAATACGTCTTTTATCGATCTTTTTTCTTTCGATTTATTTATAATATTAAAATTAACAAAAACCTATAACTTAATTAGAAGAGGAGAAAAAAAAAGGAGCTAATAATAAGTTATATAGTTTTTTCAATTATAGTAATATATTTATAGAAGAAAAAACAAGAAATCTAAAATTTCTCAAACCCAAATCAAAATAAATTATCTAGATATGTCCTAAATTAATATAATTTATTTAAATTATATGACTAAAAATATTAATATGTTTGAAGTATTTAATGACAACTAAAATAAAATATAATATATATTTTTTAATTATTATAAGAGTAAATGTAAGTATAAAGAAAACATTTTTTTATTTTTGCTATTCATTTTTTTTACTATTTTCAATATAATAATTAAGAAAAAAAATTCTTTATCAGAATATTTGATTAAAGAACTTGTAAAAAAGTCTTATATTAAAATTCTTGCCGTAAGTATGTAAATAGAGAAGAAACAATTTTTTTTTTTAAGAAAACGAGATCTATTTTCCCATTCCATTACAACATAAATAAACTAAATAACGCAATTGTTTTTTACATATCAAATAAAACAACTTTCAATTTTATTTTTTAATTTAAATGATTAATTTTATCTTTAGATCCAAAAAAATAAAAATAAAAATAAAAATCTGATTTAGCATTCTATTTTCCCAGTGCTTTAGCCCTTGGTAATAGAGTAGGCGTGAGAGCAGAGAAGAGAGCCTGAAAATGAAGGTTGCTCCCTTGGTGGTGGTGTTGTTCAGAGACACAGAGGATTTCGCCTCTGCTATCTTACAAGCTCTCCACCCAAACTCTTCTTCCTCCTTCGTCCGCAAGTAATTTCTTCTTCTCATTCACTTTTTCTTCACTCAACTCAAGCACATAATCGTTATTCATTGATGACTTTTTGCGTTGTAGAGAGGAATCCTTCCACCACTCACTCGAGCCTTATGGAATCAAGCACCTCAATGCATCTGGGAGCGTTTCGCACTTCGTTGATGATCACGGCGCTTATAAGGTCACCCTCCTCTACCACCCTTTTACCCTTTTTCTCTTGTTCTCTCTGATAATGTTATCGATTATAATTGATTCATATAAGCACAAAATTTAGATACCCTTTTGGATGAAATTGTGAAATGATAGTGATTGTGGAATAGGTCATTTGTAAATTTAAAAAATTAAGGAGGATAGCAGTTAGTGGTCTGACAGATTTAATTAATTTTGGTGGTTAATTTTGTTAGTTGTTAGAATTAGGAACCAAAGATAACAAGTAGTAGTTAGAAATCCTAGCCTATATAAAAAAACAAATATCTTGTATCTTGTTCATCAATAATAACATTTCAAAAAACAAATCTCTTGTATCTTGTTCATCAATAATAACATTTCAGCAGTTATAATTCCCTTCCTTCTCTGAGTTCCGAGAGAAAGTGAGGTTAGGAGAGAATTTCATATTCAATGTAACAGGTGGTATCAAGAAGCTAGGAAACAAGATCATGGTATCAAATAAAGAATTGGAGATAAAGATCGATTCTTTCAAAAAATTTATCACTGATTCTCAAGAACAAACACAGAAAACCCTAGATTCTCTAGCCAAAGCAATCGAAGGACTCACTGTAAAGGTGACTGCGTTATCATCAAACACAGATGGAACTCCATTAGATTATGAGAGCGAAACTTCTAGGCATAAGGAAAACTCAATTTTGAATCGAACACATATTCAATTTCCTTCCTTTGATGGTACTAACTATAGAGATTGGAGAGCAAGAACAGAACAGTTTTTTGAATTGGAGGAAACTCCAAAACAGCAAAGGGGCAAATTGTTGCTCTTATCTATGGAAGGAAAAGCTTTCGCATGACAAAGACATTACATGAAAAACCCAGACTTCAACCAAAAATCTTGGACAAAAATTCTTGATGATGCTGGAACCAGATTTGATGATGGAGGGTTTGATGATCCAATTGCAGAAATCTCCAAGCTAAGACAACAAGATTCCCTAAGCCAATTTCTGGAAAAATTTGACAATCTCTTGACAAGAGTCTCAGTCACTGAAAACATGGCTCTTAGCTTTTTCCTATCAGGTCTTGAACCACAATTGGAAAAATCTATTCGCCTGCATAATCCAAGAAACCTGCATGAAGCTGTCCGATTTGCAAAATTACAAGAAGAAATCTTGAAGGAATTTGAAAAGATGTTACAAGGGGGAAACAGTTCCAATGACAATCAAATTCGTTATTCCAAATCTTGGACCAATTCATATTCTCATTATAGAAATCAACCTATTACAAGTTTGCAACAATCACTTCCTCAACAATCTTCTACTTCATCACCCACGCCTGAAAAGACGGAGAATCATCAATCAACAATATCTAGAAAAGATGTCAGTGACAAAATTTCTAGAGGACTATGTAGATTTTGTGGTGAAAAATGGGAAAGGAACCATAGACAGAAGTGTAAAGTATGGGGTAAGTTAAATGCAATTTTCTGTGAACAAGAAGATATTGAAAGCGAGGAAGATGATATCAACAGTAAGGAGGACGATAACTCTGTCCTTGAAAGGAGTTTAAACATGTTTAATGATGCAAATGCCCATATCTCATTGCATGCATTAAGGGGTATTGCTGGAGGCAATACATTACAACTACAAGGCTTGATTAAGAAGCAACATATACCATTCTTGATGGATACAAGTAGTACACACAATTTTATATCGGAAAAATGGATAAAGACATTGGGTCTCAAGTCTCAATCTGTCAAGGACTTCCCAGTAATGATTGCTAGTGACAAACCGGTGATGATCACAAAAAAGTGTGATTCAGTTGAGTGGAAGTTTGGTGATAATTCATTCACTGCAGATTTTTTGGTTCTTCCTGGATCTTCATTTGGGGTAATACTTGGCATGCAATGGTTCAAAGGACTAGGGGAAATCACATGGAATCATGCCCAATTAACTATGAAATTCAGTCATCTTGGCAAACAAATATTACTTAAAGGAGAGCTACAACAAATTGCAATGATCAATGGAACTGGAAAGTTGAGGGCAATCACTATGCAAACAATGCTATTATCCTAGGACCATTTTGCTTTACCATCACCATACCTGATACTAAAAAGGAAATTTGTCCTAAATGGCAAGCTGAATTGGAGGATATATTGCAGGAGTATTCACAATTGTTTGTAGAACCTACAACACTACCACCTAATAGAAGATATCACCACAAGATTGAGTTGGTCAGGGAAAAGCCAATTTGCCTCAAATCTTACAGATATCCCAGAGCACAAAAAGAAGAAATAGAAAGACAGGTTAAAGAAATGTTGAAGACTGGTTTCATAAGGGAAAGTGGAAGTTCATTTTCATCACCCTTAGTTCTGGTTAAAAAGAAGGATGGAAGTTGGCGATGTTGTACAAATTTTAGGCGATTGAATGCCATCACAATCAAGAATAAATTTCCTATTCCTCTCATAGAGGATCTACTAGATTAGCTTAATGGTGCTGCATACTTTACAAAACTGGATTTAAAGAGTGACTACAATCAAGTGAGGATGCATGAAAGTGATATCCACAAAACTGCTTTTAGAACTCATAGTGGTCACTATGAGTGGGTGGTACTTCCATTTGGGCTAAGTAATGCTCCGACTACCTTTCAAAATTTGATGAATGACATATTTCGGGAATATCTTACAAAATTCATTCTTGTTTTTTTTTATGATATCTTGGTTTACACCAAGACATGGGAAGATCACATGGTTTGTTTGAAGAAGGCATTACAGGTTTTAGAAGCAAACAACTTGGTGTTAAATTATAGAAAATGCAGTTTTGGTAAGAGGAAGATTCAATATCTAGGCCATGTTATTTCAGTTCAAGGGGTAACTCCTGAATTGGATAAGATAACAGCAGTACAATAGTGGCCTACCCCTAAGAATGTGAAGGATTTAAGAGGATTTCTTGGGCTATCCGGCTACTACAGGAGATTCATCAGAAATTATGGTTGCATTGCTGCTCCCTTAACGACCTTGCTTCAAAAAGACAAAGAATTTACATGGAGTGACAAAGCTGAAACAACCTTCTTAGCACTCAAACAAGCGTTGGTCACAACACCTGTATTATCTATGCCAGACTTCTCACTTCCATTTACTGTTGAAATTGATGCTTCTAAAACAGGAATTGGAGCAGTACTCATGCAACAAGGGCATCCTATAGCTTACATCAGTAAAGCAATGGGATAAAGGTTTCAATTATTATCTGCATACGAGAAAGAATTTTATGTAATATTGTTTGCAGTAAAGAAGTGGCAACATTACTTCCTAGGCCAACATTTCATTATTCGAACTGACCAAAAAGTTTTAAAGCACCTCATTGAACAACCACCTACAACTCTAATGCAGAACTGGAGATTGGAGAAATTAATGGGTCTAGACTTCAGCATAGATTACAAAAAAGGCAAGGATAATGTTGTAGCTGATGCTTTATCCCGGAAAATAGTATTTGGACAACTCAAGGTCATCCTACAAGCAGCATCTGAACTTGTAGAAGAAGTGAAAACGACTTGGCAAACTGATATGAAATTGAGAAAGATTAGTGATAGAATCAGGATGACACAACTACCTTACAAGTACTATAGTTTTGGTAATGAATTGCTAAAAAGAAAATGAAAATTGGTAATTGGGGAGAATATAGAGCTAAAAGCAAAAATCCTCAATCATTTCCATGATTCAACAATAGGTGGTCATTCTGGAGCAAACCAAACATACAAAAGGATTAAGGAGCATTTTTATTGGAAAGGCATGCAGAAGACTATAAAGAAATGGGTGCAGGAATGCCAAGTATGTCAAAGATTCAAATCACCTAACCAAGCACCTGCTGGCTTACTTCAACCACTGCATATTCCGGAGAAAGCTTGGCAATCTATTTCCATGGACTTTATAGTGGGACTCCCCAAATCTAATGGAATGACAGTAATATTTGTGGTCATTGATAGATTCACAAAATATGCACACTTTCTACCTCTACAACACCCCTTTGGAGCTGCTAAAATTGCAGAAATACTCCTAGACAACATTGTCAAGTTACATTCCTGGCCAATAGAAATAGTGTCTGATAGAGATCCCATTTTTTTTAGTACATTTTGGTCTACATTAATGAAAGCAAATAAGGTGAAGCTACTCAGATCAACAGCCTTCCATCCTCGAACAGATGTCAATCAGAGGCATTGAATAAGGCACTAGAGGGATATTTGAGATGTGTGACAAGAGATCTTCTCCAACAGTGGACAAGGTATTTACCAATGGCTGGACTTTGGTATAATACCAAATTCCACACAGCCATTTAGATGACACCATTTGAAGTACTTTATGGATATAAACCAGCAGTACCTTGTCCAATATTACAAGAAGAATCTCTCATTGAAGCTGTAGAGTACACTATGAAGACAAAAAAACAGCTAGCTAGAGTATTACATGATAATTTGACGAAAGCACAAGATAGGATGAAGCTTTATGCTGACATGAAAAGAATTGATAAGGAGTTTAACATTGGTGATTTGGTATACTTAAAAATCCAGCCATATAAACAACACTCATTGGCAAATTCTTCATACCACAAGCTAGCAGCTAGGTACTACGGTCCTTACAAGGTTATAGAAAGGATTGGCAAAGTGACCTACAAACTTGAACTACCAGTAGGGTCCAAAATCCATAATATTTTTCACATCTCATTGTTGAAACAACACCATGGAAATCAACCAGTATCCGCAACACTTCCTCACTTAACAGAAAATGGTGAACCTGAGATGCAACCACTAGCAATACTTGATAGAAGAATGAAGAAGAGGAACAACAGGGCTGTCACAAAAGTTTTAATTCAATGGCAAGACACAAATCCGGAAGATGCCACATGGCATGAGTTACAGCAAATGAAGGAAAAGTTTCCAGAATTCCAGTGGATTTCGATATAGTTAGACCTTGCGGACAAGGTCTTGTCTTCATGGGAGGGAAAGTTGTAATAGGTCATTTGTAAATTTAAAAAATTAAGGAGGTTAGCAGTTAGTGGTTTGACAGATTTAATTAATTTTGGTGGTTAATTTTGTTAGTTGTTAGAATTAGGAACCAAAGATAACAAGTAGTAGTTAGAAATCCTAGCCTATATAAAAAAAAAAATCTCTTGTATCTTGTTCATCAATAATAACATTTCAGCAGTTATAATTCCCTTTCTTATCTGAGTTCCGAGAGAGTGAGGTTAGGAGAGAATTTCATATTCAATATAACCTATGAAACACTGACTCCGACACGGACACTGAGACACGACACGATACGGACACGCGGACATGGCAAACTTCTAAAATATAGGACACCGGGACACCTTATATATATTAGACATGAATAAAAATTTAAATATGATTCAAATGAGAAATATATAAATTAAAAATTAAGATTTGTTCATTCATCTTCTCAAGACAAAGTTGTTAGATTTTACAATTTTCATATGATATCCTAACCAAAAAATACTAAGAACTACTATTTCACAATATAAAAACTTTGTCTTTTTACAAAAAGAAAGTCTCAAAATAAGAAGATGAATCAAATCTATTAAAGACAGTGGTCTTCATGATCATCATCATTGAAAAATACACTCTCTAACTCTGGGTCATCAAGTGATAAATTAGCAACTTCAAGCATTCCACTCTCATCTAGTGATTCAAATGCATCTCCTGCTATGTCCCACATTTTTGTTTCCTCTTGGTTATATTGTGGAGAATTCCTTGAAAGAAGACGGAGGTTGCTATGAACAAATACTAGATCTTCTGCCCTATATGGTGCCATCTTGTTTCTTTTCATAGAATGAATAAAAGAGTAAGTGCTCCAATTTCTTTCACAACATAAAGAAGAGCATGGTTGCCCAAGTAGTTTAAGAGCAATTTTTTGAAGTATTGGAGCATGAGCACCATAAACAAGCCACCAAGATTTTGCATCCATCTTACCCCTATCACTTAATGAATCAATGTCATCAAAACCTTCTCTTCCATCTGAAAAATTTGCAAACTCTACATTTACTTGTCTCTTCATATCCACATCAACAAAATATCGTTTAAAACATTTCACCCTTTCACGAGTAAGTTCCATATCTTGATGTGGAGGAACTCTATTAGAATCTTCACTTAGCCATTCATGACTATAATATCTACAATATAAATAAAAATCATGATTACAATAACATATAAAAATGTAACTAAAATTTTATTTAGGAATATAAAATATTACCTTGGATTTAAAGAATGTGCTTAACAATGGAGAGGTGTGCTACTCTTTGTCCAACGTTCAATTAATATGGAGTGCACAACATTATAAAAGCTTGATTCTTCATTTTCCGCCTTTTTTTCATATCGATAAATGGCCTTTCTCACATTTTCAATCATTGAGTCCCACATTTCATATACTAAATGGAGAGATGAAGCTTCCGTATTCGTTTTTCTTAGAACATCATAAATGGGACTAGTGAAAGAAAGTATATAATCAACCTTATCCCACCAAACATCATCCAATAATGTATCTTTCACAAATTTAGCTTTTCCAACATCATCTTCCTTGTAAGAAGACCATTCATCACTAATAACCATCTCTTGGAGTCCTTTTTTCAATTGCTTAAATCTCTTAAGCATGACTATAGTAGAAGCAAATCTTGTTGGAGCAACGGAAAACAACTTTAATGAGTTGAATGAGTTGAAAATAGATAACCTCATTGAGTGACCCAAGATGAAATTTTTTATGAACATAACATCTCCTATATTTGTGATCCAAGAACATTCTTGATAAGTAATATTGTTTTTTTTTTGTGTTCTTTGCTGCACATATATTTTTCAAAACAAGATTTAGAGTGTGCACAACGCAAGGGGTCCAATAAATATAAGGAAAATCAGCTTCAATCATTAAACCTGCGGCCTTACATACAGGTGCATTATCAGTCACAATTTGCACCACATTTGTAGGTCCAACTTCCATAATTACATCTCTCATTTGTTTGGCTATAAAATCTTTGTCTTTAATCTCATCAGAGCATTCTATAGCCTTCAAAAACATAGGTCCACTCTCTGTAACAGCCATGAAATTAATGAGAGGTCTTCTTTGGGGATCACTCCACCCATCACTAACAATGCTAACACCTTTTTGACTCCATGTATTTTTGATTGGCTCCAAAAGCTTCTCTACATGTCTTCTTTCATTAGCAAGCAAACTTGTTCTCAACTTATTATAACCTGGTGGTTGATATCCACTTACATAATTATTGGCAGCAAAAGAAAAAACTCTCCTATAATAAGGATTTCTTGCTAAATGAAATGGCAATCCCGATGAGTAAAACATCCTAGCAATTTCATAGTCTAATGTCTCTCTAGCTTGCATATTGAAAGCTTTATCTAGTGATCCGGATGTTTTCCTTTTTTTGAGATCAACACCATCTATAGATGATTCATTAGAAACCGGAGGCAAAGGGACAAATTTTGTCTTAGACCTTTCTATCTTCAATGTAGTTTCATTGTCTAACTTTGTTAGTTCACCAAGCTTCAAGGGTGTTATTTTTTGACAACTTCTAACTCCCTTTCCTGTAATCTTCAACAAATGTGCTCTCACTCTAGTATAAGATCCATTGAAAGTAAGATTACAAATATTGTATTTTACTTCATAATTTTTGTTAAGGTTCCAACATAAAACCAATTGGCAATATGTGGAGTAGCCTAACATGTATTTAAACCATACCAAATAACATGAGGTAGGCGATGTGGGACTTTCAACACACCCCCTCCAACGAAGCCTGCCGGACCAGGCAAAGGGTACTTTTGACCCAACTAAAGGGCAACTTTTGGCCCATGACAATAACCGGAAATATGTTAGGCTTTGGCTCTGATACCATGTTAAGGTTCCAACATAAAACCAATTGGCAATATGTGGAGTAGCCTAACATGTATTTAAACCATACCAAATAACATGAGGTAGGCGATGTGGGACTTTCAACAATTTTCACCACCTCCACCAACACTTTTTATCTTTGTAACATAATTCCATAGGGGTTTGATATCATCATCTTGTAAAGGCTGACTAGAATACTCATTTCTACATAAATGAAACCAATAACATATGATTTTTCTATGTTCATAATTCCATAACTACCGCATTCTAATAAAAAAAAAAATGAAACATTATAAAGGAAAACAAAGCAAAACAAAGACCTAAACAATGGACAGCAAAAGAGAGCATGATGCAGTGGAATACCTGAACAACAATGAACTCTCTACCCTTTTCTCTTTCACAAACCCTATATTCCTCCCTCTCTGTAAATGTGTTGGAATTTCATCTTCTGGCTCTTCATTTGTTTCCCTGCCAACATTGCCCTTCTCGCCTCCACTCTTTCCCTGTCAACATTGCTAACAGTGGCTCTTCAACTACTTCGTTATTTCGGAGTTCATTGGGAAGAGAGCATTGTGTGGTCTATGCTCTCGGATTAACTGCCCAGTAGCACACAACAGAGGAAAACTGGAAGGAAAAAAGGAAAGCTTTTTTGGATGAAAGGAAAGCTTTGGAGTAGAAATGGAAAGGTGTAGAGGAAGGAAGGAAGAAAGGAAGGATACGTGTAGAGGAAGGAAGAAAAGCGGGAGAAAAAAGTAAATAGAAAAAATTCAATTTTTTTTTTTTATAAAAGCCGTACCCGAGTCGGAGCCGTGTCTGACACCGTGTCGGATTTAGGTCACGCCGTGTCCACATGAATCGAAGCCTCGCGACGCGTTTTTGGTGCAGGGGACACTGCAAAAAAGAGTCGGACACGCTTTCGCGAAGTGTCGTGGCGGTGTCGGTGTCCCAAACGTCCGCGACACTCCGACACGGATGAGAGGAGCCGTGTCGGTGCTTCACAGAATATAACAGATTGGTTGCAAGATGCACGTTAAATCTGGCTTTCTTGTTGAGTGGCTTTGAAGAGATTGAATGCAACTTTCATTTGAGTAGTGAATCCTGGTGAGCCATCTGAAAAGGAGCTGAAACCTTGGGAGGAATGTCTTTAGTCATTTTGGTTATTAGTAATTTCAGCCTCTTACAAAGAGGGTAAGTTTTTATTCTATTTGTACTGTGAGACATGGCATTAGTCTACCATATATAATCACTATTCAACTAGGAGGTCTCCAAACGCGGTTTGACTTATCTTCAAATTTTGAATCTGAAATTTGTGTATGAATAGAGGTGGATTACTGTTGAAGGTTGCAAATTAGTTCTATGGTGGCTGGACTAGATTGTTCTTGTTCCGGTGTTAAATGAAATTAATAAATGGATTCCAATGCTTGGAAATGGGATCTTGAGCGGATTCTCTTGAACAACATCTTTCTTTTTCTTCCTTTCTGGAGAGAGAGAATTTATCACTCATAACTGATTCATTCACCAGTCTAGAATCTTGTGGTAAATTTCATACTCTCTTACTAGAGGATATGATTGTTTAGATCTTTGTTCAAGGTGTTTGTACGGTTACATGTGATGTTTCATCTTAGACAACTATGAACTCTAGTATTTTCTTTAAATTGGATAAATTTCTCCACTGGGATTAGCTTTCTGAAAATATATACTAGCTGCTTATTGATTTTGTAAAATCGGAGTTAATACTCTGAGCAATTAGATTTAAATACAGTAATGGTAAACTTAAACCATACAATTTATTTTCTGAGATGATTTGTTATTCGTGTGCTTCAGAAATACATCTGATTCTGTTAAATTCTTCATATCCAGGTGTCAATTGTGGTTGTGGAGCATTATGAGCCACCAGTACTGGCTTGTGCTCTTAATGAGGTCCTTAATAAAATTACTGCAGATAAATCATCCCTGATGCCTACACTTTTGGTACCATTTTTGGTGGAATCTTCCAATGTTAAAGGGCACATTAGATCCCTAGGATCAGATGAAAGCAAACCTTTAATATTTGGAATGCAGATTGGTCAAAATACAGACATAATGCAGGCCTTAATCAACAAAACCCAGGAGCCACCATCATCTTTACATATTCAACATGAAATTTTTGCATCTTTTCTTCACTTTGTTCGTGTAATGCAGTTACCATCCTTTTTTCTAATTGGACAAACTAGTCAATATTTGGACAATAAATCCACCGAACAGCATGAGGTATTTTCCTCATCACTTTTAAAGCATGTTTATTTTGTTCTCTAGAAAAATATGTCTACTAATTTTGAGAGTGGATGGCTTCAATGGATGGCATATGATGTGGCAACCATCGTGTAAACAGGGGGACTGTTGGCTTAATTATACTAGTTTCACCGTGCAATAACCTAAAGAGAAATTTTGTATAGCATCCTTCTATTTTTTTATCCTTCAATCAACTGGTGCATCTTCAACAGCTAATTTATGATGGTTTGTGCTAGATAATTCATGCTATAGGTGAGATTTTGGCTAGTGCTACTGGTCTGCAGTTTTCGAAAGACAGAGTGGTATGGGATCCAAAAAAGACATCAAGGGAAAGCAAAGAGCCATGGCGTGCATTATATGGTTGAAAAGTATTTCACGGATCTGATTCACAGAACCATTGGTTCTTGTGTATCAACTATTTCTTTTAAACGTTTTCATAATCTTCCCCCATATTTTCTTTATATCTTCTTTAAGTATCTTAGTTTTGTATAACGTGATGGATGTTGCCATAGCATGTAGCTGAATGTTCTTTGAGTATTTGTGGGTTTTATTTTGTTCTGTAATAGAAACATATTAAAGATGAGGATGAGATTCTAACTTTCAATATTTTGGTAAAGTAATCATAACAAAGTGGATGATTTCTCTAATCAAAATTGATTATCTGTAGAGAGATAGCTTTCTGTTAATACGAAGGGTTTGAACTTTCATTTCATAATCACAACTTTAGCTTTTGCATTTTTTCCCCTTACAAAAGCACATGCGAAGAAGGGTTTGGAAACAGGGATGGTGATACAGTCCAACACATAAATCAACAAATTTATTTTATGATTATGTTATTAGAATTATGGAAATAGGGATGCGGATAGAGTCCAACTAATAAATCAGAAAATTTATTTTATGATAATGTTGTCAGAATTATGTTATCACAGTTAATCTTTAGGATTTAGTTTAGGATCATGTTATTAAATTATGATCTTAGCTTATCTTTTTGATATTCTGTTGTTTTAGGGAGTTAATTGAGGGACATGATAATAAATATAGGGTAGGATTTAATTTAGGATTATGTTATTTGTACCATGATATTATAGCCTAGAATATATTTCAGTGTCCTATTTGTTTTGCTTAACTTTTAAAAGGTTGCTTAGCAGAAAGTACCAATAGAGCACATTAAGGTTTGATACTTATTAAGCAACTGTTGCTTGTGTTTTAGCTATTGCTTGTATTTTTCAACACTAAACAATTTAGGTAGTCTTGAAGGTCACATTTTAATTAATATACCATCGAAGAAAAAATGACTTTAAGTTCTTATAGTCAGAGATGACAGGACCCACCAATTTTTAAATGAGCAACTCATAAAATGCAATATTGGGATGTTCTTATCTTTATATTCTTTTTTATCTATTTTAAATAGTTAGTTGAGGGAGCTGATAATATGCATGAGGAGGTTTGTGAGCTTTAGCTTTAAGGGAAGGGGAAATGATACACCAGTATTTTGTAATGCACTGTCAAAACAAGGTTATCTTACTTAGGAGCTCTTAACTAAATCTTTAAGAAGATAACACAAGTAACTCCTCCAGCAGGAGAGAGAAAGGCATGAAATATGTGAGATCCACGGATTTAGGGTTTAGGGATCTCACTATCCTCATATTTCTTTTTCTTCTACTGGAGCTGTCCAGTGATATTTGGCATGTCTTTGTTAGGTCAGCCCTGAAAACATATCAAGATAATCCTTCCTACCAGAGTGACAATTTCTTATCCACCGTGTTAATATTTTGGTGAAAATAGGAATTGTGATTTATTGTTTTGTATTATATTAATGTAGTAGTGTGACTGGTAATGTAGTAATTGTGGAATGTAAAAAATAATTTTTAGAAAGAGATGAGTAGAAGAAAGGTGTTATATTAGTCAGGGAATCACCATCTATAAATAGACATAAATCATCATTTTCTAGAATCTGTTAGGAACTTAGGAATAATTCAACCTATATTAATCTTAACTTATTTTTGTAGATTATTCTAGCAGTTTTTCAAAATTTTCACATGAAGTTCCTAGTTCTAAAAGTTTCTAGGATTTTAAATTCTTTTTAGAATTTGTATAGTCTTTCATGGAAATGATTCAAGTTTTTATCATTGTCGATTTCCCAACTAAAAAGTAAAGTTTGTTAACTTATGCAGATTCGATGAATAACAAGGCGAACTAGTCGGGTAATTGGTTTGAGAAAAATATGAGATCAGTCATGCAAACTTGGTTGAACCAATATCAAGTTAACAAACTGATAGTGCAGAATATTCAGAGTAACGTTTCATGGGTGAAGGCTATAATTATGATCTAATAATTAATTTAAGCAGAATAAAATACCACAAAGCAATTACACACACCCTCGGACGCTACAGAAACACACTAGCTGAAACCAGTGAAATATAATAACTCGATAATCGAGTTCTTGAGCAAATTAAATTCATAAGCACCTTGTAAAACCTTTCGTTATGCAGAGTAAAGTGAGTAGTCCACAAAAATTGTTACACATGCACGCATGTTGTGTAAAACAAAAACTAATCTGAATACATTTCGATGGAAGAAAGAAAATTTACAACTAATTAACCTACGATTATGCAAGACATTACTATCCAACATGTGCATATTTATTCATTGAGGCTAACACTTTTAGGGCTTAACATTTCTTGAAAAAAGAAAGAAAAGAAAGACCTAGTTCCTGCCTCGACGACGACCTCCGCGACCATGGCCTTTTCGTCTACCACCTCCTCCACTTCCTTCAGAAGTAGAACAGTGAGGGGAGCAAGATGGCGCGTCATCTTGAGTTGAAGGGCCTCCTCCACCATCAACATGACGCTGTTCACTTGCAAATTTCTCTTCCAGGATTATCATCCAAGTTTCAATGTTACAAACTTTCACATCAACCAGACCCTGAAAAGATCGCGTCAATTTCCTGATCTCCCTATACTCCGTCGACATTATTCCTGCCAAGACCACGTCAACGTGATCTTTTTCAGACACAGGAGAACCCATTTCAGCTAAAGAATCAACAATAGCTTGGATCTTTCCAACATACTCTGACACAGACTCCTTTCCTTTCTTTACGCGCTTCAGCTGTGTCCTAAGTTGTCGAACCTTGGCTTTCAAGTGAGAAAGGAAGTGCTTTTTCACCGTATCCCAAATCTGCCACGAGTGTTTGCATCCCTCGACGAAAGGAACAACGCTTTCAGATAGAGACGATAACAACCACGTGTGCAATTTCTGGTCTTCAGCAAACCATCGACGATAATCTTCGGTTTCGATGTCTTGCATGCGATCACTTTCGCTTGCGTATTGCTGGGGAATAACAGGCTTTACGACGAAGCGTAATAGACTGTGCTTTTTCAAGAGACCTTCAACTTCAACGCTCCACACAAGATAATTCTTGCCGTCCAGCTTAATCGGTATCTCCTCAGTCAGTGTCGCAGACGCGGGCAACGACGCTGATAAAGGCGTCCACGTGGCTATCGACGCTGACGCTAAGCTTGACCTGGACGCCGATGTCGATGCCGGGGTTGACGTGGATGTCGAGGCCGTGGTTGACGTGGATGTCGAGACCGTGGTTGACGCGGATGTTGAGGCTGGGGTTGACGCGGACGCCGATGCCGATGTTGATGCGGATGCCGATAACGACGTCGACGTAGACTTGCATGACGATGAGGACGCGGACGGAGGTTCTGAAGACGACCGCGAAGTGCTCTTTTCACTTCTGCGTTGAGCTTTTTTCTTTGGCGCCATGAAAAATGCCGGGGCAGGGAAGAGGGTTCAATATTCGAAAGGTGTTTGTATTTTGCACGTGAAAGAGTAATTATGGTGAATGAGGTTGGTAATATATAGGTATGTATATTGCATAAAGTGACTTTTCATCATCCAAATTATTTCAATGGAAACAATGTTTCTTGTTAAGCCATCAAAGTTGAGCAATGTAATGTCATCCATTAAATTCAAGATTATGAGAAATTATTAAGAAATTGTGGATAATTAAGATTTGTACCTTATAAATATGCAATACATATAGGTTCTAACTTATACATGAAAGTAAGGAGGTAAGATTGATGACAATGGGTAACATGTCCTTATAAATAATGAAGGGAATTTCTTATAAGTTACGAGGGGAGATTGATGATAATGTGAAATATGTCATTACATCTTCAAGAGATGCTTTTGATGATTATTCAAATCAATAATATTCATCAAGTAAATCCAAGATTATTTCTGAAGACTAGATAGAGTCTTAGAATACTGGATATAAAGATACAAGTTGATAAAGTGGTATAATACATAAGCCTTTAAAACACAAGTGTGATAAAATTTCGTAATATGACATTTTTCACTGTCATAATCAATTATGATTCATCAGAAATGGAAAAACGATTTTCTCTGTCATAATTGATTATACTAGTCACATAATCGATTATGACCGTTCAAATTTGAAAAATATATTCGTTTTGAAGAATAAATATTTTTGAATACATTCTGATTTTTCTCTACGAAAGTATTAATGATCAACGACTATTTTCTTATGTTATTTTTCTATTTAAATGAGTTTTGATGAAAAATAAAAACATACACAACTACAGAATTTGAAAATACAATTTATATTCAATCAGTTTTGAGAAAATAATTATGAGCAAGACAACAAAGATATTTTACATGTTTTGAAAAAACTCTCTTCTCCATTGCTAGAGAGATATTTTATCAAAACTCTATTCTCCATTGTCTACTGTGCTTTTATTATTAATCACACTTGTTCTTGGAGGTTGACATTCTACAAACTTCTACAATTTGTTGTCTCCATTACCGAGATGTGACTGTTTTTATTTTATTACCTTCATTCTTTGTGGGCTTAAGTGGTTGATTATTAAATTCTCTGTTTAGGGTTTAAGTAGTCACTGCCATTCTGTGTTTTTTTTAGGGTTTCCTGTGTGGAAACTGTTCATCCCTTTGATTTGTTGAGAGAGGTGTTTTCATCCTTTGATATGTTCAGAGGAGGTGTTCATCCCTAATGGGATTCTAGGGAAATGTCCATCCTTAGTGGGACTCTAAGGAGGTGTGTTCATCCTTTGACTCTAGGGAGGTGTTCATCCCTTATGAGATTCTAAAGAGGTGTTCATCCTTAGTGAGTTTCTAAGGAGGTGATTGTCTTTTGAATTAGTTTGATTTTTGCTTAGTTGATTGTAATTTGTGAACTGAATTTAAAAGATAGTGAATTGGGGTCACTCTTGTGTTAAGAGTTGACTGAGAACTAGACGTAGGGTTGACTATACCTGAACCAGTATAAACCACTGTGTACTCTTCTCTTTCCCTTATCTCTCTTTACTTGCATTACTTT